CTCTATCTCTCTCTCTCTCTCTCTCTTCTCTCTCTCTCGCAAGGCATGTCAGCTGGATGGCTTGGTATCAACCGGCACTATTGGCCACGGGAACTCACTATGCCTTGCCATGCGAAGCGTTGTGACTTTCTCATGCTATTGAGTTGGTCGTTGCCTTCCCATACCCTTCTCCCTCTCTCTCTCTCTCTCTCTCTCTCTCTCTCTCTCTCTCTCTCTCTCTCTCTCTCTCTCCTCTCTTCTTTCTCTCTCTCTTTTTTGGTGACATTAACTTGTCATAGGCTGGATCTCCAAGGCCAATGACCTGAGCAACATTCCATTATATTAGAAATACAACTTCATAGCCACCCGGGCTTTGCGTAAAAAACGCACACACACGCATACACACGTACACAAACAGCCTAGGGCACTCCATGCCTCTAGCTTTTGGCTAAGCAGCCACTACCAAGGACCCCTGGTCCACACCCGGCCCAGCCCACACCCCACCCTCCATCAAAGGTAGCCAAGGTATGAGAACCTTGGGTGCGGGGAGATGGGAGGGCGAGGTTGCTTGGGGCTTCTCTCACACCACCGGTGCGGGCCCATTGCCCCCATGGCCTCCATGGGGGCATGCGCTAGCCATGTGGCCATTCTGGCCGCAGCGGAAACAGGTTCCCTTGAAGCCCCGACAGCCGTTGCCGCTGCCCATGGTCTTTGGCACGAAGTGGGGGGAGTCGCGGTGAAACGGACGGCTCCCGCGGGCGAAGCCGGTCTTCATACGCTTGAGGGCTGCCATATCCGCCACCGCCATCTTGAAGGAGCGTGAGGTGAGCACCGCCGTAGTCTTGAGGAGCTGGTAGCGCTCAGCCACGTCGAACCCGGCATGGTCGGCGACGACCAAGACGTCGAAGCGGCGCTTGATGAGGTCTTGAGCTTGACCGACGGTTTTAAGAGCACCGGCGGCGTCGCCTCCGCGGATCTTGTGTTCCACGTGTGCCAGGTAGGTCTGAAGTGCCTCGAACACCTCCGCCTGGTCACGGACGCCTTTGCGGTTGAAGGCGGCGGCCGCGGTGGAAGGGTGAGGAGAGGGGAGAGGGGGGAGGAGATCATTAGGCACGAGGGGCATAGGATTGTTTGGTTCCTCACCCGCATCGCTGTCGGAGTCGGAATCAGCGTCGTCGGGTGCAGCGGGTTCATCTTCGACGGCTGGCGCCTTTCCCTTGTCGGCGCGGTGAGATGCGGCGACTCTTGCGGAAGTGGCGACGTTGTTGCGAATGTTTGCAGTTTTAGCGGAAGCGAAATTTTCCGCTTCTGTTGTAGCTGCTGGCGTTGTAACGGGGGCCGCGGCCTGCTTTTGGAGGAGCGCCAGCAGTGCCGCCACTTGTGAGGGCGAAAGATTCGCCGCCGCCCCTTCGGTAGCAGGCGAATCCGTCGCCCTCCGCTTTGGGGTGGCGCGCGATCCTCCCGCGTCAGCGCCAGTGATGACGACGAAGTCGTCATCATTGGCGACTGCAGGCCCATGAGCCTGCTCGTGGGACGCGCGTGGCTGGGGAGCGCGCGAGCGTGTGCCGCCGCCCTCGCCGAGCAGCACGTCCACCCCAGTGCTGGGGCCCTCAGCGTTTTCCTCGGTGGGGCGTTTTCGCTTCTCCGCGCCGGTTTCCCGGGTCGTTTTCTCAAGCCCCGAAGAAGGTCGAGGAGTTGCGTCCTTAGCCCCGGGGCTATTGTTGTTCGTCGGCGCCATAGTCGAAAGGTTGCGGTCGAGGATGTCGGAGAGGAGCGTCGATGGAGAAGTGAAGCGAGGAAGGCTCTTAGTCCTCGCCAGCTTGGACGAAAAAAATCGGGAATTTGAAAACTGAAAGTTTGAAATGAAAAACGTGGGTGAAGGCCAAATGGCCTTCGCCCCCTCTTTTATACCGAAAAAGAGGGGAAGTAGCGGTTCGCCGAAGCATTTTGCTTCGGTACAAATATCTTCGCTATTCACAATACACAATTTTAGAAAGTGTTACACAATTTCAAAAATTTACATCTCTTGAAAGGCGTACTTCCACTTGAATCTACCTGCTCCGTCGTGTGGCTGGGGCACGACACGCGGAAGGAAAATCACCCCTGCCAACTTCGCTAGGTGCCATGGGTCTAGTTCGCCTTCGGTAATCTCAATGGCATCGCAGCGCAGTGAACTTCATTCCAGGCCAGAACGTAGATTCCCACGACAAAATCGTTAGGACGGCAACGCAGGTTCCGCTCGTCTAGGTAACATTTTGATGAATGAATATTTTTTGTGGATTGCAAATTTTTTCTTCGATAGTGAGCTAACGCCGATTACAGCCCCGCATTCGTCCGTCACTTGCGGAGGAGCAGGCGAGGACTCGATTCCACGCATTTTCCACGGATTCATGCTGACGTGGGCCAGGGTGGGGTGATTTGGACGGGTGAATTACGATCCAATGGAATCCACTCCCCTTGGCCGGGCGTGTTTTGAAGAGTCTCGAAATTAGCGCGTGAATGTAATTCGTAGTCTTCTGTAGCAACTGTACTAGCACATTCGCTTGTATCACTCAAATCTGTAGCACACACGCGTCTGTAGCCAGGCGGCATGAGTCGCGCGGTACCGATTAGCGCGCGAGGCGGCAGCAGCGGCGGCGCGTTCGGCGCGAACCGCATCGTGGTACTGTTCACCGTGTCGCTGCTGCTCGTGGCTTCCGCTGCCGGCTCATTCTTCGCCTTCTGCCCCGCCTCGTCTCGATCTATTGACGAAACCAAGGTAGGGGTCAAACCCCTGTGGTTATGCCTCGATAATACCAAGGCATGCTGGTGCTTGTCGGTCTGTCGCTGCTGCTCGTGGCGTCCACTGCCGGCTCCTTCTTCGCCTTCTGCCCCGCCTCGTCCCGCTCCATCGATGAAACCAAGGTCAGCTGATCGCCCTTGTGATTGGTTGGCGTTACATCCCCTCTCCCTTCTCCATGCCTCTCCATGCCTCTCCATGCCTCTCCATGCCTCTCCATGCCTCTCCATGCCTCCTTCACCTTTTTCCCAGCCTCCTCGCGATCCATCGACGAAACCAAGGTAGGGGTCAAGAACCCCGTTATCCCTCTATAATACCGAGGCATGCTGATACGTATTGGTCTGTCGCTGCTGCTGGTGGCGTCCGTTGCGGCCTCTTTCTTCGCCTTCTGCCTCCACCATTCTTTCCTTTCCTCCCCCCGCTACCCCACCTCCCAGCAGCACCAGCGGCAGTTGCAGCAGGAGCAGCAGGAGGGGGTGGTTGGCAACTTCAGCGCAAGTCAACCGGGTCACGAGGGGCAACAGCAGGCCAACGGCTCCGGTGCAGGGGCAGCAGGAGATGCAGGAGATGGATCAGGGGGAGTAGGAGCAGGAGGAGCAGCAGTAGGGCCCGGGGACCAGGAGGAAATGGATGAGAATCAGCCGCCGGAAATTTCCGGGAAATGTCCTCCATCTGAAACCATAGTCAAGGTAACCATTGGTGCAGTAACCATTCGTATGGTAACCATTGGTACGGTAAACATTGGTACGGTAGCCATTGGTATGGTAACCGTTGGTATATTAAGCTTTGGTAAGCTTTCTTTCATCGTGTTTTGAGACGTCTTGAAATGTTTTGCGCTTCTTTCATCGTGTTTCACCACAGCTTGTGGTGCTTTACGGCTCTGCAAAGTCAAGCCTATGGCCCTCTGCTCCTTGGACCCCTGCCTCCACGCTCCCCGTTCTGCTCCATCCACAAAGGCCTTCAACGTTGCCCCCACCCCCCCTCTGCCTCTCCATTTCGCTGCAGCACATACTGTGGCGTGCCAGTGGGCGTTATTTTCACATATGGGCGTCTTCCCCTTCTGCTCCATGGACGCATGCTTCAACTACTCCCTGCTCCTCAATCCTCTCAACCCCATTGCCCCTTGCAGCACATCCTGTGGCGTGCCAGTGGGCGTTATTTTCACAGTATGGGCGTCTTCCCCTTCTGCTCCATGGATGCTTCTTTCAGCTACTCCCTCTTCCCCTCTTGACTTCTACAGTGCCACTGCCCCCGCCCCCTTCCTGCTGCAGCACATCCTGTGGCGTGCCAGTGGGCGTTATTTTCACAGTATGGGCGTCTTCCCCTTCTGCTCCATGGACGCATGCTTCAATCACTCCCTGCTCCCCTGTTCTCGCACCCCCATTGCCCCTTGCAGCACAGCCTCTGGCATGCAAGCGGCCGCTTCTTCCACTCAATGGGCGTCTTCCCCCTGTGCTCCATGGACGCATGCTTCAACTACTCGCGCTGCCCCTCCCTTGTCATCTCTTGGTTCTCTCTTGGCCCTACCCTAACCACCTCCTCCTTACAGCACAGCCTGTGGCATGCGAGCGGCCGCTACTTTCACAGCATGGGCGTGTTCCCCCTGTGCGCCATGGACGCATGCTTCAACTACTCGCGCTGCCCCGCAGGCCCCTCAAAGGAGCCGCTAGTCTACTCCTACTGGCCCGGCCAGCACTACTTCAAGCGGTTCAATGAGACCCGATGGCACACGGACGATCCTGCCAAGGCGTGCTTCTTCTTTGTGCATATGGCACGAGGGCAGCCGAATGAGTTCAGTGATTTGGAGCATTGGGGGGAGAACGGAGCTAACCACGTGCTTATCAGGTGCGTGTTTATAAGGCGTGTGATTGTAAGGTGTTAGGTGAGTGATCTTGTAAGGTCTGCTGCCACACGGACGATCCCGCCAAGGCGTGTTTCTTCTTTGTGCATATGGCACGAGGGCAGCCGACGAGTTTTCGGATCTGGAGCATTGTGGGGAGAACGGGGCCAACCATGTGCTTATCAGGTGTGTGCGTGGTTGTAAGGTGCGTGATCATAAGGTGTTTGGTAAGTCGGCTTGTAAGGTGTTTTGAGACGTCTCAAAACACCATATGCTAATCAGGTGTGTGGGTGGTTATAAGGTGCGTGGGTGGTTTCAAGGAGCGTGATTATAAGGTGTTTGGTGAGTCGGCCCGTAAGGTCTGAGGGCTCATGGTCAATCCTGCCAAGGTGTGTTTTTTCTTCGTGCATCTGGCGAGAGGGCTGTCAACTGTGTGTCCAGAGCTAGAGAACTGAAGAGCCCTGTTCTGTTTTGGATCCATATTCTCTCCTCCTTCCCCATTTTTTTCCTGCCTTCCCTTACGTTCCTTGCTCTTCCTCCCTCCCTCATACAGCTTCTCAGACTATTGGAGCGACCAATCCCCTTGTGTACTCACATCCCTCGACCTGTGACATTCTCTCCTCTTCCCTTATTTCTGCCCATTTCTCCCTTACGTTCCTTCCTCGCCCTCCCTCATATAGCTTCTCAGATTCCTGGAGCGGGCCATCCCCTTTTTCAGTCGCCTCAGCAATGGTTATGGTCACCAATGCACAGGCCACGCTTATGAGAACAGATTTTGACACCTCCATCCCGCTGCCCCAAATGTGGAAAAACCCGCCCGTCGGGCTCCGGAACCTGCCCGCTGGATCTGCCCGGAAATATTTCCTGACGTTCCGAGGCACGCGCTACCTCGGAAATTTGAAGGGTAACTTCCGGAGTGCCCCTGAGTTCAAGGCCTTGCACAACGGCAAGGATGTGGTTGTGCTCACAAGATGCGGGTAAGTTCTAAGTCTACCCTGGTTCAGGGTGAAGGTGATTTCGTACTTTTGGTCTAAAGTAATTATCCACCAGTGTACGGTTGTTCCATGAGTGTTTAGTCACTGCAGACGAATGGCCTTTTTCCCGCTGCCTGTGCTTAATTTACCCGTGCATTCGCACAGAGGAAGGAATCTTTTGTGAAGCCATTGTTGAGGCATCTTTTAAAAACTTCTTGCAAGTAAGTCACCTGCTTGCCTCCCCTCCTCCCCATCACCATCAGGGGGTCCACCAACGCGCGCATTCTCGCGGAGGAACCTTCCTTGAAGCACGAGTGCGATGAGGATGCAAAGCTGTACACTCAGTACGACTTTAATGACGTCATGAACACCACCTTCACCCTCGCGCCAGCTGGCAGACAAGGGTCCACCTACAGGTTCCTGGAGGTGTGTGCGCAGTGCTTTTCAAGTCATGTGATGGGATTAGATAGGATGTGTGCAGACAACATGAACACCACCTTCACCCTCGCGCCAGCTGGCAGACAAGGGTCTACGTGCAGATTCCTGGAGGTGTGTTCTGAGGTGCCTTGTGTTGTGGTGTGTTCTCCTTTGTTGCGAGTAATGTCATGTGGTAGTGATGGGATGTGATACGTGCTCATGTGTGCTGACGTCATAAACACCACCACCTTCACGCTTGCATCTGCTAGCAGAAAAGGGTCACCTATATTGGTGTTAGCTTGTGTTTGAAGAAGTGTTTTGAGACGTCTCAAAACACTTCTTCAAACAAGGGTCCACTTCTATATTGGTGTTACTTTTGAGAATTCTCAAAAGATCCACCTATATCTTCTTGGAGGTGTGTGTTTCTCGCTGCTCTCTTGTGTGATAGAGGCGCCTTGTGTTGTGTTGTGACTCAGACCCCACCCCTTGGGGTGGTGGCGGACAACTGGCGGTTACCATTCGATGACAGCATCTCATCTCATGGCACCACTGCCATGTCTGTGGCGCCTGATTCTTCATTCACACCCTGTTACTTCACTCGCACCCTCACACCAGGCGTTGACAGTGGGAGCTATCCCAGTGGTCGTGGCAGACAACTGGCGGTTACCGTTCGATGGCATCATCTCGTGGCATCATTGCCATGTCTCACTTTCCACCACGTAACCCGTGGTTTGTACTCCGTGGCTCTTACCCCATGGTGCAGGCCCTCACTGTGGGAGCCATCCCAGTGGTGGTGGCGGACAACTGGCGGTTACCATTTGATGACATCATCTCATGGCATCACTGCCTGCTGCGCTTCCCCACCGACCAGATGCACCGCATCCTGCCAACACTCAGAGCCATGGATGAGGTATGCATGGTGACGGGTTGTGATTGTGGTAGGGGTTATGTGCTCATGGGGCGTCATCGTGCTTCCCCACCAACCAGATGCACCGCATCCTGCCCACTCTTCGAGCCATGGATGAGGTGTGCTTGTGCTGATGATTTGTGGATGTGGCATGGATTATGAGTGGGGTATTTGCTCGTGGGACGTCACCTCGTGGCATCACTGCCTGCTGAGCTTCCCCACCGACCAGATGCACCGCATCCTGCCCACTCTCAGAGCCATGGATGAGGTGTGTAGGTGCTGATGGGGTGTGGAGGGGGTGTTTGTGGGTCATGGGTCATGGATGGGTCATGTGGCACCACTTCTTGTCTGCTGTGCTTCCCCACCGACCAGATGCACTGAATCTTGCCCACCCTCAGAGCCATGGATGAGGTACGTGCCGTGTGTTGCGGATGAGGTGTTGTTGATGGGCCGTGAGTGAGGGATGTGTCTATCCTCATGGGTTGTGGATGGGTACGCATGCTCATGGGTCATAAATGAGACGCCCCAGTTCTGTATCCCGGTACTATGCTTGTGGGTTGGTTGTGCATCCATCAATCTCCCATGCATAACTGCCTTTGAAATTCTCAAAAGTGATTTCCGCCCACCTATCCAACCGGCCATACAGCGCCGGCAGCAGGAGTGTCTGCGGATAAGAGACAACCACCATGTCTCCTCTCCATGCTCCTCGATCTCTTCTCCCCACTCTCCCCTCCCCCCACACACCCTCACCCTCCCGGCACCCTTCCCAGCCAGCACCCTTCCCAGCCAGCACCCTTCCCAGCCAGCACCCTTCCCAGCCAGCACCCTTCCCAGCCAGCACCCTTCCCAGCCAGCACCCTTCCCAGCCAGCACCCTTCCCAGCCAGCACCCTTCCCAGCCAGCACCCTTCCCAGCCAGCACCCTTCCCAGCCAGCACCCTTCCCAGCCAGCACCCTTCCCAGCCAGCACCCTTCCCAGCCAGCACCCTTCCCAGCCAGCACCCTTCCCAGCCAGCACCCTTCCCAGCCAGCACCCTTCCCAGCCAGCACCCTTCCCAGCCAGCACCCTTCCCAGCCAGCACCCTTCCCAGCCAGCACCCTTCCCAGCCAGCACCCTTCCCAGCCAGCACCCTTCCCAGCCAGCACCCTTCCCAGCCAGCACCCTTCCCAGCCAGCACCCTTCCCAGCCAGCACCCTTCCCAGCCAGCACCCTTCCCAGCCAGCACCCTTCCCAGCCAGCACCCTTCCCAGCCAGCACCCTTCCCAGCCAGCACCCTTCCCAGCCAGCACCCTTCCCAGCCAGCACCCTTCCCAGCCAGCACCCTTCCCAGCCAGCACCCTTCCCAGCCAGCACCCTTCCCAGCCAGCACCCTTCCCAGCCAGCACCCTTCCCAGCCAGCACCCTTCCCAGCCAGCACCCTTCCCAGCCAGCACCCTTCCCAGCCAGCACCCTTCCCAGCCAGCACCCTTCCCAGCCAGCACCCTTCCCAGCCAGCACCCTTCCCAGCCAGCACCCTTCCCAGCCAGCACCCTTCCCAGCCAGCACCCTTCCCAGCCAGCACCCTTCCCAGCCAGCACCCTTCCCAGCCAGCACCCTTCCCAGCCAGCACCCTTCCCAGCCAGCACCCTTCCCAGCCAGCACCCTTCCCAGCCAGCACCCTTCCCAGCCAGCACCCTTCCCAGCCAGCACCCTTCCCAGCCAGCACCCTTCCCAGCCAGCACCCTTCCCAGCCAGCACCCTTCCCAGCCAGCACCCTTCCCAGCCAGCACCCTTCCCAGCCAGCACCCTTCCCAGCCAGCACCCTTCCCAGCCAGCACCCTTCCCAGCCAGCACCCTTCCCAGCCAGCACCCTTCCCAGCCAGCACCCTTCCCAGCCAGCACCCTTCCCAGCCAGCACCCTTCCCAGCCAGCACCCTTCCCAGCCAGCACCCTTCCCAGCCAGCACCCTTCCCAGCCAGCACCCTTCCCAGCCAGCACCCTTCCCAGCCAGCACCCTTCCCAGCCAGCACCCTTCCCAGCCAGCACCCTTCCCAGCCAGCACCCTTCCCAGCCAGCACCCTTCCCAGCCAGCACCCTTCCCAGCCAGCACCCTTCCCAGCCAGCACCCTTCCCAGCCAGCACCCTTCCCAGCCAGCACCCTTCCCAGCCAGCACCCTTCCCAGCCAGCACCCTTCCCAGCCAGCACCCTTCCCAGCCAGCACCCTTCCCAGCCAGCACCCTTCCCAGCCAGCACCCTTCCCAGCCAGCACCCTTCCCAGCCAGCACCCTTCCCAGCCAGCACCCTTCCCAGCCAGCACCCTTCCCAGCCAGCACCCTTCCCAGCCAGCACCCTTCCCAGCCAGCACCCTTCCCAGCCAGCACCCTTCCCAGCCAGCACCCTTCCCAGCCAGCACCCTTCCCAGCCAGCACCCTTCCCAGCCAGCACCCTTCCCAGCCAGCACCCTTCCCAGCCAGCACCCTTCCCAGCCAGCACCCTTCCCAGCCAGCACCCTTCCCAGCCAGCACCCTTCCCAGCCAGCACCCTTCCCAGCCAGCACCCTTCCCAGCCAGCACCCTTCCCAGCCAGCACCCTTCCCAGCCAGCACCCTTCCCAGCCAGCACCCTTCCCAGCCAGCACCCTTCCCAGCCAGCACCCTTCCCAGCCAGCACCCTTCCCAGCCAGCACCCTTCCCAGCCAGCACCCTTCCCAGCCAGCACCCTTCCCAGCCAGCACCCTTCCCAGCCAGCACCCTTCCCAGCCAGCACCCTTCCCAGCCAGCACCCTTCCCAGCCAGCACCCTTCCCAGCCAGCACCCTTCCCAGCCAGCACCCTTCCCAGCCAGCACCCTTCCCAGCCAGCACCCTTCCCAGCCAGCACCCTTCCCAGCCAGCACCCTTCCCAGCCAGCACCCTTCCCAGCCAGCACCCTTCCCAGCCAGCACCCTTCCCAGCCAGCACCCTTCCCAGCCAGCACCCTTCCCAGCCAGCACCCTTCCCAGCCAGCACCCTTCCCAGCCAGCACCCTTCCCAGCCAGCACCCTTCCCAGCCAGCACCCTTCCCAGCCAGCACCCTTCCCAGCCAGCACCCTTCCCAGCCAGCACCCTTCCCAGCCAGCACCCTTCCCAGCCAGCACCCTTCCCAGCCAGCACCCTTCCCAGCCAGCACCCTTCCCAGCCAGCACCCTTCCCAGCCAGCACCCTTCCCAGCCAGCACCCTTCCCAGCCAGCACCCTTCCCAGCCAGCACCCTTCCCAGCCAGCACCCTTCCCAGCCAGCACCCTTCCCAGCCAGCACCCTTCCCAGCCAGCACCCTTCCCAGCCAGCACCCTTCCCAGCCAGCACCCTTCCCAGCCAGCACCCTTCCCAGCCAGCACCCTTCCCAGCCAGCACCCTTCCCAGCCAGCACCCTTCCCAGCCAGCACCCTTCCCAGCCAGCACCCTTCCCAGCCAGCACCCTTCCCAGCCAGCACCCTTCCCAGCCAGCACCCTTCCCAGCCAGCACCCTTCCCAGCCAGCACCCTTCCCAGCCAGCACCCTTCCCAGCCAGCACCCTTCCCAGCCAGCACCCTTCCCAGCCAGCACCCTTCCCAGCCAGCACCCTTCCCAGCCAGCACCCTTCCCAGCCAGCACCCTTCCCAGCCAGCACCCTTCCCAGCCAGCACCCTTCCCAGCCAGCACCCTTCCCAGCCAGCACCCTTCCCAGCCAGCACCCTTCCCAGCCAGCACCCTTCCCAGCCAGCACCCTTCCCAGCCAGCACCCTTCCCAGCCAGCACCCTTCCCAGCCAGCACCCTTCCCAGCCAGCACCCTTCCCAGCCAGCACCCTTCCCAGCCAGCACCCTTCCCAGCCAGCACCCTTCCCAGCCAGCACCCTTCCCAGCCAGCACCCTTCCCAGCCAGCACCCTTCCCAGCCAGCACCCTTCCCAGCCAGCACCCTTCCCAGCCAGCACCCTCCCAGCCAGCACCCTTCCCAGCCAGCACCCTTCCCAGCCAGCACCCTTCCCAGCCAGCACCCTTCCCAGCCAGCACCCTTCCCAGCCAGCACCCTTCCCAGCCAGCACCCTTCCCAGCCAGCACCCTTCCCAGCCAGCACCCTTCCCAGCCAGCACCCTTCCCAGCCAGCACCCTTCCCAGCCAGCACCCTTCCCAGCCAGCACCCTTCCCAGCCAGCACCCTTCCCAGCCAGCACCCTTCCCAGCCAGCACCCTTCCCAGCCAGCACCCTTCCCAGCCAGCACCCTTCCCAGCCAGCACCCTTCCCAGCCAGCACCCTTCCCAGCCAGCACCCTTCCCAGCCAGCACCCTTCCCAGCCAGCACCCTTCCCAGCCAGCACCCTTCCCAGCCAGCACCCTTCCCAGCCAGCACCCTTCCCAGCCAGCACCCTTCCCAGCCAGCACCCTTCCCAGCCAGCACCCTTCCCAGCCAGCACCCTTCCCAGCCAGCACCCTTCCCAGCCAGCACCCTTCCCAGCCAGCACCCTTCCCAGCCAGCACCCTTCCCAGCCAGCACCCTTCCCAGCCAGCACCCTTCCCAGCCAGCACCCTTCCCAGCCAGCACCCTTCCCAGCCAGCACCCTTCCCAGCCAGCACCCTTCCCAGCCAGCACCCTTCCCAGCCAGCACCCTTCCCAGCCAGCACCCTTCCCAGCCAGCACCCTTCCCAGCCAGCACCCTCCCAGCCAGCACCCTTCCCAGCCAGCACCCTTCCCAGCCAGCACCCTTCCCAGCCAGCACCCTTCCCAGCCAGCACCCTTCCCAGCCAGCACCCTTCCCAGCCAGCACCCTTCCCAGCCAGCACCCTTCCCAGCCAGCACCCTTCCCAGCCAGCACCCTTCCCAGCCAGCACCCTTCCCAGCCAGCACCCTTCCCAGCCAGCACCCTTCCCAGCCAGCACCCTTCCCAGCCAGCACCCTTCCCAGCCAGCACCCTTCCCAGCCAGCACCCTTCCCAGCCAGCACCCTTCCCAGCCAGCACCCTTCCCAGCCAGCACCCTTCCCAGCCAGCACCCTTCCCAGCCAGCACCCTTCCCAGCCAGCACCCTTCCCAGCCAGCACCCTTCCCAGCCAGCACCCTTCCCAGCCAGCACCCTTCCCAGCCAGCACCCTTCCCAGCCAGCACCCTTCCCAGCCAGCACCCTTCCCAGCCAGCACCCTTCCCAGCCAGCACCCTTCCCAGCCAGCACCCTTCCCAGCCAGCACCCTTCCCAGCCAGCACCCTTCCCAGCCAGCACCCTTCCCAGCCAGCACCCTTCCCAGCCAGCACCCTTCCCAGCCAGCACCCTTCCCAGCCAGCACCCTTCCCAGCCAGCACCCTTCCCAGCCAGCACCCTTCCCAGCCAGCACCCTTCCCAGCCAGCACCCTTCCCAGCCAGCACCCTTCCCAGCCAGCACCCTTCCCAGCCAGCACCCTTCCCAGCCAGCACCCTTCCCAGCCAGCACCCTTCCCAGCCAGCACCCTTCCCAGCCAGCACCCTTCCCAGCCAGCACCCTTCCCAGCCAGCACCCTTCCCAGCCAGCACCCTTCCCAGCCAGCACCCTTCCCAGCCAGCACCCTTCCCAGCCAGCACCCTTCCCAGCCAGCACCCTTCCCAGCCAGCACCCTCCCCGGCCTGCACCCTTCCCAGCCAGCACCCTTCCCAGCCAGCACCCTTCCCAGCCAGCACCCTTCCCAGCCAGCACCCTTCCCAGCCAGCACCCTTCCCAGCCAGCACCCTTCCCAGCCAGCACCCTTCCCAGCCAGCACCCTTCCCAGCCAGCACCCTTCCCAGCCAGCACCCTTCCCAGCCAGCACCCTTCCCAGCCAGCACCCTTCCCAGCCAGCACCCTTCCCAGCCAGCACCCTTCCCAGCCAGCACCCTTCCCAGCCAGCACCCTTCCCAGCCAGCACCCTTCCCAGCCAGCACCCTTCCCAGCCAGCACCCTTCCCAGCCAGCACCCTTCCCAGCCAGCACCCTTCCCAGCCAGCACCCTTCCCAGCCAGCACCCTTCCCAGCCAGCACCCTTCCCAGCCAGCACCCTTCCCAGCCAGCACCCTTCCCAGCCAGCACCCTTCCCAGCCAGCACCCTTCCCAGCCAGCACCCTTCCCAGCCAGCACCCTTCCCAGCCAGCACCCTTCCCAGCCAGCACCCTTCCCAGCCAGCACCCTTCCCAGCCAGCACCCTTCCCAGCCAGCACCCTTCCCAGCCAGCACCCTCCCGGCCTGCACCCTTCCCAGCCAGCACCCTTCCCAGCCAGCACCCTTCCCAGCCAGCACCCTTCCCAGCCAGCACCCTTCCCAGCCAGCACCCTTCCCAGCCAGCACCCTTCCCAGCCAGCACCCTTCCCAGCCAGCACCCTTCCCAGCCAGCACCCTTCCCAGCCAGCACCCTTCCCAGCCAGCACCCTTCCCAGCCAGCACCCTTCCCAGCCAGCACCCTTCCCAGCCAGCACCCTCCCCGGCCTGCACCCTTCCCAGCCAGCACCCTTCCCAGCCAGCACCCTTCCCAGCCAGCACCCTTCCCAGCCAGCACCCTTCCCAGCCAGCACCCTTCCCAGCCAGCACCCTTCCCAGCCAGCACCCTTCCCAGCCAGCACCCTTCCCAGCCAGCACCCTTCCCAGCCAGCACCCTTCCCAGCCAGCACCCTTCCCAGCCAGCACCCTTCCCAGCCAGCACCCTTCCCAGCCAGCACCCTTCCCAGCCAGCACCCTTCCCAGCCAGCACCCTTCCCAGCCAGCACCCTTCCCAGCCAGCACCCTTCCCAGCCAGCACCCTTCCCAGCCAGCACCCTTCCCAGCCAGCACCCTTCCCAGCCAGCACCCTTCCCAGCCAGCACCCTTCCCAGCCAGCACCCTTCCCAGCCAGCACCCTTCCCAGCCAGCACCCTTCCCAGCCAGCACCCTCCCCGGCCTGCACCCTTCCCAGCCAGCACCCTTCCCAGCCAGCACCCTTCCCAGCCAGCACCCTTCCCAGCCAGCACCCTTCCCAGCCAGCACCCTTCCCAGCCAGCACCCTTCCCAGCCAGCACCCTTCCCAGCCAGCACCCTTCCCAGCCAGCACCCTTCCCAGCCAGCACCCTTCCCAGCCAGCACCCTTCCCAGCCAGCACCCTTCCCAGCCAGCACCCTTCCCAGCCAGCACCCTTCCCAGCCAGCACCCTTCCCAGCCAGCACCCTTCCCAGCCAGCACCCTTCCCAGCCAGCACCCTCCCCGGCCTGCACCCTTCCCAGCCAGCACCCTTCCCAGCCAGCACCCTCCCCGGCCTGCACCCTTCCCAGCCAGCACCCTTCCCAGCCAGCACCCTTCCCAGCCAGCACCCTTCCCAGCCAGCACCCTTCCCAGCCAGCACCCTTCCCAGCCAGCACCCTTCCCAGCCAGCACCCTTCCCAGCCAGCACCCTTCCCAGCCAGCACCCTTCCCAGCCAGCACCCTTCCCAGCCAGCACCCTTCCCAGCCAGCACCCTTCCCAGCCAGCACCCTCCCCGGCCTGCACCCTTCCCAGCCAGCACCCTTCCCAGCCAGCACCCTCCCCGGCCTGCACCCTTCCCAGCCAGCACCCTTCCCAGCCAGCACCCTTCCCAGCCAGCACCCTTCCCAGCCAGCACCCTTCCCAGCCAGCACCCTTCCCAGCCAGCACCCTTCCCAGCCAGCACCCTTCCCAGCCAGCACCCTTCCCAGCCAGCACCCTTCCCAGCCAGCACCCTTCCCGGCCTGCACCCTTCCCAGCCAGCACCCTTCCCAGCCAGCACCCTTCCCAGCCAGCACCCTTCCCAGCCAGCACCCTTCCCAGCCAGCACCCTTCCCAGCCAGCACCCTTCCCAGCCAGCACCCTTCCCAGCCAGCACCCTCCCCGGCCTGCACCCTTCCCAGCCAGCACCCTCCCCGGCCTGCACCCTTCCCAGCCAGCACCCTCCCCGGCCTGCACCCTTCCCAGCCAGCACCCTCCCCGGCCTGCACCCTTCCCAGCCAGCACCCTCCCCGGCCTGCACCCTCCCCGGCCTGCACCCTTCCCAGCCAGCACCCTCCCCGGCCAGCACCCTTCCCAGCCAGCACCCTTCCCAGCCAGCACCCTTCCCAGCCAGCACCCTTCCCAGCCAGCACCCTTCCCAGCCAGCACCCTCCCCGGCCTGCACCCTTCCCAGCCAGCACCCTCCCCGGCCTGCACCCTTCCCAGCCTGCACCCTTCCCAGCCAGCACCCTCCCCGGCCTGCACCCTTCCCAGCCAGCACCCTCCCCGGCCTGCACCCTCCCCGGCCAGCACCCTTCCCAGCCAGCACCCTTCCCAGCCAGCACCCTTCCCAGCCAGCACCCTTCCCAGCCAGCACCCTTCCCAGCCAGCACCCTCCCCGGCCTGCACCCTTCCCAGCCAGCACCCTTCCCAGCCAGCACCCTCCCCGGCCTGCACCCTTCCCAGCCAGCACCCTCCCCGGCCTGCACCCTTCCCAGCCAGCACCCTTCCCGGCCTGCACCCTTCCCAGCCAGCACCCTTCCCAGCCAGCACCCTTCCCAGCCAGCACCCTTCCCAGCCAGCACCCTTCCCAGCCAGCACCCTTCCCAGCCAGCACCCTTCCCAGCCAGCACCCTTCCCAGCCAGCACCCTTCCCAGCCAGCACCCTTCCCAGCCAGCACCCTTCCCAGCCAGCACCCTTCCCAGCCAGCACCCTTCCCAGCCAGCACCCTTCCCAGCCAGCACCCTTCCCAGCCAGCACCCTTCCCAGCCAGCACCCTTCCCAGCCAGCACCCTTCCCAGCCAGCACCCTTCCCAGCCAGCACCCTTCCCAGCCAGCACCCTTCCCAGCCAGCACCCTCCCCGGCCTGCACCCTTCCCAGCCAGCACCCTTCCCAGCCAGCACCCTCCCCGGCCTGCACCCTTCCCAGCCAGCACCCTTCCCAGCCAGCACCCTTCCCAGCCAGCACCCTTCCCAGCCAGCACCCTTCCCAGCCAGCACCCTTCCCAGCCAGCACCCTTCCCAGCCAGCACCCTCCCCGGCCTGCACCCTTCCCAGCCAGCACCCTTCCCAGCCAGCACCCTTCCCAGCCAGCACCCTTCCCAGCCAGCACCCTTCCCAGCCAGCACCCTTCCCAGCCAGCACCCTTCCCAGCCAGCACCCTTCCCAGCCAGCACCCTTCCCAGCCAGCACCCTTCCCAGCCAGCACCCTTCCCAGCCAGCACCCTTCCCAGCCAGCACCCTTCCCAGCCAGCACCCTTCCCAGCCAGCACCCTTCCCAGCCAGCACCCTTCCCAGCCAGCACCCTTCCCAGCCAGCACCCTTCCCAGCCAGCACCCTTCCCAGCCAGCACCCTTCCCAGCCAGCACCCTCCCCGGCCTGCACCCTTCCCAGCCAGCACCCTTCCCAGCCAGCACCCTCCCCGGCCTGCACCCTTCCCAGCCAGCACCCTTCCCAGCCAGCACCCTTCCCAGCCAGCACCCTTCCCAGCCAGCACCCTTCCCAGCCAGCACCCTTCCCAGCCAGCACCCTTCCCAGCCAGCACCCTTCCCAGCCAGCACCCTTCCCAGCCAGCACCCTTCCCAGCCAGCACCCTTCCCGGCCTGCACCCTTCCCAGCCAGCACCCTTCCCAGCCAGCACCCTTCCCAGCCAGCACCCTTCCCAGCCAGCACCCTTCCCAGCCAGCACCCTTCCCAGCCAGCACCCTTCCCAGCCAGCACCCTTCCCAGCCAGCACCCTCCCCGGCCTGCACCCTTCCCAGCCAGCACCCTCCCCGGCCTGCACCCTTCCCAGCCAGCACCCTCCCCGGCCTGCACCCTTCCCAGCCAGCACCCTTCCCAGCCAGCACCCTCCCCGGCCTGCACCCTTCCCAGCCAGCACCCTCCCCGGCCTGCACCCTTCCCAGCCAGCACCCTTCCCAGCCAGCACCCTCCCCGGCCTGCACCCTTCCCAGCCAGCACCCTTCCCAGCCAGCACCCTTCCCAGCCAGCACCCTTCCCAGCCAGCACCCTTCCCAGCCAGCACCCTTCCCAGCCAGCACCCTTCCCAGCCAGCACCCTTCCCAGCCAGCACCCTTCCCAGCCAGCACCCTTCCCAGCCAGCACCCTTCCCAGCCAGCACCCTTCCCAGCCAGCACCCTTCCCAGCCAGCACCCTTCCCAGCCAGCACCCTTCCCAGCCAGCACCCTTCCCAGCCAGCACCCTTCCCAGCCAGCACCCTTCCCAGCCAGCACCCTTCCCAGCCAGCACCCTTCCCAGCCAGCACCCTTCCCAGCCTGCACCCTTCCCAGCCAGCACCCTCCCCGGCCTGCACCCTTCCCAGCCTGCACCCTTCCCAGCCAGCACCCTCCCCGGCCTGCACCCTTCCCAGCCAGCACCCTCCCCGGCCTGCACCCTTCCCAGCCAGCACCCTTCCCAGCCAGCACCCTTCCCAGCCAGCACCCTTCCCAGCCAGCACCCTTCCCAGCCAGCACCCTTCCCAGCCAGCACCCTTCCCAGCCAGCACCCTTCCCAGCCAGCACCCTCCCCGGCCTGCACCCTTCCCAGCCAGCACCCTTCCCAGCCAGCACCCTCCCCGGCCTGCACCCTTCCCAGCCAGCACCCTCCCCGGCCTGCACCCTTCCCAGCCAGCACCCTTCCCGGCCTGCACCCTTCCCAGCCAGCACCCTTCCCAGCCAGCACCCTTCCCAGCCAGCACCCTTCCCAGCCAGCACCCTTCCCAGCCAGCACCCTTCCCAGCCAGCACCCTTCCCAGCCAGCACCCTTCCCAGCCAGCACCCTTCCCAGCCAGCACCCTTCCCAGCCAGCACCCTTCCCAGCCAGCACCCTTCCCAGCCAGCACCCTTCCCAGCCAGCACCCTTCCCAGCCAGCACCCTTCCCAGCCAGCACCCTTCCCAGCCAGCACCCTTCCCAGCCAGCACCCTTCCCAGCCAGCACCCTTCCCAGCCAGCACCCTTCCCAGCCAGCACCCTCCCCGGCCTGCACCCTTCCCAGCCAGCACCCTTCCCAGCCAGCACCCTCCCCGGCCTGCACCCTTCCCAGCCAGCACCCTTCCCAGCCAGCACCCTTCCCAGCCAGCACCCTTCCCAGCCAGCACCCTTCCCAGCCAGCACCCTTCCCAGCCAGCACCCTTCCCAGCCAGCACCCTCCCCGGCCTGCACCCTTCCCAGCCAGCACCCTTCCCAGCCAGCACCCTTCCCAGCCAGCACCCTTCCCAGCCAGCACCCTTCCCAGCCAGCACCCTTCCCAGCCAGCACCCTTCCCAGCCAGCACCCTTCCCAGCCAGCACCCTTCCCAGCCAGCACCCTTCCCAGCCAGCACCCTTCCCAGCCAGCACCCTTCCCAGCCAGCACCCTTCCCAGCCAGCACCCTTCCCAGCCAGCACCCTTCCCAGCCAGCACCCTTCCCAGCCAGCACCCTTCCCAGCCAGCACCCTTCCCAGCCAGCACCCTTCCCAGCCAGCACCCTTCCCAGCCAGCACCCTTCCCAGCCAGCACCCTCCCCGGCCTGCACCCTTCCCAGCCAGCACCCTTCCCAGCCAGCACCCTCCCCGGCCTGCACCCTTCCCAGCCAGCACCCTTCCCAGCCAGCACCCTTCCCAGCCAGCACCCTTCCCAGCCAGCACCCTTCCCAGCCAGCACCCTTCCCAGCCAGCACCCTTCCCAGCCAGCACCCTTCCCAGCCAGCACCCTTCCCAGCCAGCACCCTTCCCAGCCAGCACCCTTCCCGGCCTGCACCCTTCCCAGCCAGCACCCTTCCCAGCCAGCACCCTTCCCAGCCAGCACCCTTCCCAGCCAGCACCCTTCCCAGCCAGCACCCTTCCCAGCCAGCACCCTTCCCAGCCAGCACCCTTCCCAGCCAGCACCCTCCCCGGCCTGCACCCTTCCCAGCCAGCACCCTCCCCGGCCTGCACCCTTCCCAGCCAGCACCCTCCCCGGCCTGCACCCTTCCCAGCCAGCACCCTTCCCAGCCAGCACCCTCCCCGGCCTGCACCCTTCCCAGCCAGCACCCTCCCCGGCCTGCACCCTTCCCAGCCAGCACCCTTCCCAGCCAGCACCCTCCCCGGCCTGCACCCTTCCCAGCCAGCACCCTCCCCGGCCTGCACCCTTCCCAGCCAGCACCCTTCCCGGCCTGCACCCTTCCCAGCCAGCACCCTTCCCAGCCAGCACCCTTCCCAGCCAGCACCCTTCCCAGCCAGCACCCTTCCCAGCCAGCACCCTTCCCAGCCAGCACCCTTCCCAGCCAGCACCCTTCCCAGCCAGCACCCTTCCCAGCCAGCACCCTTCCCAGCCAGCACCCTTCCCAGCCAGCACCCTTCCCAGCCAGCACCCTTCCCAGCCAGCACCCTTCCCAGCCAGCACCCTTCCCAGCCAGCACCCTTCCCAGCCAGCACCCTTCCCAGCCAGCACCCTTCCCAGCCAGCACCCTTCCCAGCCAGCACCCTTCCCAGCCAGCACCCTTCCCAGCCAGCACCCTTCCCAGCCAGCACCCTTCCCAGCCAGCACCCTTCCCAGCCAGCACCCTTCCCAGCCAGCACCCTTCCCAGCCAGCACCCTTCCCAGCCAGCACCCTTCCCAGCCAGCACCCTTCCCAGCCAGCACCCTTCCCAGCCAGCACCCTTCCCAGCCAGCACCCTTCCCAGCCAGCACCCTTCCCAGCCAGCACCCTTCCCAGCCAGCACCCTTCCCAGCCAGCACCCTTCCCAGCCAGCACCCTTCCCAGCCAGCACCCTTCCCAGCCAGCACCCTTCCCAGCCAGCACCCTTCCCAGCCAGCACCCTTCCCAGCCAGCACCCTTCCCAGCCAGCACCCTTCCCAGCCAGCACCCTTCCCAGCCAGCACCCTTCCCAGCCAGCACCCTCCCCGGCCTGCACCCTTCCCAGCCAGCACCCTTCCCAGCCAGCACCCTCCCCGGCCTGCACCCTTCCCAGCCAGCACCCTCCCCGGCCTGCACCCTTCCCAGCCAGCACCCTCCCCGGCCTGCACCCTTCCCAGCCAGCACCCTCCCCGGCCTGCACCCTTCCCAGCCAGCACCCTCCCCGGCCTGCACCCTTCCCAGCCAGCACCCTCCCCGGCCTGCACCCTTCCCAGCCAGCACCCTTCCCAGCCAGCACCCTTCCCAGCCAGCACCCTTCCCAGCCAGCACCCTTCCCAGCCAGCACCCTTCCCAGCCAGCACCCTCCCCGGCCTGCACCCTTCCCAGCCAGCACCCTTCCCAGCCAGCACCCTCCCCGGCCTGCACCCTTCCCAGCCAGCACCCTCCCCGGCCTGCACCCTTCCCAGCCAGCACCCTTCCCGGCCTGCACCCTTCCCAGCCAGCACCCTTCCCAGCCAGCACCCTTCCCAGCCAGCACCCTTCCCAGCCAGCACCCTTCCCAGCCAGCACCCTTCCCAGCCAGCACCCTTCCCAGCCAGCACCCTTCCCAGCCAGCACCCTTCCCAGCCAGCACCCTTCCCAGCCAGCACCCTTCCCAGCCAGCACCCTTCCCAGCCAGCACCCTTCCCAGCCAGCACCCTTCCCAGCCAGCACCCTTCCCAGCCAGCACCCTTCCCAGCCAGCACCCTTCCCAGCCAGCACCCTTCCCAGCCAGCACCCTTCCCAGCCAGCACCCTTCCCAGCCAGCACCCTTCCCAGCCAGCACCCTCCCCGGCCTGCACCCTTCCCAGCCAGCACCCTCCCCGGCCTGCACCCTTCCCAGCCAGCACCCTTCCCAGCCAGCACCCTCCCCGGCCTGCACCCTTCCCAGCCAGCACCCTCCCCGGCCTGCACCCTTCCCAGCCAGCACCCTTCCCAGCCAGCACCCTCCCCGGCCTGCACCCTTCCCAGCCAGCACCCTTCCCAGCCAGCACCCTTCCCAGCCAGCACCCTTCCCAGCCAGCACCCTTCCCAGCCAGCACCCTTCCCAGCCAGCACCCTTCCCAGCCAGCACCCTTCCCAGCCAGCACCCTTCCCAGCCAGCACCCTTCCCAGCCAGCACCCTTCCCAGCCAGCACCCTTCCCAGCCAGCACCCTTCCCAGCCAGCACCCTTCCCAGCCAGCACCCTTCCCAGCCAGCACCCTTCCCAGCCAGCACCCTTCCCAGCCAGCACCCTTCCCAGCCAGCACCCTTCCCAGCCAGCACCCTTCCCAGCCAGCACCCTTCCCAGCCAGCACCCTTCCCAGCCAGCACCCTTCCCAGCCAGCACCCTTCCCAGCCAGCACCCTTCCCAGCCAGCACCCTTCCCAGCCAGCACCCTTCCCAGCCAGCACCCTTCCCAGCCAGCACCCTTCCCAGCCAGCACCCTTCCCAGCCAGCACCCTTCCCAGCCAGCACCCTTCCCAGCCAGCACCCTTCCCAGCCAGCACCCTTCCCAGCCAGCACCCTTCCCAGCCAGCACCCTTCCCAGCCAGCACCCTTCCCAGCCAGCACCCTTCCCAGCCAGCACCCTTCCCAGCCAGCACCCTTCCCAGCCAGCACCCTCCCCGGCCTGCACCCTTCCCAGCCAGCACCCTTCCCAGCCAGCACCCTCCCCGGCCTGCACCCTTCCCAGCCAGCACCCTCCCCGGCCTGCACCCTTCCCAGCCAGCACCCTCCCCGGCCTGCACCCTTCCCAGCCAGCACCCTCCCCGGCCTGCACCCTTCCCAGCCAGCACCCTCCCCGGCCTGCACCCTTCCCAGCCAGCACCCTCCCCGGCCTGCACCCTTCCCAGCCAGCACCCTTCCCAGCCAGCACCCTTCCCAGCCAGCACCCTTCCCAGCCAGCACCCTTCCCAGCCAGCACCCTTCCCAGCCAGCACCCTCCCCGGCCTGCACCCTTCCCAGCCAGCACCCTTCCCAGCCAGCACCCTCCCCGGCCTGCACCCTTCCCAGCCAGCACCCTCCCCGGCCTGCACCCTTCCCAGCCAGCACCCTTCCCAGCCAGCACCCTTCCCAGCCAGCACCCTTCCCAGCCAGCACCCTTCCCAGCCAGCACCCTTCCCAGCCAGCACCCTCCCCGGCCTGCACCCTTCCCAGCCAGCACCCTTCCCAGCCAGCACCCTCCCCGGCCTGCACCCTTCCCAGCCAGCACCCTCCCCGGCCTGCACCCTTCCCAGCCAGCACCCTCCCCGGCCTGCACCCTTCCCAGCCAGCACCCTCCCCGGCCTGCACCCTTCCCAGCCAGCACCCTCCCCGGCCTGCACCCTTCCCAGCCAGCACCCTCCCCGGCCTGCACCCTTCCCAGCCAGCACCCTTCCCAGCCAGCACCCTTCCCAGCCAGCACCCTTCCCAGCCAGCACCCTTCCCAGCCAGCACCCTTCCCAGCCAGCACCCTTCCCAGCCAGCACCCTTCCCAGCCAGCACCCTTCCCAGCCAGCACCCTTCCCAGCCAGCACCCTTCCCAGCCAGCACCCTTCCCAGCCAGCACCCTTCCCAGCCAGCACCCTTCCCAGCCAGCACCCTTCCCAGCCAGCACCCTTCCCAGCCAGCACCCTTCCCAGCCAGCACCCTTCCCAGCCAGCACCCTTCCCAGCCAGCACCCTTCCCAGCCAGCACCCTTCCCAGCCAGCACCCTTCCCAGCCAGCACCCTTCCCAGCCAGCACCCTCCCCGGCCTGCACCCTTCCCGGCCTGCACCCTTCCCAGCCAGCACCCTCCCCGGCCTGCACCCTTCCCAGCCAGCACCCTTCCCAGCCAGCACCCTCCCCGGCCTGCACCCTTCCCAGCCAGCACCCTTCCCAGCCAGCACCCTTCCCAGCCAGCACCCTTCCCAGCCAGCACCCTTCCCAGCCAGCACCCTTCCCAGCCAGCACCCTTCCCAGCCAGCACCCTTCCCAGCCAGCACCCTTCCCAGCCAGCACCCTTCCCAGCCAGCACCCTTCCCAGCCAGCACCCTTCCCAGCCAGCACCCTTCCCAGCCAGCACCCTTCCCAGCCAGCACCCTTCCCAGCCAGCACCCTTCCCAGCCAGCACCCTTCCCAGCCAGCACCCTTCCCAGCCAGCACCCTTCCCAGCCAGCACCCTTCCCAGCCAGCACCCTTCCCAGCCAGCACCCTTCCCAGCCAGCACCCTTCCCAGCCAGCACCCTTCCCAGCCAGCACCCTTCCCAGCCAGCACCCTTCCCAGCCAGCACCCTTCCCAGCCAGCACCCTTCCCAGCCAGCACCCTTCCCAGCCAGCACCCTTCCCAGCCAGCACCCTTCCCAGCCAGCACCCTTCCCAGCCAGCACCCTTCCCAGCCAGCACCCTTCCCAGCCAGCACCCTTCCCAGCCAGCACCCTTCCCAGCCAGCACCCTTCCCAGCCAGCACCCTCCCCGGCCTGCACCCTTCCCAGCCAGCACCCTTCCCAGCCAGCACCCTCCCCGGCCTGCACCCTTCCCAGCCAGCACCCTCCCCGGCCTGCACCCTTCCCAGCCAGCACCCTCCCCGGCCTGCACCCTTCCCAGCCAGCACCCTCCCCGGCCTGCACCCTTCCCAGCCAGCACCCTCCCCGGCCTGCACCCTTCCCAGCCAGCACCCTCCCCGGCCTGCACCCTTCCCAGCCAGCACCCTCCCCGGCCTGCACCCTTCCCAGCCAGCACCCTCCCCGGCCTGCACCCTTCCCAGCCAGCACCCTCCCCGGCCTGCACCCTTCCCAGCCAGCACCCTCCCCGGCCTGCACCCTTCCCAGCCAGCACCCTCCCCGGCCTGCACCCTTCCCAGCCAGCACCCTCCCCGGCCAGCACCCTTCCCAGCCAGCACCCTTCCCAGCCAGCACCCTTCCCAGCCAGCACCCTTCCCAGCCAGCACCCTTCCCAGCCAGCACCCTTCCCAGCCAGCACCCTTCCCAGCCAGCACCCTTCCCAGCCAGCACCCTTCCCAGCCAGCACCCTTCCCAGCCAGCACCCTTCCCAGCCAGCACCCTTCCCAGCCAGCACCCTTCCCAGCCAGCACCCTTCCCAGCCAGCACCCTTCCCAGCCAGCACCCTTCCCAGCCAGCACCCTTCCCAGCCAGCACCCTTCCCAGCCAGCACCCTTCCCAGCCAGCACCCTTCCCAGCCAGCACCCTTCCCAGCCAGCACCCTTCCCAGCCAGCACCCTTCCCAGCCAGCACCCTTCCCAGCCAGCACCCTTCCCAGCCAGCACCCTCCCCGGCCTGCACCCTTCCCAGCCAGCACCCTTCCCAGCCAGCACCCTCCCCGGCCTGCACCCTTCCCAGCCAGCACCCTTCCCAGCCAGCACCCTCCCCGGCCTGCACCCTTCCCAGCCAGCACCCTCCCCGGCCTGCACCCTTCCCAGCCAGCACCCTTCCCAGCCAGCACCCTTCCCAGCCAGCACCCTTCCCAGCCAGCACCCTTCCCAGCCAGCACCCTTCCCAGCCAGCACCCTCCCCGGCCTGCACCCTTCCCAGCCAGCACCCTTCCCAGCCAGCACCCTCCCCGGCCTGCACCCTTCCCAGCCAGCACCCTCCCCGGCCTGCACCCTTCCCAGCCAGCACCCTCCCCGGCCTGCACCCTTCCCAGCCAGCACCCTCCCCGGCCTGCACCCTTCCCAGCCAGCACCCTCCCCGGCCTGCACCCTTCCCAGCCAGCACCCTCCCCGGCCTGCACCCTTCCCAGCCAGCACCCTCCCCGGCCTGCACCCTTCCCAGCCAGCACCCTCCCCGGCCTGCACCCTTCCCAGCCAGCACCCTTCCCAGCCAGCACCCTCCCCGGCCTGCACCCTTCCCAGCCAGCACCCTTCCCAGCCAGCACCCTTCCCAGCCAGCACCCTTCCCAGCCAGCACCCTTCCCAGCCAGCACCCTTCCCAGCCAGCACCCTTCCCAGCCAGCACCCTTCCCAGCCAGCACCCTTCCCAGCCAGCACCCTTCCCAGCCAGCACCCTTCCCAGCCAGCACCCTTCCCAGCCAGCACCCTTCCCAGCCAGCACCCTTCCCAGCCAGCACCCTTCCCAGCCAGCACCCTTCCCAGCCAGCACCCTTCCCAGCCAGCACCCTCCCCGGCCTGCACCCTTCCCAGCCAGCACCCTTCCCAGCCAGCACCCTTCCCAGCCAGCACCCTTCCCAGCCAGCACCCTTCCCAGCCAGCACCCTTCCCAGCCAGCACCCTTCCCAGCCAGCACCCTTCCCAGCCAGCACCCTTCCCAGCCAGCACCCTTCCCAGCCAGCACCCTTCCCAGCCAGCACCCTTCCCAGCCAGCACCCTTCCCAGCCAGCACCCTTCCCAGCCAGCACCCTTCCCAGCCAGCACCCTTCCCAGCCAGCACCCTTCCCAGCCAGCACCCTTCCCAGCCAGCACCCTTCCCAGCCAGCACCCTTCCCAGCCAGCACCCTCCCCGGCCTGCACCCTTCCCAGCCAGCACCCTTCCCAGCCAGCACCCTCCCCGGCCTGCACCCTTCCCAGCCAGCACCCTCCCCGGCCTGCACCCTTCCCAGCCAGCACCCTCCCCGGCCTGCACCCTTCCCAGCCAGCACCCTTCCCAGCCAGCACCCTCCCCGGCCTGCACCCTTCCCAGCCAGCACCCTCCCCGGCCTGCACCCTTCCCAGCCAGCACCCTTCCCAGCCAGCACCCTTCCCAGCCAGCACCCTTCCCAGCCAGCACCCTTCCCAGCCAGCACCCTTCCCAGCCAGCACCCTCCCCGGCCTGCACCCTTCCCAGCCAGCACCCTTCCCAGCCAGCACCCTCCCCGGCCTGCACCCTTCCCAGCCAGCACCCTCCCCGGCCTGCACCCTTCCCAGCCAGCACCCTCCCCGGCCTGCACCCTTCCCAGCCAGCACCCTCCCCGGCCTGCACCCTTCCCAGCCAGCACCCTCCCCGGCCTGCACCCTTCCCAGCCAGCACCCTCCCCGGCCTGCACCCTTCCCAGCCAGCACCCTCCCCGGCCTGCACCCTTCCCAGCCAGCACCCTCCCCGGCCTGCACCCTTCCCAGCCAGCACCCTTCCCAGCCAGCACCCTCCCCAGCCTGCACCCTTCCCAGCCAGCACCCTTCCCAGCCAGCACCCTTCCCAGCCAGCACCCTTCCCAGCCAGCACCCTTCCCAGCCAGCACCCTTCCCAGCCAGCACCCTTCCCAGCCAGCACCCTTCCCAGCCAGCACCCTTCCCAGCCAGCACCCTTCCCAGCCAGCACCCTTCCCAGCCAGCACCCTTCCCAGCCAGCACCCTTCCCAGCCAGCACCCTTCCCAGCCAGCACCCTTCCCAGCCAGCACCCTTCCCAGCCAGCACCCTTCCCAGCCAGCACCCTTCCCAGCCAGCACCCTTCCCAGCCAGCACCCTTCCCAGCCAGCACCCTTCCCAGCCAGCACCCTTCCCAGCCAGCACCCTTCCCAGCCAGCACCCTTCCCAGCCAGCACCCTTCCCAGCCAGCACCCTTCCCAGCCAGCACCCTTCCCAGCCAGCACCCTTCCCAGCCAGCACCCTTCCCAGCCAGCACCCTTCCCAGCCAGCACCCTTCCCAGCCAGCACCCTTCCCAGCCAGCACCCTTCCCAGCCAGCACCCTTCCCAGCCAGCACCCTTCCCAGCCAGCACCCTTCCCAGCCAGCACCCTTCCCAGCCAGCACCCTTCCCAGCCAGCACCCTTCCCAGCCAGCACCCTTCCCAGCCAGCACCCTCCCCGGCCTGCACCCTCCCCGGCCTGCACCCTTCCCAGCCAGCACCCTTCCCAGCCAGCACCCTTCCCAGCCAGCACCCTTCCCAGCCAGCACCCTTCCCAGCCAGCACCCTTCCCAGCCAGCACCCTTCCCAGCCAGCACCCTTCCCAGCCAGCACCCTTCCCAGCCAGCACCCTTCCCAGCCAGCACCCTTCCCAGCCAGCACCCTTCCCAGCCAGCACCCTTCCCAGCCAGCACCCTTCCCAGCCAGCACCCTTCCCAGCCAGCACCCTTCCCAGCCAGCACCCTTCCCAGCCAGCACCCTTCCCAGCCAGCACCCTTCCCAGCCAGCACCCTTCCCAGCCAGCACCCTTCCCAGCCAGCACCCTTCCCAGCCAGCACCCTTCCCAGCCAGCACCCTTCCCAGCCAGCACCCTTCCCAGCCAGCACCCTTCCCAGCCAGCACCCTTCCCAGCCAGCACCCTTCCCAGCCAGCACCCTTCCCAGCCAGCACCCTCCCCGGCCTGCACCCTCCCCGGCCTGCACCCTCCCCTGCCCCTCGCTTCCATCCTATTCAGCCAGCCAGACAGCGCAGGCAGCAGGAGTGACTACGAATATACGACAACTAGCTTGCATTTGTCATGCATCCATAAATTCTTTCTCGATAATCCTCACGTCCCCCCCCCAACCCCCCTCATTTCCCCCGATTCCCTCCCCCCCTTCAACCCACCTACCAGCCAGCCATACAGCGCAGGCAGCAGGAGTGTCTAAAGATATACGACAAGCACCTCTCCTCCGATGAGGCCCTTTTGGAATCCGTCATGCTCTCGCTTAAAGCACACATGGGTGTTGTCATGCGCAGACGCAGATAGTACGCCGTCACAAATTTGTTACATTCTTTTGTTGTCAAATTTATTTTACATATATGATCTGTTAACTATACTTTTGTTTCCTGCTCTTGAAAGGATTTCCGTGCTGATTTTCTCAAATTACAGGTGTTCGTCATGCAAATTATCTGGTACAGATATTATCTGAGGTAATGCTGGTACCGCATGTTGACATGACAATGTGACATGAGCAGGTTTCAAATATTGAATAGACCTTATACTTCAAATGTAGGAATATAGATTCTCTCACCGAACTAAAACGCACCAAACACTAACTGCGAACTCAAGTGCGCTTGTCCCCTCCCTCCTCAGCTACTGCACTCGGCACGCTTACTCCAAACCACTAGTGCCTTCACAACAGCATTGCTTCCGCGTTCTCCGGCTAGTCTCCTCGTTCTCACGTTATCCGGCGGTTTTGCAACTCAGAACCGTTAGCCTTCGCGCCACCCATCCGTGCTCTTAGATGCTCAGAATGAAGCGTTCGGAAGAAAAGCGAGCCAAATCCCCCAAACCCTCCAAGAAGAAGGCGAAAACAGACTCGCCGTCGGTAAAGGCTTCAAAGAAGTCGAAACCCTCGGCTACAGCCGCAGACGGAGCGGCGAAGAGCTCGCTGCGCGCCGATGACGACACGTGGAAGGACCACGCCGATCGCTCCGGCGGCAGCGACGGCGACGCCGCAGACGGCGCTGAGCCGGCTGCTGGCTCGGCAGCTGCCGGCGCGGCCGGCACGGCAGGAGGGGGCGAGGCCGGCGCGGGTGATGGCTATGAGGAGATGACGGGGCTAGTTCTTCGTAACGAGGAGTTCGAGGACGGCAACACTGGCGGCAGCGGCAGCGGCGGCGTGCGATGCCTGCACGAAGTTGCGTACCCCAAGGGGTGGAAGCTTCCTACCAGCAAGGAAGCTGCGCGGAAACCACTGCCTGAGAAGCCCGCCAAGGAGTACCCGTTTAAGCTGGACCCGTTTCAGGAAGAGGCCGTCCGGTGCTTGGAAGCCAACGAATCCGTGCTGGTGAGAAAATCGCGACAGAAACCCGAAACCCGAAACCCCGACTGGAAGGTTAAGGCTTAAACCCTGATTGGAAACCCTATACAAAACTCCCGGATGAAACCATAGCGCCAAAAGTTGTCCCCTGGGAACCTTAAACCCCGGCTGGGAACCTTTGCATAAAACCCTAGTCCGTTATCCACATTGGTGAGGCGAACGAGCTGTGCACTTAGGGTTTTGACTGATCATGTTGCCAAAGGAAAGTCATATTGTGTGGTGCGATACATCGTCCCCTTCCTCTTCATCCTCCCCCTTTCATCGAACTCCCCCCCACCCCTCCCCTCCTTTCCTTTCCCAACCCCAGACCTCCACGCCTTACCTCGGCAGACAGAATCAGATTAATACCCTCACTCCCTCCCTCACTCCTAATTCTCACTCCCTCACTCACTCCTGACCCTCACTCCCTCACTCACTCCTGACCCTCACTCCCTCACTCCATCTTTCCAGGTATCAGCACACACATCTGCGGGAAAAACAGTGGTGGCAGAATACGCCATAGCCATGGCGATGCGGGACAACCAGCGGGACCGCAGTACCCCCACTTCCCTCCCTCCCACTCCCTCTCCCTCACTCCCCGACTCCCCCTCCCCATCCTTCCAGGTATCAGCACACACATCTGCTGGAAAGACAGTGGTAGCAGAGTATGCCATAGCCATGGCAATGCAGGACAACCAGCGGGTCGTGTACACATCGCCCATCAAGGCTCTCCCACTCTCGTTCCCTCCTTCAACTCACTCTCCCACTCTCCCACTCTCCCACTCACTCTCCCCCACTCACCGCAGGTATCAGCACACACATCAGCAGGCAAGACAGTGGTAGCAGAGTACGCCATAGCCATGGCGATGCGGGACAACCAGCGTGCCGTGATGACAGAGAGCCTTCATTCCCATCCCTTTCTCTCCACTTAATTCCGCCAGGTCTCAGCGCACACATCTGCCGGAAAAACAGTGGTGGCAGAGTACGCCATAGCCATGGCGATGCGCGACAACCAGCGGGTCGTGTACACATCACCCATCAAAGCGCTGAGCAACCAGAAGTTCCGCGAGATGAGCCAGGAGTTTGGGGACGTGGGGCTCATGACTGGCGATGTTACGATCGCGCCTAACGCTACATGCCTGGTACGGTATGGTGCAGTGCGGTGCAGTGCGGTGATAGGTGTTGTTGGTTGAGTCGTGTACACATCCCCCATCAAGGCGCTGAGCAACCAGAAGTTCCGCGAGATGAGCCAGGAGTTTGGGGACGTGGGGCTCATGACTGGCGATGTTACGATCGCGCCTAACGCTACATGCCTGGTACGGTATGGTGCAGTGCGGTGCAGTGCGGTGATAGGTGTTGTTGGTTGAGTCGTGTACACATCCCCCATCAAGGCGCTGAGCAACCAGAAGTTCCGCGAGATGAGCCAGGAGTTTGGGGACGTGGGGCTCATGACTGGCGACGTTACGATTGCACCGAACGCTACATGCCTGGTGGGTGCTAGAGTGACTGCCTGGTATGGTGCGGTATGGTGCGGTGAGAGGGTGTTGGATTGTTGCATTGTACACGTCCCCCATCAAGGCGCTGAGCAACCAGAAGTTCCGCGAGATGAGTCAGGAGTTTGGAGATGTGGGACTCATGACGGGGGATGTTACGATTGCTCCCAACGCCACCTGCCTGGCATGTGTGTATGATGTATGTATGTATGTCAGTTACGGGGCTGTGTATGAGTCGGGAGTTTGGGGACGTGGGGCTCATGACAGGGGATGTCACCATCGCCCCCAATGCGACCTGCCTGGTGGGTGATAGATGATAGCTGCAAAGCCTATTCTCTGTGAATTCTCCTCAGCATGCTGTTTTGGGGTTCTGCTTTCGTGCGTGCGGGAGGTGGGGTGGATCGTCTCTCTCTCAAAGAGACAGGGAGTGAACAGGCGAGGTGCATTACCTGAGAGAGACAGGGAGCACTCCGTACTTCTCCTCTTTACCCACCTCCATCTCTCCGCACTGCTCTGTAATGCCCCGAACCGAGATTCTCCGCAGGTTATGACCACCGAGAGTCTCCGCAGCATGCTGTATGGGGGTTCCGATTTCGCGAGGGAGGTGGTGTGGATTATCTATGACGGAGGTGCATTACCTGAGGGACAAGAAGCACCCCGTTCTTCTCCTCTTTACCCACCTCTCTCGCTCTGTACCCCTCTGTATTGCCCTAAAACTCCCGCTTCCCTGCTCCTAACTCCAGGTCATGACGACTGAGATTCTCCGTGGCATGCTGTATTGGGAGCACCCCATTCTGCTTCCCTTAACCCATCGTCACCACTATGTATTGCCCTGAACCTCTGTGTACCACCCCAGGTCATGACAACCGAGATTCTCCGCAGCATGCTGTATCGGGGATCCGATTTCGTGCGGGAGGTGGGGTGGATAATCTTCGACGAGGTGCATTACCTGAGGGACAAGAAGAGTAGTTTCTCTCTTTTCCATCCACCCTCACCGCTCTGCACCGCTCTGTATTGCCCCAAACTCCAGGTTATGACTACCGAGATTCTCCGCAGCATGCTGTATCGGGGATCCAATTTCGTGTGGGAAGTGGGGTGGATCATATTCGACGAGGTGCATTACCTGAGGGACAAGGAGCACCCCATTCTTCTCTTCCTTTCCCACCTCCACCTCTCTGCACCGCTCTGTATTGCCCCAAACCTCCCAGGTTATGACGACGGAGATTCTCCGGAGCATGCTGTATCGGGGATCCGATTTCGTGCGGGAGGTGGGGTGGATTATATTCGACGAGGTGCATTACCTGAGGGACAAGGAGCGAGGGGTGGTGTGGGAGGAGAGTATCGTCATGGCTCCCAAGTCCTCCCGCTTCGTCTTCCTCTCGGCCACTGTGCCCAACGCACGCGAGTTTGCTGAGTGGGTGGCTAAGGTATGCAACTTAGTGGGGGGAAGGAGTGGGATGACTAAGGTACGTCCCAATTCTTCTCGCTTTGTATTCCGTCCTCTACTCTCGCGATTGAGTGTCATCAGGTGCAACATCAATCATTACCATTACCATTACAATTACCATTACCATTACCATTACCATTACCATTACAATTACCATTGCAATGACCATTACCATTACCATTACCATTACAATTACCATTACCATTACAATTACCATTACCGTTAACATTACAATAACAATTACAATAACCACTACCACTATCATTACCATTACCATTACCACTATCATTACCATTACCATTACCATTATCATTACTATTACCACTACCATTATCATACCAATTTCATTACCACTATCATTACCATTACCATTACCATTATCATTACCATTGCCACTATCATTACCATTATCATTACCACTACCATTACCATTACCATTACCATTACCATTACCATTATCACTATCACTATTACCACTACCATTACCATTACCATTATCATTACCATTACTATTACCATTATCATTACCATTACCATTACCACTATCATTACCATTACCACTACCATTACCATTATCATTACCATTACTATTACCATTACCATTACCATTACCATTACCATTACCACTATCACTACCATTACCATTACCATTACCACTACCATTACCATTATCATTACAATTTCCATTACCATTATCATTACTATTACCACTATCATTACCAGTGCTATTACCACTACCACTACCACTACCATTACCATTACCATTACCATTACCATGGAGCTCTGTGTATGATTATGGTCTTGTTCAGTGTGCTTTGCCCCTGCCTTTGACTGCGTGTCCATACCAGGTGCGGTGCACCAGCAGTCGTTCCACATAGTATACATGGAGTACCGTAGGGGACATGGGACTCTTGTTTTGAGGTGCCTCAGAAACATTTTCCTTTGTTCTTTACCCTTGTGTTGTGTTTGGCTTCACTGTTACCAGGTGCACCAGCAGCCCTGCCACATCGTCTACACGGACTACCGCCCCGTGCCTCTCCAGCACTACATCTTCCCCGCAGGGGGCATGGGACTCTGAGTGTGATGTGCCCTTGCGTGTGCCATGTGCCTTGCCCCTGTCTCTTCTCCCGGCCCAACAGGTGCACCAGCAGCCCTGCCACATCGTCTACACGGACTACCGCCCCACACCGCTTCAGCACTACATCTTCCCCGCAGGGGGCATGGGCCTGTTCCTAGCCGTCGACGAGAAGGGCAAGTTCCGCGAAGCTTCCTTCCAGAAGGCGATGAACGCAGTGGAAGGGGGGGAGGGCGGCGGAAAGGGGGAGGAGGGGGAGGACGGGGGGAGGAAAGGGGGGAAGTGGGGGAAGGGCAAGCGGGGAGCGGGAGGGGGCGGCCCCGGAGGGGGAGGCGGAGGGGGGAAGAAGGGGGAGGAGAGTGATATATACAAGATCGTGAAGATGATAATGCAGAGGCAGTATGATCCGGTGATTGTGTTCTCGTTTAGCCGCGCCGACTGTGAGGCGCTGGCGCTGCAGATGTCTCGCATGGACCTGAACGACGAGGATGAGAAAACTCTCATTGATGGGATCTTCAGGAATGCCATTGACAGTTTGGCGGAGGAAGACAAGAAACTTCCACAGGTGAGAGTGAAGTGAAGGTGGTGCCTCAGGTGAGTGGGGCATTGGCGCCCACTCATGGGCTGTGAGGCGCTGACACTGCAGATGTCTCGAATGGACCTGAATGATGATGATGATGAGAAGACATTGATTGATGGGATCTTCAGGAATGCCATTGACAGTTTGGCGGAAGAAGACAAGAAGCTACCGCAGGTGGGTACCTGAATGAACTGAAGCTGCCTTAGGTCCGTGGGTGGTACATATCTGTGAGGCTCTGGCGCTGCAGATGTCTCGAATGGACCTGAACAACGAGAATGAGAAGACGCTGATTGATGGGATCTTCAGGAATGCGTTTGACAGCCTGACAGCCATTGTAGGACCTTTTCCAATGACTCGCCTGACAAAGGAGCCCTCCTCTCGCCTTGCATCGCATCCTCATCCTTCATCCTCCACTCCACTCACAACACCCCCATCCCGCCAACACATCCCATCAGGTGAACAGCATGCTGCCGCTGCTGCGGAGGGGCATCGGCATTCACCACTCGGGGCTTCTGCCGCTGCTGAAAGAAGTGATTGAAATCCTCTTCCAAGAAGGGCTGCTCAAGGTGGGTTCGCGAGAGGGGGTTGGGTTGGGGAGGGGAGGAAAAGGGGGGGCATTGGAGCTCTTGCATTCACCACTCGGGGCTGCTGCCGCTGCTGAGAGAAGTGATTGAAATCCTCTTTCAAGAGGGGCTGCTCAATGTGCGTTGGTTGAGGCCAGTGTGTGTGTGTGCGTTGGTTGAGGCCAGTGTGTGTGTGTGCGTTGGTTGAGGCCAGTGTGTGTGTGTGCGTTGGTTGAGGCCAGTGTGTGTGTGTGCGTTGGTTGAGGCCAGTGTGTGTGTGTGCGTTGGTTGAGGCCAGTGTGTGTGTGTGCGTTGGTTGAGGCCAGTGTGTGTGTGTGCGTTGGTTGAGGCCAGTGTGTGTGTGTGCGTTGGTTGAGGCCAGTGTGTGTGTGTGCGTTGGTTGAGGCCAGTGTGTGTGTGTGCGTTGGTTGAGGCCAGTGTGTGTGTGTGCGTTGGTTGAGGCCAGTGTGTGTGTGTGCGTTGGTTGAGGCCAGTGTGTGTGTGTGCGTTGGTTGAGGCCAGTGTGTGTGTGTGCGTTGGTTGAGGCCAATGTGTGTGTGTGTGTGTGTGTGTGTTGGTTGAGGCCAGTGTGTGTGTGTGTGTTGGTTGAGGCCAATGTGTGTGTGTGTGTGTGTGTGTGTTGGTTGAGGCCAGTGTGTGTGTGTGTGTGTGCGTTGCGGCATGGAAGCTCTCTCATCTCATCCACCACTCGGGGTTGTTGCCGCTGCTGAAAGAAGTGATGAAAATCCTCTTTCAAGAGGGGCTGCTCAAGGTACGTGCGTGCATTGCATAGCAAGGTGCACCTGGTGGGTGTTGCGCTGCATGTGTTATGCGTGTGCTGCACTTGGCCGCGAGGCCTGGGCGTTGCATGAGGCAATCAAAATCCACCACTCGGGGCTGCTGCCGCTGCTGAAAGAAGTGATTTAAATCCTCTTTTGGGGCTGCTCAAGGTGTGTATGTGCATCTTGGCCCACATAGGGGAGGAAAAGGGGGGGGCATGGGAGCTCTCTCATTCACCACTCGGGGCTGCTCCCCTTGCGGAAAGAAGTGATCGAAATCCTCTTTCAAGAGGGGCTGCTCAAGGTGCGTGCGGGAGAGGGGGATGGGGAGGGGAGGAAAAGGGCATTGCAAGTGCAAGATATAGACCTCTTCCAACGAGTGCTGCTCGAGGTTCATGGGTGGAGTGAGTTTCATGTTTTGTACGAAGAGTGCGTGTCAAGGCAACAGGATCCTTAGCTGACGACGGACCAGAGAGGCTGCTCAAGGTGAGTGTGTTTCTTACGTATTTGTTGCCCAATGCCACTCCCGATGTTTCCTTCAAGCCCCTTAAGCTTCTGCCTACTTTGCTCCGTGTCTTTTCTCACCTTAACCCCTCCGTTTTATTGTATCCACTTACTCTCTCTCCCATCACCATGCATGTTCTTCCTGTTCCCACCAGTGTCTGTTCACAACGGGGACCGTCAGCATTGGGCTCAACATGCCTGCCAAGACACCAATGCCCCTCACAATTCCTCGTACACACACCAAGACCCTGTCACCTAATCCTGCTGCTGCTCCCCCTGCCCTCCCATCAGTGTCTGTTTGCCACCGAGACCTTCAGCATCGGGCTCAACATGCCGGCCAAGACGGTAGTTTTCACCAACGTCACTTGTGACCCCACCATTCAGCCTTCCTCTCATTCCCTCACATATCCCCCTCCTCACCATATCCCGCCCCTCCACCAGTGTCTGTTTGCCACCGAGACCTTCAGCATCGGGCTCAACATGCCGGCCAAGACGGTAGTTTTCACCAACGTCACTTGTGACCCCACCATTCAGCCTTCCTCTCATTCCCTCACATATCCCCCTCCTCACCATATCCCGCCCCTCCACCAGTGTCTGTTTGCCACCGAGACATTCAGCATCGGGCTCAACATGCCGGCCAAGACGGTAGTTTTCACCAACGTCACTTGTGACCCCACCATTCAGCCTTCCTCTCATTCCCTCACATATCCCCCTCCTCACCATATCCCGCCCCTCCACCAGTGTCTGTTTGCCACCGAGACATTCAGCATCGGGCTCAACATGCCGGCCAAGACGGTAGTTTTCACTAACGTGCGCAAGTGGGACGGCACCAAGTCCCGGTGAGTGTGCGGTAACCAGTGTGTTTGGGGCCTAGACATACTCTTACAAGGCTTGCTGCGGGTCAAACGCAGTCCTTTCCCTTCAGCATTGGCTCGACTCAACATGCCGGCCAAGACAGTCATGTCGTTTTCACCAACGTGCGCAAATGGGACGGCACCAAGTCCCGGTGAGTGTGTTGTAACCAGTGTGTTTGAAGCTTAGACATTTCCTTGACGGTGCTGCCCAGTCTATCACATGCCGGCAGACAGTCGTTTTCACTAACGTGCGCAAGTGGGACGGCACCAAGTCCCGGTGAGATGAGAAGAAGCATGCTGTTGGCACGAAAAGTCCTGCCCTCATCATCATCAGCAGCAGCATGCTTACTAGGAGTTTCAGATGAGTGGGCGGGCGGGCAGGAGAGCTCTGGACCGTTGGAAACCTGGAAATAGCAGCGGGCGTTATTCGCAAGTTTCCCCACTTTTTGCGTTTCATCTGCTCCCTGTTCTTGCACCAGGTGGCTGTCAGGAGGCGAGTACATTCAGATGAGTGGACGCGCGGGCAGGCGAGGCCTGGACTGAACTGATTGCAGGGCTGTTACCGTGTATCTCCTGCCCCCTGCTCCCCTTACTCCCTGTTTTCCGTACTCCACCTATGTGCAGGTGGCTGTCAGGAGGCGAGTACATTCAGATGAGTGGGCGAGCGGGCAGGCGAGGCCTGGACGACCGGGGTATCTGCATTCTCATGGTGGACTCAAGGATGGAACCTGCAGTAGCCAAGGGGATGGTCAAGGGCTCTGCTGATCCTCTTGTGAGGTGAGTCATATAACATGTATCAACTCAGCAATTGAGGCCTGGACTACCGTGGCATCTGCATTCTGATGGTGGACTCGCGGGTGGAGCCTGCAGTAACCAAGGGCATGGAGAAGGGCTCTGCAGACCCTTTTGTGAGGTGAGCATGCAATGTTGGGAGCACAGCAGCAGGATGACCGGGGCATTTGCATTCTGATGGTGGACTCGCGTATGGAACCGGCAGTAGCCAAGGGGATGGTCAAGGGCTCTGCAGACCCGCTAGTGAGGTGAGGTTTGCATTATCCTTGTGCCCTGAACTGAACTGTACATAGTGGTTACAGCTCGCTGCTGTACTGGATGACCGGGGCATCTGCATTCTGATGGTGGACTCGCGGATGGAACCAGCCGTTGCCAAAGGGATGGTGAAAGGCTCAGCCGACCCCCTAGTGAGGTGCGTTATAACAGGGATGAATAGGAATGGTCGCCCCTTGTGCAAGGCCTGGACTGGACGACCGGGGCATCTGCATTCTCATGGTGGACTCGCGGATGGAACCAGCGGTAGCCAAGGGGATGGTCAAGGGCTCTGCTGATCCACGTGTGAGGTGAGCTGCGTTTTGCTCTTGTAGATGGGTGCTAGAGCTCGCCACTGTACCGACCGGGGCATCTGCATTCTGATGGTGGAGAACGGAGCCTGCCGTGGCCAAGGGAATGGTCAAGGGGTCCGCGGACCCGCTAGTGAGGTGAGGCGTTGTAACAGGAATTGATAGGAGTGATCACCCTGTGTACGAGTGCTGATCGAGCAGGGGACCTGCATTTTCATGCCGCGAACGACCACGCTTCTTACGTCTCTCCCCGCCCTCCTCTCCTCTACTTTCGTTTTCCTCTTTCCTGTGTGCCCCCTCTCGTCCAATCAGCGCCTTCCACCTGTCGTATAACTTCATTCTGAACCAGCTGAGGAGCCCCGAGGTGGAGATACAGCAGACCATCAGAAGCTCCTACCGCCAGTTTCAATCAGACATAGCATTGCCAGCCCTGCAGGTGCGTTGAGTGCACGGACCTGTAGGCATGTTGTGTTGCAGGTGTGCGTTGCGTTGACTCAGGTCCCTCCCTCAGAGCCCCGAGGTGGAGATAGAGCAGACCATCTGCAGCTCGTACCGCCAGGTCCAGTCAGACAGAACGCTCCCAGCCCTGCAGGTACGTGCGTTGACTCATTGAGCCAGAGGCCCCTCATTGAGCCATAGGTTAGGGGTCCCTCACTCAGAGCCCCGAGCCCGAGGTGGAGATAGAGCAGACCATCAGAAGCTCCTACCGCCAGTTTCAATCAGACAGAACGCTCCCAGCCCTGCAGGTGCGTTTATAAGACAGGCAGACGCCTGAGGTGGTTCCTAAAAATGGTTTCGAAAACATTTCACCTGCGGTGGAAATAGAGAAGGCCATTTGCCACCGCCAGTCAGGCCAAGCATTATCAGCACTGCAGAGCAGATGCATTTATCAGCAACAGGCGTGGCAAGTCGTTTCTTCGAGTAAAGTCGTTACATCTCTCCTCTCCATCCTCTCCGCCGCCAACTCCCTCTCTTCAGGGAGCGCTGAAAGCTGAAATCCGCTCCAACCTCACCACCCCCTCTTTACCACAGCCAAACTCCCCCCTTCCCGTGTCCCGCCCCCTTTCTCCCCTTAACAGGCGTGCCTACAAGCTCTTGAATCCGAGTACTCTTCTATCAACATCCCTGACGAGTCATCCCTCCTCGCCCTCCTCTCCCTCCGCCGCCAACTCTCCGCCCTGAGGGCTGAGATCCGCTCCTTCATCACCGCCCCCCGCCACGCCCTCCCCTTCTCTTACTCCTTCCCCTTTCCTCCCCGCACACAGGCACGCTTGCAAGCCCTTGAAGCCGAGTATTCATCAATCAACATCCCTGACGAGTCATCCCTCCTCGCCCTCCTCTCCCTCCGCCGCCAACTCTCCGCCCTGAGGGCTGAGATCCGCTCCTTCATCACCGCCCCCCGCCACGCCCTCCCCTTCTCTTACTCCTTCCCCTTTGCTCCCCGCACACAGGCACGCTTGCAAGCCCTTGAAGCCGAGTATTCATCAATCAACATCCCTGACGAGTCATCCCTCCTCGCCCTCCTCTCCCTCCGCCGCCAACTCTCCGCCCTGAGGGCTGAGATCCGCTCCTTCATCACCGCCCCCCGCCACGCCCTCCCCTTCCTCTCCCCTGGGAGGGTTGTGCGGATACTGTGCAAGGGGGGAGGGGGAGGGGCGGGGGGAGGGGAAGGGGAAGGGGAAGGGGAGGGCGGAGGGGAAGGGGGGGAGGGGGGGGGAATCGGGAACGAGGAGGATGTGACTGTATGGGGCGTGGTGGTGAATTTCAAGAAGGTGAATCGGAAACGAGGAGTGGGAGGAGGGGAGCTGCAGGATGGTGAGTGATGGGACAGGAATGTGTTATGAGCTGGGATGCTGTGTGCCGTTGGCTTGATGCCATGCCTTCATCTAAGTGGTGGTTATGAACTTGAAGAACTTGTCTCATGCTTCCGGTTCACCTTCTTGAAGGGCCTATGCCATGCTTGCATGCAAACCACTCGTAGCTTACCCACCACGTCTTTTTAGGTGCCTTAGAAAACCGTCTTGTGTGCGGTACAGAGAGTGCTTGCACGCCTGCATATGACATGATATGACATCACATGACATGATATGACATGATATGACATCACATGACATGATATGACATGATATGACATGATATGACATGATATGACATGATATGACATGATATGACATGATATGACATCACATGACATGACGTGACGTGATATAGTGTATGACGGTGGCTGACATTCTAGTTATGGAATGAACATTCTGCACATGATGCTTCTCCTACCTCCCTTCCACTCACTACCCCCCCCGTTTCCTCCCACTATCAGAGGCAGCGGAGGCAGCAGCTGACGTGGCGTATGACGTGGACATACTTACACGGTGCCTCCCCTTTCTGCACATCTCTGTCTCTTGCACTCACCCCATTTTCCTCCCACTATCAGAGGCAGCGGAGGCAGCAGCTGACGTGGCGTATGACGTGGACATACTTACACGGTGCCTCCCCTTTCTGCACATCTCTGTCTCTTGCACTCACCCCATTTTCCTCCCACTATCAGAGGTAGCGGAGGCAGCAGCTGACGTGGCATATGACGTGGACATTCTCACTCAATTCCATGCCTTCACTTACCGTGCATCCCCTGTCTCTTTCACTCGCCCTTCTTTCTTTCCAATGAGCAGAGGCAGCGGAGGCAGCAGCTGACGTGGCATATGACGTGGACATTCTCACGCGGTGTGTGGAGGAAGGAAGTGCAGGGCGCATGGGGCTGCCTGGAGGGCCCAGGAAGGTGGTGCGGCCGTGCAGACCGGGAGAGGAAGGGGGCAGTCCGCTAGTCGCCTCGTTCCCTCTAACTCAGGTGTGTAGCTCTGATTCTTCTCTTCTGATCATGTCACTTGGGTGGGCGCATGGGGCTGCCTGGAGGGCCCAGGAAGGTGGTGCGGCCGTGCAGACCGGGGGAGGAAGGGGGCAGTCCGCTAGTCGCCTCGTTCCCTCTGACTCAGGTGCGTGCTGCGGCATTGATTCTTCTGAACTTGTCATCTGGACGCATGGGGTCGCTCAGGAGCGACAGGAAGGTGGTGCGGCCATGCAGACCGGGAGAGGAGGGGGGCTCTTCTCTGGTCGCATCATTCCCCCTGACCCAGGTGGGTGCGCTGCTGCTCTTGTTGCTTCAATGTCCGTGTGAACATGTCGCTTTGATGGATGGGGCTGCCTGGGAGCGGCAGGAAGGTGTTGCGGCCGTGTAGACCGGGAGAGGAGGGGGGCGCTCCGCTTGTTGCTTCCTTCCCTCTGACCCAAGTAAAGCACCAGTCGTTGTGTCCTCATGCTCTTTCATGTGGCATTCCTGGGAGACTAATGGGAGCGGCAGGAAGGTGTTGCGGCTGTTCAGATTGGTAGAGGAAAGGGGCTCTCCTCATTCATTCCGTCTGACTCACGTGTGGCACCAGTCGTTGCGTCCTCGTCCTCTTTGATGTGGCGTCGCTTCACCGCTGCCTGTGAGTAGCAGGAAGATGGTGCAGCTGTGTAGAGCAGACCCGGAGAGGAAAAGGGGCAGTCCTCTTGTTGCGTCGTTCCCTCTGACCCACGTAGATGCGGCCCGCTGCTGTTCCGCTTGCTGTTCCTCCTGCTTTCCCTGCCCCTGATTTCGTTATCCCCTTTATGGTGTACTCCGTTTTCAGCTGGACGGCATAAGTGCAGTGCGCCTGTTTCTCCCCAAGGACCTGAAGCACAAGGAGCCAAGAGAGGCCGGCCTGAACTCCCCCTATGCTTCCTTCTCCTGCTCTCCTTATCCTTGTCATAATCAACCCCACTTTATCCTTGTTATTATCAACCCTGTTTTCAGCTGGACGGCATAAGTGCAGTGCGACTGTTTCTCCCCAAGGACCTGAAGCACAAGGAGCCAAGAGAGGCCACCCTGATTCCCCCCTATGCTTCCTTCTCCTGCTCTCTTCATCCTCGTTATAATCCACCCCACTTCCAGCTGGATGGCATAAGTGCAGTGCGCCTGTTTCTCCCAAAGGATCTGAAGCACAGGGAGCCAAGAGATGCCACCTTAAATTGCTCTTGTGCTTCCCTCTCCTCTGTTTATACCCGTCATAATCAAACCCTTTTCCAGCTGGACGGCATAAGTGCAGTGAGGCTGTTCCTTCCCAAGGATCTGAAGCACAAGGAGCCAAGAGAGGCCACCCTGATTCCCCCCTATGCTTCCTTCTCCTTCTCTATTTATCCCCGTCATAATCAAACCCTTATCCAGCTGGACGGCATAAGTGCAGTGAGGCTGTTTCTCCCCAAGGATCTGAAGCACAAGGAGCCAAGAGAGGCCGCCCTAAATTCTTCCTTTGTTTCTCCTGCGCACTTTATCCTTGTTAATCAACCTCACTTCCAGCTGGATGGCATAAGCGCAGTGCGTCTGTTCCTCCCAAAGGATCTGAAGCACAAGGAGCCAAGAGAGGCCGCCCTGAAGTCGCTGCAGCAGCTGCTGCTGAGAGCCGGGGCGGATGGCGTGCAGATGCTGGATCCTGAAGAGGATATGGAGGTATGCTTATAGAGGGTACTGCAGTATTCATGTCGAGAGAGTATGTATCTGCTAGCACATCTGCTGAGAGCGGGGGCGGATGGAGTGCAGATGTTGGATCTTGAAGAAGATATGGAGGTATGCTTATAGAGAGCATAATGTGTTATTTCTTGTGCTGAGGTGTGCAGAATGGATGGCGTGCAGATGCTGGACCCTGAAGAGGATATGGAGGTATGCTTATAGGGGGTTCAGAACAGCAGACTTTGCTTGTAGAGAGCTGGTTTTTGAGAATTCTCAAAAACCAGGATATGGAGGTATGCTTATAGGGGGTTCAGAACAGCAGACTTTGCTTGTAGAGAGCTGGTTTTTGAGAATTCTCAAAAACCAGGATATGGAGGTATGCTTATAGGGGGTTCAGAACAGCAGACTTTGCTTGTAGAGAGCTGGTTTTTGAGAATTCTCAAAAACCAGGATATGGAGGTATGCTTATAGGGGGTTCAGAACAGCAGACTTTGCTTGTAGAGAGCTGGTTTTTGAGAATTCTCAAAAACCAGGATATGGAGGTATGCTTATAGGGGGTTCAGAACAGCAGACTTTGCTTGTAGAGAGCTGGTTTTTGAGAATTCTCAAAAACCAGGATATGGAGGTATGCTTATAGGGGGTTCAGAACAGCAGACTTTGCTTGTAGAGAGCTGGTTTTTGAGAATTCTCAAAAACCAGGATATGGAGGTATGCTTATAGGGGGTTCAGAACAGCAGACTTTGCTTGTAGAGAGCTGGTTTTTGAGAATTCTCAAAAACCAGGATATGGAGGTATGCTTATAGGGGGTTCAGAACAGCAGACTTTGCTTGTAGAGAGCTGGTTTTTGAGAATTCTCAAAAACCAGGATATGGAGGTATGCTTATAGGGGGTTCAGAACAGCAGACTTTGCTTGTAGAGAGCTGGTTTTTGAGAATTCTCAAAAACCAGGATATGGAGGTATGCTTATAGGGGGTTCAGAACAGCAGACTTTGCTTGTAGAGAGCTGGTTTTTGAGAATTCTCAAAAACCAGGATATGGAGGTATGCTTATAGGGGGTTCAGAACAGCAGACTTTGCTTGTAGAGAGCTGGTTTTTGAGAATTCTCAAAAACCAGGATATGGAGGTATGCTTATAGGGGGTTCAGAACAGCAGACTTTGCTTGTAGAGAGCTGGTTTTTGAGAATTCTCAAAAACCAGGATATGGAGGTATGCTTATAGGGGGTTCAGAACAGCAGACTTTGCTTGTAGAGAGCTGGTTTTTGAGAATTCTCAAAAACCAGGATATGGAGGTATGCTTATAGGGGGTTCAGAACAGCAGACTTTGCTTGTAGAGAGCTGGTTTTTGAGAATTCTCAAAAACCAGGATATGGAGGTATGCTTATAGGGGGTTCAGAACAGCAGACTTTGCTTGTAGAGAGCTGGTTTTTGAGAATTCTCAAAAACCAGGATATGGAGGTATGCTTATAGGGGGTTCAGAACAGCAGACTTTGCTTGTAGAGAGCTGGTTTTTGAGAATTCTCAAAAACCAGGATATGGAGGTATGCTTATAGGGGGTTCAGAACAGCAGACTTTGCTTGTAGAGAGCTGGTTTTTGAGAATTCTCAAAAACCAGGATATGGAGGTATGCTTATAGGGGGTTCAGAACAGCAGACTTTGCTTGTAGAGAGCTGGTTTTTGAGAATTCTCAAAAACCAGGATATGGAGGTATGCTTATAGGGGGTTCAGAACAGCAGACTTTGCTTGTAGAGAGCTGGTTTTTGAGAATTCTCAAAAACCAGGATATGGAGGTATGCTTATAGGGGGTTCAGAACAGCAGACTTTGCTTGTAGAGAGCTGGTTTTTGAGAATTCTCAAAAACCAGGATATGGAGGTATGCTTATAGGGGGTTCAGAACAGCAGACTTTGCTTGTAGAGAGCTGGTTTTTGAGAATTCTCAAAAACCAGGATATGGAGGTATGCTTATAGGGGGTTCAGAACAGCAGACTTTGCTTGTAGAGAGCTGGTTTTTGAGAATTCTCAAAAACCAGGATATGGAGGTATGCTTATAGGGGGTTCAGAACAGCAGACTTTGCTTGTAGAGAGCTGGTTTTTGAGAATTCTCAAAAACCAGGATATGGAGGTATGCTTATAGGGGGTTCAGAACAGCAGACTTTGCTTGTAGAGAGCTGGTTTTTGAGAATTCTCAAAAACCAGGATATGGAGGTATGCTTATAGGGGGTTCAGAACAGCAGACTTTGCTTGTAGAGAGCTGGTTTTTGAGAATTCTCAAAAACCAGGATATGGAGGTATGCTTATAGGGGGTTCAGAACAGCAGACTTTGCTTGTAGAGAGCTGGTTTTTGAGAATTCTCAAAAACCAGGATATGGAGGTATGCTTATAGGGGGTTCAGGACAGCAGACTTTGCTTGTAGAGAGTGTATGGATGGATGGAGCATCTGCTGAGAGGGTTCACACATCTGCTGAGAGGGTTCACACATCTGCTGACTGTATAGTGGAGGCTGACTTTTGAGTTGACTCAAAAGTCACCTCATTAACACATCTGCTGACTGCGTAGTGGATGGAGTACAGTGCAGAGCAGATGGTGGACCCTAAAAAGGAGATGCATTTATGCTTACAAAGGGTACGGAGTGTGCTAAGTTCAGAGGTGCTGCAAAAATCCCTCCTCTTTATTCTTGCTGCGCTCTCTGCTCCTGCCCGCCTGCTGTGCTGCGTTCTCCAGGTCCCTGCTTATTGCAAGGCAGTGAGCAGGAGGGATCCCACCCTCCCTCGCTGTCTCTACCGTAACTCACTTCCCTTGCTGGTGCTCTCTCTGTGTCTGCCGGCCTGCCTGTCTGTCTGCCTTCCTGCCGTGCTGCTATCACCAGGTCAACAGCTCAGCGTATCGCAAGGCCGTGAGGAGAGCCGAAGCACTCGAAGCGCTCATCGCCTCCCACGCTCTAGCCTCGGCGCCGGACCTGCAGGTTCGGATCCGGGAGCTGGCTCGGAAGAGCAAGCTGAAGGGCGCACTCAAAGTGCTTAAAAAGGAGGTCAAGTCGGCGGGCGGGCTTATATTGAAGGACGAGCTTAAAGCGAGGATGAGGGTGCTGCGGCGATTGGAGTGAGTAAAAGGGAGGGAGGGAGGGATGCCGGAAAGGGCTTTTATTGAACTCGTGCCTCAAGCTCAAGTTCAAGATGGACAATGATGTATTATATCATCATGATGTGTTGAGCAGTATTATGTCATGATGAGTAGTATTATCATCATCATGATGAATACAGATGGCGTGCTGGCAATGCCACCGAGTATCTTTAGATTGCTACCCTGCTGTGAGATCTCTTGTGCTGAGGTGTGCAGAATGGATGACCTGCATGTTCGGACCTCACATGCTCCACTGGATTCACTTTTGAAAGTTCTCAAAAGCGTTTCTGCAGAGTGGCCTTGCCACCTGGTTTGAGCTGGAATGCATGGAAGAACGAGCATGCCACCCTGCAGCTTTGTTGCGCCTCGATTCCTCGTTGCAACTCCCTGCTGTTCCTTTCTCCACTTCCTCCTTTCCCGCACCTTGCAGGTACATCGACGAGGACGAGATAGTCCGAGTCAAAGGCAGAGTAGCCTGTGAGATCTCCTCAGCGGATGATTTGGTGGTAACAGAGCTGCTCTTCAGTGCAGCCCTGGCTTGGCTTTCCTCTCCCCCCCCTTCCACTATGTCCCCACAGATACATTGATGAGGATGAGATTGTGCGGGTCAAAGCCCGAGTGGCTTGCGAAATATCTTCGCCAGATGAACTTGTGGTGACAGACTGCTCTTTAGTGCAGCCCTCGCAGACCTTCCTCCCGAGACCGTGGACGTTGGTATTCAATCATGCTCACTTGTTCCCTGTACCGTGCAGGTACATTGACGAGGACGAAATTGTGCGTGTTAAGGGCCGGGTTGCCTGTGAGATTTCCAGTGCAGACGAGCTGGTGGTGACAGAGCTGCTCTTCAGTGCCGCGCTGGCGGACCTTCCTCCCGAGACCGTGGCAGCGCTGCTGTCGTGCTGCGTGTGGCAGGAGAAGGGCGCGGGCGGGGCGAAGAGACCCAGGGAGAGCCTGCAGGGGCCGCTGGCGCAGCTGAGGGAGATTGCAAGGCGGATAGCACGCGTGCAGGAGGAGTGTAAGGTGAGTGGTAATAAGGTGAGTGACTGCAAGGTTAGATTTGATGTAGAAACAGAGTTGAAACTGGAAGGAGGGTAGTGCTGCTGTCATGCTGCGTGTGGCAGGAGAAGGGGGCAGGCGGGGCGAAGAGACCGAGGGAGAGCCTGCAGGGGCCGCTTGCGCAGCTGAGGGAGATTGCAAGGCGGATAGCACGCGTGCAGGAGGAGTGTAAGGTGAGTGGTAATAAGGTGAGTGACTGCAAGGTTAGATTTGATGTAGAAACAGAGTTGAAACGGGAAGGAGGGTAGTGCTGCTGTCGTGCTGCGTGTGGCAGGAGAAGGGGGCAGGCGGGGCGAAGAGACCGAGGGAGAGCCTGCAGGGGCCGCTGGCGCAGCTGAGGGAGATTGCAAGGCGGATAGCACGCGTGCAGGAGGAGTGTAAGGTGAGTGGTAATAAGGTGAGTGACTGCAAGGTTAGATTTGATGTAGAAACAGAGTTGAAACGGGAAGGAGGGTAGTGCTGCTGTCGTGCTGCGTGTGGCAGGAGAAGGGGGCAGGCGGGGCGAAGAGACCGAGGGAGAGCCTGCAGGGGCCGCTGGCGCAGCTGAGGGAGATTGCCAGGCGGATAGCACGCGTGCAGGAGGAGTGTAAGGTGAGTTTTGTGCTTGTTGGTTGGGAATGTTAGGTAAGGTTTGGCATAGAGGCAGGGTGGAAACAGAGAGACTGTGTGGCAGGAGAAGGGCGCTGGAGGGGCGAAGAGACCGAGGGAGAGCCTGCAGGGGCCGCTGGCTCAGCTGAGGGAGATTGCAAGGCGGATAGCGCGCGTGCAGGAGGAGTGTAAGGTGAGGAATGGGTGTATGAGAATGGGTCGTGCTGTGGGGTAGGAGAAGGGACTGGAAGGCAGGGGGGGGCGAAGCGACCGAGGGAGAGCCTGCAGGGGCCGCTGGCTCAGCTTAGGGAGAATGCAAGGAGGATAGCACGAGTGCAGGAGGAGTGTAAGGTGAGGAATGTGTGAGTGGGAAGGAAGGGTGTGGTAGGCTTCGTGTCGTGTTGTGTGCTGTAGTTGAAGGGTGTGGTAGGGGAAGGAAGGTAAGGAAGACTGAGGGAGAGTGCCCGACAGATAGCGCGCGTGCAAGAGGAAAGTAAGGCGAGGCTTAGGTGTGGGGAGAGTCATCAAAGAGTAGTACAGGTGAGGTATAGGTGTGAAAATACTTCTTCCACTGCTTCCCTCACCAACCACACCCCCCCTTTTTCATCCGCCTCTTGTCGCCATCAGATTTCCCTTGACGTGGAGACTTGCGTACCATCATTCCGCCCTTACATATCAAGGAGGCGGTGTTTGGGTGTGCGATGGGGCTGCGTTTGCTGATGTGCTCTATGCCTCTCCTACCCTTCCTCCCCTTTCCCTCTCTTCATCAGATTGCTCTCGACGTGGAAACGTACGTGGCATCGTTCCGCCCGGATATCATGGAGGCGGTGTTTGGGTGGTGCCATGGTGCCGCATTCGCTAATGTGCCCGACCCGACACCTTTCCCCTTGCGCTCCCCTCCCTGCCGCCATCAGATTGCCCTTGATGTGGAAACATATGTGGCCTCATTCCGCCCGGATATCATGGAGGCGGTGTTTGGGTGGTGTCATGGCACCGCGTTCGCTGATGTGCTGGCAGCTGCTGACACGTTTGAGGGGTCGCTCATCCGCGCTATGAGGCGATTAGAGGAGCTGCTGCAAGAGGTGAGAGTTGGAATGTACTCTGTGTTGAGAGCGTGCAATATGAGTGATTGTACCTTGTGAAGGTCACCACATGTGCTGGCAGCTGCGGACACGTTTGAGGGGTCGCTGATTCGTGCTATGCGGCGGCTGGAAGAACTGCTGCAGGAGGTGGGTGTGGGAGAGTGTACATTGTGACTCAGGTATGTAGCAAAACACAGAGAGGCAGCAGCCGACACCTTCGAGGGGTCACTCATTCACGCTATAAGGCGGCTGGAATAGCTGCTGCAGGAGGTGCGTCAAGCGTGTGCAAGGGTGTGAGCTATGAGTTGGTTGACTAGCAAAGCACACTTAGACACCAGGCAACAGCTTGGAGGAGTCGCTGATCCGTCATGAGGGGGATGGAAGAGTTAGTGAGGAGGTGACTGTGGTGGGAGAGTGCGCTGTGAGTTGAGTAGACGAACACAAACAGCAGAGCATTGTGTACAGTTCCTTCACCTCCTGGCACACTTACGGTGTTTGATGTGTTGCAACAACCTGAACTGGATGTGCAAGTCGTCCTCATCATCCCTCTGTGACGTTCTTTTGTCTCTGTTCATTTGCGTATTCAGATCATTTTGGCGAGTAAGACTATTGGAGAAACAAGCCTTGCTGAAAAGATCTCTGCAGCAAGTGAGAAGCTCAAGAGAGGGATTGTGTTTGCAGCATCTCTTTACCTATGAGTTATGACCATTACGGTACAATGAAGCTCCAGTTGCAACGAGATAGGAGTCACCAGGCTCAAATTATACAACCATACCATCAAGTTACTACATCTTGTACGTTTCAAAATATTGAAGCTGAAAAAACTAGTTGTATGTATCATCACTGCAAGTGTAGGTATTGGCAAGTCCGTGTGTTTAGTGGCTCTCCTGAGACCATTTGTGACGCGCTGCAATTGGCTGGACTAGCTTGGTGTTGCGCTTCATTGGAGAGCCCGTTTCGCAAACTTTTTCCCGCCTTTCGCTTGTGTACGTCATCTCCACCTGGACCGTCGAATTCACCAGATTGAACGGTTGCGATTTTCCCCAGACTTCGTCCAAAGCGATGTACCCACTCACCAACATCCTTTCCGCCCAGTCCTCTCGAAACGATCGCGAATCACAATTCAAGGCGCCACGAATGCGTGAAAAGACAGCCACAACTTCAGGGTTCCCCCCAATCTCCAGGGAGGCTTGATTTCAAGCAACAGCCACTCGCTCGTAGGTCTCGAGGCGCGCCTGTTTGTGAGTGGGTGGGTGGGAGGAATAAGCCTGACACAAGGAATTAGGATCGCCCCTTCGCCAAACATCTCGTCCCAGCACATGCACCTTGGAATTGCCGCACTCCATATTTTTCCAGTAAGCCGAACTTTCAGTACATTAAGGACAAGCGACAATAAGAGCTTGAAAAGCGACATCAGTTGTGATTTGTTTCCAGTCTGTAAATAGGTCATCGGTTCGTGCCTCCTTGCTTCTCTTCCCTTCCGCTAAGACCATGGCTTCCGACAATAGCGCTGTCGCGAAGGACCTGACCGCCGGAACTCTCGCAGGAGTAGCTCAGCTTCTCGTCGGCCATCCCTTCGATACAATCAAGGTCAAGCTACAAGCACAGCCCAAGCCAGCTCCAGGCCAGCCGCCCATGTACACAGGAGCCATGGACGCGGTTCGGAAAACCATAGCCGCGGAGGGCCCAAAAGGGCTCTACGCGGGTATCGGTCCTCCTCTCGCAACCGTCGCCGTTTTCAACGCCGTTCTTTTCACTGCCCGCGGGCAGATGGAGGCGATTCTGAAGAGCAGCCCGGACGAAAAGCTTTCTGTGGGGAAGCAGGTGATTGCTGGCGGAGGAGCCGGCGTGGCCGTGTCGTTCGTCGCGTGCCCGACGGAGCTGATTAAGTGCCGCCTGCAAGCTCAAAGCGCTCTAGCCGCCGCACCCCTCCAGGTATTGACACGTAATTTGTGCAATTTCCACTCCCTTGGCTCGTGAAGTTTGTTTTGAAGGACATCTTTTAAGAGCCTGAAGTGTACCAGGTGCCACCATCCGGTACGCTCTTGGAACCCCGCATTCCGAATATCTTTTCAAGCCATGGCTGTTTACAAACTGAGCACGAACGTCCTAGTCCGGGTAGTTATCACTCAACGGCGTCAAACATCCGCCCTAACTACCTTCTCCAAATCTCCAATTTCCCCTACAGGGAGCTGTCGCAGGCGTTGCTGCCGCTGGCGGGCCCACCGTTTCGATGAGCGTGCCGCGTTACGCGGGCCCACTGGACGTGGCGCGCCACGTCATCCGGTCGGAAGGCGGCGTGTTGGGGTTGTTCAAGGGCCTCACTCCCACGCTGCTCCGGGAGGTGCCTGGAAATGCGGCTATGTTCGGAGCATACGAGGCGACAAAACAGGTGAGACGCTGTAAGGGCCTTCAGGTGATTCTATGTGCCTGACTGGTAACTACACTCCGTACGTAAGGCATTGTGTCGCGTTAAGATTATTATCACAACGCCAACGCCGGCACTCACAGAATCTGTTTTGAGCGTAGTCAATTCTCGTCAACCTGTCTCCAATTCAACATAATAAAAGAGCGAAGAATTGTATCTCAAACAAACCGTTGAGTACACTGGCAAACCGAGGCAAATCTTTCCGTTTACGAAAAGGCCGAATGGCAGATAATCAGTTTCAGGATAGCCCCCTCTTTCCGCGCACCATGCTCCTCCTCAGCTCTGTCCCCCTCTCCCCCTATTCTGTCCCCCTATTCGGATCCACCATCGCTTCTCCTCCTCCTCCCAGTCCGTGTTGAACACGCTTCTCACTCCGACTTGAGGAGGCTGTAATCCGAGTCGAATCGATTGAACTTTCGCTTTATGGAAAGCTTGAAATTTGCACCAACTCTTCTTTTCCTTCTCTGTACCTTGTGCTCCAGCTGATGGCAAGAGGAACTGACACGTCAGAGCTGAGCCGAGGAGCGCTGCTTGTTATTGAGTCTGTCTCGAATACTCTCATTTCTTTGGCTCCAGCTGATGGCAGGAGGAACTGACACGTCAGAGCTGAGCCGAGGAGCGCTGCTTGTTGCCGGTGGCGTGGGCGGCGCGTGCTTCTGGGCCTCAGTGTACCCGGCTGACGTCATCAAGAGCATGATCCAAGTAGATGACTACAGGTGAGCAACGGCGTGATAATATAAAGGTTCCATTTCGCAAGTTGTCGTTCCGCTATCAAGGCGATGGGGAGAGAGTGGAAGGTTCCTGGGCCAGAGCTGGTTTTGCACTTCCCTAGTTGGGCGTGGTAGGGCTATTTGCATGGCTGCAACGACTCGTCACACCGCTCTTGGCATAACATTTACCAATCATAGCATGATATTGACCACACATGGCATGCCATTGATCACCCAGTGCATTTCATTCATCATGTCATTGGCCACTTACTGCATGTCACTGACCGCACAAGGAATGCCGTTTACCACACTGCACGCCACGGACCACCAATGGCGTGCAATTGACCATCCATTGCATGTCACTTGTCATTAACCACTTGTTGGGAGTCATCGACCACTCACTGCATGGCATGGGCCACTCATTGCATGTCATTGACCAATCAGTGCATGTCGTTGACCACACGTTGCATGTCATTGGCAACAACTTGCAAGTCATGGACAGCACCCAAGACATGTCATTGATAGCTTGTTGCCTGACTTCTGAAATCAAGAGGTATTCATTGCATTGGCCCACTGATTTCATCATGTGCGTGTGCAGAAACCCCAAGTACACTGGCACAATACAGGCTTTCAAGAAGGTGTGGGCTACAGAGGGAGTGAAGGGCTTGTACAGAGGGTTTGGGCCTGCCATGGCCCGGAGTGTCCCTGCTAATGCTGCATGCTTTCTCGCATACGAGATGGTTCGTGAGATGCTGGGATGAGTTTGGAATGCAGAACGAATTCCATACCTGCTTTTTTTTTGGCGTCTATGGGCAAACAGCTTGAAGCGCCTTTGGAGTGCTGCCCCCTGCCATTCTGCCATTCTAGGGAACATGGTTCAGACACCAGTGCAAATTGCAAATTTATTGCATTGTGTATCTTATTATATTGCAGTGGTTAGTCAGCCCATACCATTCAATTTGTTGTTTTTCCAAATATGTACAGCTCCAAGAAATACATCATAATCTACTTTATTTTCCATATACAAAATTGAAGCCATGGCACTGCAGATTGCACATGATAAGGGTATACTCCATCATTCAGTCAAGTACGTGTGGTATTGCTAATTTAGTTCAGGGCACCTAGATATAATTCGTATGACCTCAAATCATCAAATCTCTAGTGCCAGTTTGAATTTGAATGCAACTGGCTCATGGTTACCGTACAATACCCCCCTTCCCTTGCGGCAGTAGTTGTCCGAAGAACCCAAACACTACCGCCAATTATGCTTTTAAAAATTCAACAAGCACTTGTACGTCTGCAAAACCTAAACGTCTACACAGCCTTGGCTGGGCTTTCCCTCCCCCTCTCATTACGAGCGCGTCGATGCTGTGTCGCGCACTGGACTGTACTGTACTGTACTGCACTGGAGTGAGTTGCCCCCCCTGATGCTTAGAAAGGTTTCTCCTGCTGATCATTGCCACACTGCACCTACACTCAGTCCCAGTGCTGCCAAAATACCACCCCCTTCACACTTTATACTTTCACTGCGTCCATCGCCACACTTTAACCGTCCCTGCACTGTCCCCGGTGAACATGAGACCACTCCGCCCCACACACAGCGACCGCACATCCTGCACCTCCTGTGCCTTCACGCCCCCTGTACTGCATCTTCCTCCCCACTTTTAACGCTATACTACTTTCACTGCGTCCACCGCCACACTTTCACGGTGCCTGCACTGTCGCCCGTAAACATGAGACCACTCGGCCCCACACACATCGACCGCACCTCCTGCACTGTGAAGAGCACCCCCCGTTCTGTGAACCTGGTTGTGATGACGTGGCATGGGGAAGCAGTGGGGCGACATGTCGCATCGGTGAGAACGAGTGTGACGTGGCGTGGCGTGGGGAAGGAGAGGTGCGAGTTAGCATGGAGTGAGTGGCTAGGGTGATTCTTTGTAAGTCCAACAATTTTGAAACTACTTGCAATTATAAGAACATTTAAGAAAGTAGAAACAGAAACAAAAGAGCGAAACGTACGATGGGAGGTCATAGAGGCGCACTGAGTTGTCGCTATATGCCACCATGAGCACCTGATTGCTAATGAGAAGGCCAGAAGACAATTTCACTAAAGACAAGCTGAACGTGAGAAGGGGAACGTACGATGGGAGGTCATAGAGGCGAACGGAGTTGTCGCTATATGCCACCATGAGCACCTGATTGCCTGCTAGATCCGTGCTCACTTTCATCGCCAGCGCTCCCTGCATGAGAGGGAGGGGAAGGAGCAGGGGAACAAGGGGGGGACGCGGAGAAACTGGGGGAAAGGGGGGACCTCATCCCACTGTGAGCACCTGATTGCCTGCTAGATCCGTGCTCACATTCATTGCCAGCGCTCCCTGCATCGGGGGGAGGGGGAAGAAACGCGTGGAAGGAGAAAAGGGGGAAAAGAGGGCGTCAAGAAGAAGGGTTGCCGGGGGAGATATGTCACCATGAGCACCCGATTGCCTGCCAGATCCGTGCTCACTCTCATTGCCAATGCTCCCTGTGTTGAGGAGAGGGGGAAGGAGCAGGAAACAGGGGGAGGAAGGGGGAAGGGAATGTCTTCTTCTGTCACCATGAGCACCTGATTGCCTGCCAGATCCGTGCTCACTTTCATTGCCAGCGCTCCCTGCATCAAAAGGAGGGGCAAGGAGAAGGGAAACAAGAGGGGGACGCGGAGAAACTGGGGGAGAGGGGGGAGCTCATGCCACCATGAGCACCTGACTGCCTGCCAGATCGGTGCTCACTTTCATTGCCAACACTCCCTGCACAGGGGGAGGGGAAACGGTGAAAAAAAAAACGGGAGGGAAAGAAGGGACCTTATCCCACCATGAGCACCTGATTGCCTGCTAGATCCGTGCTCACTTTCATTGCCTGCGCTCCCTGCATCGGGGGAAGGGGATGAAACACGCAAGAGAAAGGGGGAGACAGAAGGGTGAAGGGGTGAGGTGGGGCGGAAGGGGGTGCGGCACCATGAGCACCTAATTACCCGCTAAATCCGTGCTCACTTTCATCGCCAGCGCTCCCTGCGTTGGAGGAAGGGGGATGAAGCAGGGAAAGTTGGGTTGGATGAGTAGAGAAGCGTAGCAGTTGATAGTGGCAGAACGTAAGAAGTGTGGGAGAAAGAAAAGCAGCATATGAAAATCTAAATATAGCTGGACAAACAAGAAGAAAGAAGGGATGAATCCACCTTAAGGCATGGAGTGTCAGAAGATTAGGATCTGGACGTACATCGGGCTCTCTGTCGGTCTGCCCACTGCCGCCCTTGTCGTCTGCATCGGTGTGAGTGAACGCCAGGTCGATGGCGCCCCCTCCTGCTGCTGACGGCGCCCACACCTGTTGGAGGTTCAAGGGGAGAAGTGTAAGGTTTAGGGTTTAAACAACACATCAGGTTCTCTGTCAGTCTGCCCGCTGCTGCCCTTGTCGTCTGCATCGGTGTGAGTGAATGCCAGGTCGATGGCGCCCCCTCCTGCTGCTGACGGCGCCCACACCTGTTAAGGTTTAAAAAGAGATGTGTAGGGTTCACGGTTTAAAAAATACATCGGCCTCTCTGTCGGTCCGCCCGCTGCTGCCCTTGTCGTCCGCATCGGTGTGAGTAGCCTGGTCGATGGCGCCCCCCCCTGCTGCGGACGGCGCCCACACCTGCAGAATACATGTGCAGGGTTTTGGGTTTTGCAAAGTAAAAACATGTGTGAAAAAATGCCCGCTGCCGCCCTTATCATCCGTATCTGTGTGGGTGAATGCCAGGTCGATTCGACGGTGCCCCCTCCTGCTGCTGACGGCACCCACACCTGTCAAGAGAATTTCAGGGTTTAACAGGGTGTTACAAAAAAAACAACTGTGCGAATGAATGCCGAATCGATGCCCACTCCTCCTGCTGCTGACGTACGGCCATACCTGTCTGTCAGGGTAAGGCAGGCATGCAAGTACTTGTGAGGGAGGTATTGTACGGCCATACCTCTCAGCTCTTACAATCTCTACTCCTCTCCCTCCTCCCTCCCCTCCCGGTCCTCGTACCCCCGGTCACTTCCCTTTCAGCACAGCCCACCTTCACAACCCACCTTAACCATCCCATCCTGCAAGCAGGAGAGCAGGTGAGTGTGCCAGACCACCAACGCCATCACCAAGTGGTACCATCCTAATCTACCCTAGATCCACCACAGCAGTGCCTCCTCCCCGGGCCTTCCTTTCTCACCTTAACCATCCCACCCAGCAAGCAGGAGAGCGTATGTGCCATGCCACCAGCGCTATTCGGTAACCATCATCCCCCCTTTCCCCCTCTTCCCTTCCCCCCTACCTTGACTGTCCCATCCAGCGAGCAGGAGAGCAGGTGAGTGTGCCATGCCACCAGCGCCATCACCACATGATGTCTTATTCACGCCATAGTCATCCCTCCTCATTACACCTTCACACCCGCCAGAGCCCACCTTGACTGTCCCATCCAGCGAGCAGGAGAGCAGGTGCGTTTGCCACACCACCAGCGTCATCACCACATGATGCCTTCTTATTCAAACCTATATTCACCTTGTTACACCACCACACCCGCCACAACCCACCTTGACTGTGCCATCCAGAGAGCAGGAGAGCAGGTGAGTTTGCCAGACCACCAGTGCCATCACCACATGATCGTGAGCCGGCACTATGTGCACACACGCTCCCGTGCTCAGGTCCCATATCTGGTAAGACGCACGGGTGAGGGAGGAAGTGGGAGGTGGGTGGGTGGGGGAAATGGAACGGAAGGGAGGAACCTTGCTTGTTTGTACTACACCAAGCTCACCATACTTCATACACACACTGTACACTCACTATACACGCAATATACACCCGGCATACATTCACTGTAAGATCACTAAACACTCACCATATACCCACTCTATAAACTCATTCTAATGCGTAATTGTCCACTCCACAGTTACCCTGATGGTCTTATCCATAGACCCAGAAAAGGGGTGCGTGGAAGTGGCTTCAACTGAAGGCACACGACAGCAGCTGAGACGCCTGTGATAGCACACGCCTGATGATCTAAATGCCACTCACTCCTGAATGCCTCATGAGTTTATGCACCCACTCCACGCCCACTCTATGCACTCACTCTGATGCTCTTATCCATAGAGCCAGAGAAGAGGTGCGTGGCAGTGGCTTCCAGGCACACCACAGCGGCCGTGTGGCCTGTGAGTGACGCCACTGGCTCAAACTGCTGTGAGGCCGGGTTGAACTTCCAACACAGGATCTTGCCGTCCTGGAGTAGGAGCAAGAGGGGGAAGGGGGGAAAGAAAAGGGGAAAGACTGTTCAAGGCAAGGCACACCACAGCAGCCGTATGGCCCGTGAGTGACGCCACTGGCTCAAAACTGCTGGAAAGCCGGGTTGAACTTGCAACAGAGGATCTTGCCGTCCTGAAAAATAAGGGAGGAAAGGAAGGGGGAAAGACCATTCAAGGCACGGCAAAGGACAGCAGCCGTGAGGCCTGTGAGTGACACCACTGGCTCAAACACAGGAAGAGGGGTTGAACTTGCAACACATGATCTTGCCGTCCTGAGGCGCGTGGGGGAAGAGGGTATGAACAACAGAGGGATGGAAACAGGGAGGAAGGGAGGGAAAAACGATGGAGGATGGGGGGAACGAAGCAGGCTCGAACTGCTGCGGGGAAAGGTTGAACTTCCAACACAGGATCTTGCCGTCCTGAGGTTTGTGTGAGAATAGACAGGCGGAAGTGGGGGATAAGATACTGCAAATCATTCAAGGTATGGCAGGGTAAGCAAGGCAAGGTAAGCACGGTACACCACAGCCGCACAGTGCATTTAAGGCTCAAACCGCTGCGAGGAGAAGTAGAACTTCCAACCCACCCTTCCCCACGCCATCTCATCCCATCCCATCCTACCCCACCCAATCCCACCCCACCGCATCTCATCCCACTCCAACCCATTCCACCACTTACACTGCAGGCGGCAAATAGCATGCTATTGTGCAGCAGCAGCTGGTGCACCGACCCTGTGGGTCCCCATACCCAATGCCATGCCACCCCACACCACTGCATTCCAATTTCCAACCCCCTCCACCAAACCCCACCGCTTACAGAGCAAGCAGCAAAGAGCATGCCGTTGTGCAGCAGCAGCTGGTGCACCGACCCTGTAGGGCCTGGCAGGTCTCCCTGCACTCCACTCGCCAGCACCCACGTCTGCAGCAGCCAGGCAGGCACGACAGAGGGACGGGAAAGTACAAGGTTTTTTTTTTTTTTTAACACAGAACAAGAGCAACCAATCAGGCGCTCTGTACCCCATTCGCCAGCACCCACGTCTGCAGCAGCCACAGCAGGCAGCGGAGGCACGGAGGAAACAAGGGTTGAAACTTGAAACACAGAGCAAGAAAAACCAACCAGGCGCTCTGTACCCCAATTGCCAGCAACCACATGTGCAGCAGGCAGGCTGACAAAGCGCCACTCAGAGTTGGTATGGCATAAAGTGACATGGCATGACATGGGATGGGATGGCATGGCATGGCATGGGATGGCATGGCATGGCATGCACGGCAGCATGGCACAGAAGGGCAGCTTGACGAGGTTGGGCAGGCCGACAAAGTGCCATCTAGGGTTGGTCATGAGCGCATGGCATCACAAGGCATGCACGGCATGGCATGGCATAACATACCATGCGCATTGCAATGATTGCATGGCACAGCAACAGCACCTTGACGAGGTTGGGCAGGCCGACAAAGAGCCATCCAGAGTTGGTGATGAGCGCATGTGATGGCATGGCGTGGCATGACATGGCATAGAGCTTCACAGCACAGGCGCATGGGATGGGATGGCACCTTGACGAGGTTGGGCAGGCCGACAAAGAGCCATCCAGAGTTGGTGATAAGTGCTCCCACGTCCCCCCCCATGCTCGCTACGCTCACGCACTGCCAGGTGCATTGGAAAGGGTGCGGGAGGGTACGCAAGGATAAGTGGGAAGTTAAGAGGAGTACAGTGCGGTGCAATCAGGAATCAGTGCTCTCACGTTCTCCCCCATGCTCGCAACTCACGCACTGACAGGTGGAATGGGGAACCGGCGGGGGGGGAAGGAATAGTAACGAGGGGTACAGTGTGGTGCCAGAGAGGGAAAACGTGATCCAGAGTTGGTGAACAGTGTCCCTGCATCCCCTCCCATGCTGGCCTTACCACACTCACGCACTGACGGGTAAGAGAGGGGGACGGAAGGACGGAGAAAGGGGGAAGGGTGGGGGGGGTGGTCAAAGAGGTATAGAGGTGCTATATGGTGAAACCTGGTGTGTTTTGAGTCGACTCAAAACACACTCGGGGGGGTGGTCAAAGGCGTATAGAGGTGCTATATGGTATGGTGAAACCTGGTGTGTTTTGAGTCGACTCAAAACACACACGGGGGGGGTGGTCAAAGGCGTATAGAGGTGCTATATGGTATGGTGAAACCTTGCTTCATGGACAAAGAATGGAGGGGAGAGACACTGGACGGAAGATCAGTGGTAGAGCCTGGAGATGCTTAAAGGATACGAGCACAAGAGACAGTGTGCGTCGCACTGTGGGACGCACACTGTCTCCCACAGTGCGAGGTAAGAGAGCCGCACCGGCCCCGTGCTGCAGTAGTGCAGTGCAGGCTCATCCCACCTGCAACACGGGGCCATGCTGATCCCACCTGTCCTGTCCTGTCCTGTCCTGTCCTGTCCTGTCCTGTCCTGTCCTGTCCTGTCCTGTCCTGTCCTGATCGTCCCGTCCAGACAGCCAATGATCCTCCCCGCACAGCAGCCGCACTCCGGATGCACCCTATTCACACCATAGGGGGTCCCACCTGTCCTTTCATGCAGTCTCACACTTGGATCGTTCCGTTCTGACTCCCAGTCCCCCCCGTCCTGACTGTTCACAACTGCCAGCGGAGCAGCACCCGCCTACCTGCCCCGTGGTGCTATCCCACCACACTCGGATGGTCTCTCCCAGCACACTGCCCTTGGCTTTCCTTCCATCACAGCAATGGACACGCACCGCCAATGCAACATGCGTAGAGCACACTACCTGCCCTGTCGTGCAGTCCCACACTCTGATCGTCCCGTCCTGGCTGCCCGTGTACAGTTGAGAGGAGTTCTCTGGTAGGGCAATGGCGCGCACCACCTGGAAGGATGGAAGAAAGGAGAGAGGAGAGAGAGGAAAGAACAGAATGTGAAGTGTCTGGAGCTCATTGAATGGCTGCCCGAGGAGCTCTCTGGAAGAGCTATGGTGCACACCTTTGCAATATGGCTCTGAGAAAGATTATGGAAGAGCACTAGCTAGAATAAATTACGTGAAGACAGAGAGTGATAGGCAATGAGAAATGAACAAAAACTAGCCCTGACTGAGTGAGTGAGTGAGTGGGTGACTGTCTGTGTAGAGGTGAGAGGAAAGGGTGGGGGTGAGCTTCGGTTCTGCTGAACCGCCTCAAAATTCCTCCCACACATGCACCTTCTCATGCCCCGCCAGCTCTGTCATCATCGCCACGTCAGCAGCTGTCGTGTGACTATAGTGGAATCCCCCATTGCCTCACACGCACACACTCCCACAAACACACCTTCTCATGCCCCGTCAGCTCTGTCATCATCTCCACGTCAGCAGCTGACGTGTGAGCATGCAGGAAATTGCAGTTATGCCGGTTGCAGCTTCCCCCCAGCCAGAACTTGCACGCCTTCCGCCGAGCAATGCGCCTCTCCCCCCCTCCGCCTGCCCCTCCCCCTCCGCCTCCCCCGTCACCGAGCCGCGCCCTCACGCCCTCCCCGCTTCTTCCGCCTGCTCTTTGCCTCCCCCACCGCTCACCACCAAACCCTCCGCCATCCCCCTGACTGTCCGCATTCCGCCTGCCCAAAACCGTCCCCCCTCCCCCGCCTCCGCCTCCTCCGCCTCCCCCCCACCCCTGTCCCCCCCAGCCAGCTCCCCCTCCCCTGCTTCCGCCTCCGCCTCTTCCCCCTCCGCCGAACCCGCCACCCCCCGCAGATGAATCCGTATGTAAATAATCGCAACTGTCACCTTTTCTACAGTTACCCTCAAGCCAGAATCTGCAAACGCCTCTTCCCCTTCCGCCTCCGCCTCTTCCCCCTCTTCCGCCGTAGCCACCCCGACCGCCTCCCCCGCGGCCTCCCCTTCCCCCTCCGCTGATCATTCCGTCTAGATCCATGATCGGAATCTGCGGTAAAACTTCCGCTTATCAAAACATGAAGAATCAGTTATCAGTACGTAAGGATTCGAGTATGACGGCAGAACAGAGGCAACTGGCGCCTTGTGACCGCGTCGGTTAACGAAGAACGGTGCGACGAGGAGGTGAATAGTCAACGAAGCGATTGGCGACGAAGCGGCGGCGACGACAGCGTGTTACATAAAAGATAATTCAGTTCGCTCTGAAATCGCACGGACGTTGGTGTATGCGAGTCACCATGGTTGCGAATTCACCGAACACGATAGCGATCGCACTATGCAGAACCGGGAACAGCTGGTACCGAGCACAACTGATCTAGTAATTGCTACGCGAGATCGCGACCTAAAATGCAGGCCCAAGCGATTTCAGTGCGCACTGCGAGTCACGTGGAGGTGCGAGACACACGCGACCGCACGCAAACGGCGGTTAGTTTGCGCGAAACGCGGTCAGGCTGGTCTGACCGTCCGATCTGGCTTGATGACTGCTGATGGGACCATAGATTTTGATACAAAACGACTGCGTCAGAATCTGGGTGGTGAGAAACTTGTGTCCGTAATCCCGAGGGTGACAAAAAAGTGGATGGATGTGATTTTAACGATGGAAGGATTGCGTGGAGTGATTTACACGGAATATGGGTCTAGCAGCTACGCTCGTCACTGGACAACCCACTAAGAGTGAGCCTTTTCCGTCGAACGATATGATACGGAAATCCACATGTCTTGAGGCTATTCTGATGTTAGTACCGGTATATACAAAATCTGTTGGGAATTTTCTAATGTTGAGGCTTCTTATGTTAGAAAATCCACTAGTTAACTAACAGAGACATCCTAACTCTCAAAGGGCGTTATAAGCTCCGCCTGGTCTGTTTCAGGGCATATCATCCCATCATTACAGCTATTCAAGAACAGCCAATCCCGTAGCCGCACAATATCCCCTGTAAAGGTCGACCCGTATGTACCAAAAAACACATTGGACATCACACATATTGCCTTCTCCACATATGAAATCACCACTGAGTCGTTATGCGCCCCAGCCTGCACCAGAGGCTCGGCCCAAGGCTGCGTCTCCAGGCTCTTAATCGACATCCGAACCACCGGAACAGGCTCGGAAGAAAACAGCCCCGCGCGTCCCCCACGCACCCGAACCACGCTCCCCACACGCCCATCCTCCATCGTCCCATTTATAACGTATTTCCGTGGCCTTGCTCGTTCAAACGCGAGAAACTCCCGGAACATCCTCACCTCGTCATCATCCCCATTGGTCGAGAGGTAAATCGCCCGCACGCCCGGATTCTCGTCCAATCGCCGCGCGACACACGCCGCCAGCTGGCGGATCGGGTGGTAGCAAGCAAACTTGGAATGCCCCTTCATGTTCACACAATGCTGGTAGAAATCCCCTCTTCGCATGTGCAATGCCATGAAACCACCACCACCGGCACCACCAGCACCACCATCACCAGCAGCCCGAACACCCCCAGCAGCAGCATCACCACCTGTGCTACTATCACTGCTGAAGCTGCTGCTGGTGCTGCTGCCGAGGTAGGAATTAATAAACCCAGCAGCGGCCTGCCGGACCATGGGCGAGGGCATGATGTAGTATTTGCATCCGGGCAGCACCACGAGCGGGCGGGCATGGTGGAAACGTAAGTCCTGCCCGCTCACGCCGAACATGTTCCCAAAGGCGATGACCGAATCATCATAGTTAAAGAGGGAGATGAATTCTTTCGAGGGGTACTTGAACCAGGGGCTTGGGGTGCGCTTCTCAGGGATGACCGTTTTGGCAAAGTGGATGTGCAACTGCTGATAGCTGCAGGGGTGAGGGGAGGGAGATGGTAGGTAAAGAGGGAGATGAACTCCTTGGAGGGGTACTTGAACCACGGGCTTGGCGTGCACTTCTCCGGGATGACTGTCTTGGCAAAGTGGATATGCAACTACTGATACCTGCAGGGGAGAGGGTGGTGGTAGGTGAAGAGGGGATGAACTTTAGAGAGAGGGGTACTTGAACCAGGGGCTTGGCGTGCGCTTTTCTCTTTTGAAGGGGATCATGGGTTCGTGGTTGGTTTTGTGGCAGGGAGAGAGAGGGGTGAATTCTTGGCGAAGGTCATGAGTGCATGAGTGCGGGTGCGTGCATGTGCCATGCATGCTCGTGCGGATGTGCATGCTCGTGTGGACTTGCATGCTCGTGCGGACTTGCATGCTCGTGTGGACTTGCATGCTCGTGTGGACTTGCATGCTCATGTGCATGTGCACGTCATGTACATATGTTTCTCACCGTTGCCTGATGTAACCACACTCTCTCTCCGTCTGGTAGTGGTGCACGTGGCATATAAACACGTCCACCGTCATCACAGGTGCATGCTTCCTCATCCTAGGGTGCTGCCACACAGCAGAAAAGAGCACAGGTGAAACACACAGGGCACAGGGCACAGGGCACAGGGCACAGGGCACAGGGCACAGGGCACAGGGCACAGGGCACAGGGCACAGGGCACAGGGCACAGGGCACAGGGCACAGGGCACAGGGCACAGGGCACAGGGCACAGGGCACAGGGCACAGGGGAAAGGAGACAGGTGCGTTGAGAGTGGATCCAAAATGCACGTGGCATGTAAACACATTCACCACCCCATCACATGTGCGTTCTTCCTCCTCCTGGGGTTCTGCAATAATCAGAGCACAGCACAGGAGAAATGGGCGTGTTCTGAGAATGCACGCATCACATGTGCGTGCTTCCTCCTCCTGGGTACTGCAACCATCAGAGCACAGCACAGGGACGAAGGTGTGTTCTGAGTGGATCCAAAAGGCAATGCACGTGGCATATAAACACATCCACCACCTATCACACAGGCGAGTCCTTTCTCCTCTTGGGGTTCTGGGCAAGCAACATCAGAGGTGACTGCAGGGAAAGAATAGGTGTTGATTACATCTCAGAACTTCACACATCCACCATTAACACCACGGCTACCAACCTTCGCACACCTTCCCACCACTTTCAACCTTTGCACACCTTCCCACCGCTCCCAACCCTGGCCCAGCTGTACCCATACCTTTGCCTCTTGGATGGCGGTGTATTCATCAAGCGTGAGGAACGTCTGGTTGCCAAAGCACCGTCTGGGCGCCTCCATATGCAACAGCCGCTCATAGTCATAGTCCACGCTGGGCCCGTGCAATAAGATGGGATGAGAACACCAGCCGGAAAGCCTCTGCGCATATTCCCACCGCTCCCAACCTTTGCACACCTTCTCACCACTCCCAACCCCAGCACGCACTGCGGTACCCACCTTGGCCTCCTGAATGGCAGCGTATTCATCAAGCGTGAGGAAAGTCTGGTTGCCAAAGCAGCGTCGGGGCGCCTCCATATCCAACAGCCGCTCATAGTCATAGTCCACACCTGGCCCGTGCGATGGGAACACCAGCGTGCGATTCAGCAGCGCCGCGTCTAAGAAATGCTGCCTTAGGCACGAGATGCGGTTACTTAATTGTCCCCCCGAGCACATAGCTAGGAGGTATTTGCGCGGACGCTCCTCCCCCTCCGCCTCCCCCCCGTCCACCCGCCAGACGACCTTCCCCCCCGATCTCCCCAGGTCCTTTTGTCGCTTGCAGGGTTTTGGCGGAGGGGGAATGGGTTCCGGGAGTTCCCCCCATGCTTCCCCCTCCGCGCCCCCCCCTGCTTCCGCTTGTCCGCTTCCCCCTTGTCTTACGCCTTCTCCTGCTCCTCCCGCTCCCGATCCCCCTTCTTTTTCCGCCGCCTGCTGCTGCTTTGTATCGAGCTGTGCTTGTAAGACGGCTTTAATGGTTTCCGGAGGTATTTTCCCGAGCGCTGCGATCACCTGGTCGATCTTAGACAGCTGTTGCTCTCTGTTGAGCAACTTAATTCCCAGATTAACTAGCACCGCCTCGTGCGACTCGATGCGCTGCGACACGTTCTCCGCCACTTTGCGAACTAATTCCTCTAAAGCGGCCGCGGAGAGCGACGCGGTCGTGGGGGTATAGGGGAGAGACCGGAGATTAGAGACGTCCTGAGCCTGCTCCTGCGACTCAATAATTAGGTGCCGCCGGAACGCGGAAGCGGCAGCGGCGGCCGCGGCAGCATCGCCTAGTCTTTGCCTGTTGAGCGACCCTCCTTTCCCGCCAATCGCGGCGCCGGATGCGCTTTTCTGATCGGGGAAGACTATAGCGGAGGTATTCGACCAATGCCAGAATAAGACTCCTTGAAACGCGCAGATTATTAATATCGCGAGCCACCATCGCCCGGGCCGCGCATACGCCCAGAGGGAATTAAACAGCCCGCCGCCAAACCCGCCGTTAGACCCGCCGTGTCTCCCGGTCGTTAGGATCACGTTGCTGGGGCTGGAGGTGCTGAACGGACTGCCGGCGCCGGCGGGAGGGGAGGCTCCTAGCCATGGCGGCCGCATTGTGCGGCAAACGCTCGTATTCTTGCCAGTAAATGCCGATTACGGATACTCGTGCTGAATTAAAAGAAGACGAAAAAAAACCTAACGACTTGCGCGTTTGATTGTACCAGTCGAACCTGTCAATTCTCAGAATTGATAACTGTGCACCAAAAATTGCGGAGAGAAGCCCGGAGCTCTCGAATAGGTGGATCAGAGCGGATGATGCGAAGAAACAGAGCTCAAATTTCGCGAACCACAGTCAAAAAGTGTTCAATTAGAACTGGCGATACTAAGTAGGTGGATTGAAGACCATCAGTGCTAGCTGTTGCCACACGTCGCGGCAGGGAGAGAGGAGCACGGCATTTCGGCGGCGGGAGTCACTACCGTGGTTGCTATAGCTGAGGCTGGATATGTCGGATCGCCATACTCGAGCAGCCGAGAAATAAGACAGGTTCGTAATTAGGTGGCGGTAGCTTGGAAGTAGCAGACACTATCAGACCAGACCGTGATGCACGAGTCGTGCGGTTCTAACAAGTTGATCGTCTGCGTTTCAAAACTGTTGTAATAAAACATTAATCGGTTTGGCTTGTTTGAAGGGCTCGATTTGACCTTGCGATTGGCGCTGATGGATTACGGCAGGCAGAGTGGGTGAGGGAGATGGTTGTTGAAAAGAATCGTTGTAGGGAAGTTCGAGTTTTGTAAGGCAGACGCCCAACAGAAGTACACGAGGGACATATATTTTTTTTGCCAAGCAAAAATGCTGGATGTTTCTAAATATATGCAGATGTTTTTTTGCTGGATGTTTTTTAGCATTTTGGAACAAAATGCTGCTAACAAGGGATATGCATTAAACAAGTACAAACATAGATTCGTCATTGTTACAACTTACACCTAAGATATGCCATGTATAAAGCCTAATGATTGAATCAATGGCTGGCTACGCATTATCTCAGGGCGACGCACACGCACCAACCGACAGTCACAATAATACCACAAACGGCTACAGACCTGGGGCAACAGGCAAAAGGTAAGTTAGACCAGTGCCAAAGTCTCAACAGATGGGTTACGCAAGAGGCAGGCATGTGCACTTACAGCATTGGCCTTAGCCCTCCAGAGCTGCAGCACCAGAAATAATTTCGATAAGCTCCGTGGTGATGGTGGCCTGGCGAGACCTGCACGTGGTGAGAAAAAGAGTACCGTCATCACCCGGATATAAGACAGTGTTGAATAGTAGACAGGGGTTGTCTATTATACGGGTGTCTCTTATAAACAGGCTAGCCTCATTATAAGACACCTATTTGTGTGTACGGGTTAAGAAAGTGTAGGAGTTAGGGGCAAATGTATAGCGAGGGGGTATCTTCTAAACGGTTCTTTGTCCATTTATAAGATTTATAAGACACCCTAAACCATCCCGTTTACAAGATAACTCAAGCATTTTTGCCCGTGTACGAGATAAGACATATATGTCTTATATCCGGGCGATGACGGTACAAAATACCAGTGTAAGAAACACAGAAGATCAGTTTGATAATCTTCGTGTTGATGGTGGCCTGGCGAGGCTTGCATCTACAACATCGACATATTTGCACCACCATCTAAATCAACATATTGGCACCCAACCAACCTCCCTACCTTTCCAACCTAAGGACCTCGGATTTCAAACTGCATCAACCGTAGACAACCCTGGCAGGCACATGCCTGTTGTGAGAGATAGGGCCGAGCAGGTGCACGGCAGTACCACAAACGTACATCACAGCAACCTTTGGTCATCAATGGTAGGAGAGGGTGAGGCGGCCAAGCATGTCGGAGGCACCTCACTCTCCTACAACAACATCACCTCCCCTCTCTTATCACCACTGGTACACACCTGGGCACGAATGGTACACACCTGGGCACGAATGGTACACACCTGGGCACGAATGGTACACACCTGGGCACGAATGGTACACACCTGGGCACGAATGGTACACACCTGGGCACGAATGGCACACACCTGTTGTAGGAGAGAGTGAGGCGGCCAAGCATGTCGGAGGCACCTCACTCTCTACTACAACGATTAACAGCACCTCTCCCCTCTCATCTCAGTCACCACTGGCACACACCTGTTGTAGGAGAGAGTGAGGCGGCCAAGCATGTCGGAGGCGTTGCGGGAGGAGTTGTCCATTGCTGACATGCGCGCTCCCTGCTCACTGCACGCGTTCTCCAGCTGCGCGTTGTACAGGGTCTGTTACGGAGGGGAAAGGGATGGGAGCCAAGATGTGGGTCAGGTGAGGAGCAAAGGTAGGAGCATGTCGGAGGCGTTGCGGGAGGAGTTGTCCATTGCTGACATGCGCGCTCCCACTGCACACGTTCTCCAACTGCGCGTTGTAGAGCGTCTGCGGGGGTGCAGAGAGGGCATTTATATGTGCAAAGGGAACAAGGAGAGAGGGAATGAGTGAGTGAGGAGGAAGGGAAGGGACTTTTTCATTGCTGACATGCGCGCTCCCTGCTCACTGCACGCGTTCTCCAGCTGCGCGTTGTAGAGCGTCTGCGGGGGTGCAGAGAGGAGCAGAGGGACACAGATGGGCGCAGAGCGAGGGGATGGAGAGAGGGAAAGAAGGGAGTTGCTCATGGTTGACATGCGCGCTCCCTGCTCACTGCACGCATTCTCCAACTGCGCGTTGTAGTGCGTCTGGCGGGGAGGCATGCAGAGGGGTGCAGAGGGGTGCAGAGGGGTGCAGAGGGGTGCAGATGGGGTGCAGATGGGGTGCATATGGGCGCAGAGGCACTGAGTTTGCGGATGGAGAGGGAAAAACGAAAGGGAGTTGTCCATTGTTGACAAGCGCGCTCCTTGCCCACTGCACGCATTCTCCAACTGCGCGTTTTAGAGAGTCTGAGAGGGATGGGAACAACACAACACGAATGGAAAAAGGAAGGAGGGAATGGGAGGCAAGAAAGGGAGGTGGTTGTCCCTTGCTGCCATGCGTGCTCACTGCTCATACACGCCGACTCCCTGCCCTAGGGGACTTTTGAGTCGACTCAAAAGTCACCTGGGAAAAAGGAAGGAGGGAATGGGAGGCAAGAAAGGGAGGCGGTTGTCCCTTGCTGCCATGCGCGCTCACTGCTCACACATCCCAACCCCCTGCCCTAGGGGACATCACACAAGTCCCCCCCCTGACCCACCCAGCACACACTCACTCGGAGAGGTTCAGAAAGAGCTCCTCCTGGCCCTCCGTGCTGTTGACGCCACTACCACACTGATGGCACTAAAGTCCCTCACTAAGAGCCCACCCACCCCACTCACCGACGCGAGCTGGAACTCGGAGAGGTTCTGCAAGAGCTCCTCCTGGCCCTCCATGCTGCTGACAGCGACACTTCATATGTGCCATGCCGCCTTTTGTACCCACATGTCACCATGCAAGCCCCATCCACTCACCCAGCACACACTCACCCAGCACACACTCACCCAGCACACACTAACTACAAGTCTCCTTACAAGCCAACTCTACACGTCAACTACAGGCCTTACAAGTCTCCTTACAAGTCTCCTTACAAGTCTCCTTACAAGTCTCCTTACAAGTCTCCTTACAAGTCTCCTTACAAGTCTCCTTACAAGTCTCCTTACAAGTCTCCTTACAAGTCTCCTTACAAGTCTCCTTACAAGTCTCCTTACAAGTCTCCTTACAAGTCTCCTTACAAGTCTCCTTACAAGTCTCCTTACAAGTCTCCTTACAAGTCTCCTTACAAGTCTCCTTACAAGTCTCCTTACAAGTCTCCTTACAAGTCTCCTTACAAGTCTCCTTACAAGTCTCCTTACAAGTCTCCTTACAAGTCTCCTTACAAGTCTCCTTACAAGTCTCCTTACAAGTCTCCTTACAAGTCTCCTTACAAGTCTCCTTACAAGTCTCCTTACAAGTCTCCTTACAAGTCTCCTTACAAGTCTCCTTACAAGTCTCCTTACAAGTCTCCTTACAAGTCTCCTTACAAGTCTCCTTACAAGTCTCCTTACAAGTCTCCTTACAAGTCTCCTTACAAGTCTCCTTACAAGTCTCCTTACAAGTCTCCTTACAAGTCTCCTTACAAGTCTCCTTACAAGTCTCCTTACAAGTCTCCTTACAAGTCTCCTTACAAGTCTCCTTACAAGTCTCCTTACAAGTCTCCTTACAAGTCTCCTTACAAGTCTCCTTACAAGTCTCCTTACAAGTCTCCTTACAAGTCTCCTTACAAGTCTCCTTACAAGTCTCCTTACAAGTCTCCTTACAAGTCTCCTTACAAGTCTCCTTACAAGTCTCCTTACAAGTCTCCTTACAAGTCTCCTTACAAGTCTCCTTACAAGTCTCCTTACAAGTCTCCTTACAAGTCTCCTTACAAGTCTCCTTACAAGTCTCCTTACAAGTCTCCTTACAAGTCTCCTTACAAGTCTCCTTACAAGTCTCCTTACAAGTCTCCTTACAAGTCTCCTTACAAGTCTCCTTACAAGTCTCCTTACAAGTCTCCTTACAAGTCTCCTTACAAGCCCCTTACTCAAAGCCACCCCCTTCCCTCGCCCACTCACCGACGTGAGCTGGAATTCGGAGAGGTTCTGGAAGAGCTCCTCCTGGCCCTCCATGCTGCTGACGCCAACTCCATACATGCCAACTGCTGCCCGTGAATGCCAACACCACCATATAAGCCCCCTTCCCTCCCCCATCCACCCATCACACACTCACCGACGCGAGCTGGAACTCGGAGAGGTTCTGGAAGAGCTCCTCCTGGCCCTCCTCGCCCTCGATCTCGTACTCTGCCAGCTGGCTTGCGCTGCCTCCCTCCGCTGCCTCCTTGAGGAGGGTCTGGTGGGGGGGCGAAAGAATAACAGGGGAAAACACACAGGAATGCGAGTGGTAAGGCTTGCACCTGCCTCCTTCTTGCCTCCTCCACACCTTACCACCCCTCAGGCAAGATGCACCTCGGGTTGACTTTTGAGTTGACTCAAAAGTCAACCCACACCTTACCACCCCTCAGGCAAGATGCACCTCGGGCGAGAGAAAGGGCAGTGGAGACTGTCGAAACAACGGCCTCGAAGGAGGTGGGACCACCACACCTCCCAATACCGCACTGCACCTCATCTGCGACACCTCCCAATACCGCACCACACCTCTCCACAATACCTCCCCTCACCTCGGGCGAGAGCACGAGGAAACAGTTAAACCGAATTCCACGACGGATTTGATGATGCAGTGGGCCCATCACACCTCTGGACACCTCACCGCACCTCCGTACACCGCACAGCACACTGCCGCACCTCACCTCAGGCGAGAGCACAGTGGAGGCAGTGGGCACAAATGCGACCACAGAGTTTTAGCAGTTGTAGATGATGCGGTGGGCCCTCCACACCGCCCCACACCGCACAGCAAACCACCTAGCCTCACCTCGGGCGAGAGCACACGGTGGAGATGGTGGGCACGAAGGCAACGACAAAGTTGAAGCGGTTGTAGATGATGCGGTGGGGGCACCACACCTTCCCACCGAACCCCATCACACCCCACCACAGCTCACCTCAGGCGAGAGCACAGTGGAGACGGTTGGCACAAAGGCGACGACTGAGTTGAAGCGGTTGTAGATGATGCGGTGAGCGCATCACCCCTGTCACCTCCCCGCCAACTCCCCACACCTCACCACACCTCACCCCACCCACCACAGCTCACCTCAGGCGAGAGCACGGTGGAGACGGTGGGCACGAACGCGACGACGGAGTTGAAGCGGTTGTAGATGATGCGCGCGGTGTCAAACTCGACGTTCTTGAGAATCTCATCCACTATCATGGACGTCTGGGGGTGGTGGTGGAGTGGAGGGAGCGGGGGGGGGGGGTTGTGATGATGCGTGCCGTGTCAAACTGAACGCTCTTGAGGATCTCATCCACTATCATGGACGTCTGGGGGTGGGTGGATGGGGGAAGGGAGGGTGGGGTGCGGGTTGGGGAGCGGGTGGGTGGGTGGATAGGTGGTTTACGTAAATGGCACTGATGCCACCCCACACAACATTCTTGAGAATCTCGTCCGCTATCATGGAGGTCTGATGATGGGGGTTGGTGAGTGGGTGGGAAGGGAACAGAGGGGTTGAATGCAGATCAAGGTTGTGTCTTGCTGGCCAATGAGGGGAAAAGGGTGGAGGTAGGTGATGGATCCGTGGGAATGATAGGGATGATGGGGAATTCGGCAGTTGGAAATGGTGTTTTGAGACGTCTTAAAACGTCTCACAACACTGCTTTTATCACGTGGCAATGAGGGGAAAGGGGTGGAGGTAGGTGATGGATCCGTGGAGCACCCAGAGTCGACTCAAGAGTCACCGGGAAAGGGGAAGAGTCTACTCGAAGTAGGTGATGGATCCGTGGGAATGATGGAGATGATGTGGGAGTTGGGCAGTTGGGCAGTTGGGAATGGTGGGAGCGGTAAGCAATGGAGGGGGCGGGAACGCTGGGAAGTTGGGACCAGTGAGGACGGTAAGGAAGTGGGGGACGGTGGGGATCATATCATACATACATCCATCCATCCGCCGCATTCAAGAATTTCCCCAACGCTGTGATGGAGTTGAGGAACACACACCATGCACCTCAATCACACTGTGTACACAACGTGCAGGGTCACCTCAGACTCCAAGATGGGTTGGGAGGGGGTCCCTCTGCTGCAGCTGCAGCTTCGATTCCCTGTCACCCCTTCCTTCCTCCCAGCACCACTCTCCATCGTGCTGCACCAATCTGTACCCACCTGCACTTTTCTGCACCGCTCTCCACCCCTCACCTGCGTGAAGTTGATGCCCTGCTTCTGCGTATCAGCCACGGTCATCAGGATGGTGTTGTTTGCGTCCCGCTGAAGCTGCAGTTTCGCCTTCTCGCCCAGAATCACAAACACTGACTTGGTGTCCTCGGCTGGTAGGGGAAAGGGTGAATAGAAGGGGGGGGGGGGGGGGGGGTGGGGGGGGGTTGAGGACCATACCCCTCTGCAGCTGCAGCTTCGCCTTCTCACCCAGACTCACAAACACCGACTGGGTGTCCTCCGCTGTTAGGAAAGATGAGGTACAGGGTACGTGGGGACAAAGGAGAAAGCAAACATCAGCTGTTATATGTGTCTGACACATGCTTTTATATGTGTGGAAGCCCAATGTACGCGAGATGCTCAGAGCGAAGAGAAGTTTTGAGATGTCTCAGAACCACGTGAAAGAATCGTAGTTTTGAATTTCACTTCTCTTATGTGTTGGAACATGTGGGAGCCCAATGCACGAGATGCTCAGAGCACACACAGGGGCATCACACACACACACAGGGGCATCACACACACACACACACACACACACACACACACACACACAGACACAGAGACAGGGGCAGTAGCACACACACACAGTGGGAGGAGAATGAAAGCTACATGTGTAGCAGGCAACACAGCCACATGGACTCACAGGGGGCAGAGATGGCAGAAACGGCGCGGCTGTGCTTCACAACCGTGGAGTTGATGCCGCCACACAGCCCCCTGTCCGTTGACACGGCAATGACCAGCGTGCGAGGAGTGACCAGGGCTGGGGTTGTTGGAAACAAGGGAAAGGATGGGAATGAGGCAGGGGAATGAGCATAAGGAAAACAAGGGCAGTTGATGCCGCCACACAGGCCCCTGTCGGTTGATACCGCGATCACCAGCGTGCGAGGAGTGACCAGGGCTGGGAGTGTTGGGAAGGAAGAAGGGCAGGATGGATGGGAATAAGTGGGGATGTGTGGGAATGGGTGGGGAATGGGTGGGGATGGATGGGGTTTGGTGGGAATGGACGGTGTTGGTTGGTTGCGGATTGTTGGGGAGGAAGGAGAATTGATGGTGCCACACGGACCCCTGTGTGTTGGGGGCCCGATCACCAGTGTGCGTGGAAGGGGGGGGGGGGGGGTAAGGTGTGCAATAACTCACTGGGGTTATCCCCAAGCAGAGCAGTAAAAGGCTGCCACATGCCGCGACTCTTCTCCATCTTGCCTTGCACGCCCCTCAGCTTCGATGCCACCTTGCTGCTTCCTCACATGCAAGGCAAGGCAGCACACATATACCCAGACCCCTTGCACTCACTGGGGTTGTCCCCGAGAAGAGCAGTAAAGGGCTGCCACATGCCGCGGCTCTGCTCCGTCTTGCCCTGCACGCCCCTCAGCTTCGATGCCGCCACCATCTTCATGGCCTTGGTGATCTTCTGAATGCTGCGCACCGACTTCATGCGGTTGCGCACTGGTGGGTGGGGGAGTTGGGGGGCAGCCAGGGGGAGTGGGGGAGAGGGGGGAAAGGGGGATAGAACAGAAGGATGAGCCACCATCTTCATGGCCTTGGTGATCTTCTGAATGCTGCGCACCGACTTCATGCGATTGCGCACTGAAGATAGGGGGGTTGGGGACACAGCAGGGTAACAGGGTAATAGGGGTAACAGGGTTGAATGATCAGCCACCATCTTCATGGCCTTGGTGATCTTCTGAATGCTGCGCACCGACTTCATGCGGTTGCGCACTGGTGAGATGGGGGGTGGGGGAGATAGGGGGAGAGAACAAGAGGAGGGGGTTAAGCATCTGTCACCATCTTCATGGCTCTGGTAACCTTCTGAATGCTGCGCACCGACTTCATGCGGTTGCGCACTGGAGGGGGGGGAGAGATGGGGGGGAATCAAGGGGAATGGGGAAGAGAGAGGGAAGGGGAGAGGAGGGTATAAGATTGCCACCACCGTCTTCATTGCCTTGGTGATCTCCTGAATGCTGCGCACCGACTTCATGCGGTTGCGCACTGAAGGATTGGGAGGGGGGGCAGGGACAGCCAGTGGGAATGGGGGAGTGGGGGAGAGGGAGGGAAGGGGGTTAGATGGGCCAGCCACCATCTTCATGGCCTTGGTGATCTTCTGAATGCTGCGCACCGATTTCATGCGATTGCGCACTGGAGGAAGAGGGAGGGGGAAGGGAAAATAGAGGCAAGAGGCAAGACTGTGTGGAAGATATCCTGTGTTGTGATTTTTAACTAGTCGAATGGAGGCTACAACATTGCGTAACACGTACGTGAGAGCTGTAACGTATACCTGCGAGCTGTAACGCGTACCTGCGAGCTACCTGCGAGCAGTAACGCGTACCTGCGAGTTGCGAGGCGAAGCGCGCGCCAGCAGGGGCGATGTCGCTGCACGGGACGGCGGAAGGAGCGGAGGACAAAGGGAGAGGCGGAGGCGGGACGAGACGGGTCAGGCGATCAGATAATAAACTGAGTTCGAAGTGAAAAAAAACGGTAGAACGCGCGGAAAAGGTACGAGAGAAGTATCGTATAGTGGATTAGAAGCGTCAAGAACGGAACGAGAAGGGAGAGGGGTGAGGAGAATGGAACGGCGGATAGGATGTATCTTGCAATGCAAGGATAGAGAACTCCGTTATTGCTTATACTCGAGCTCGTCATAAACAGGTTGCCTCAGCGGGCAAGACGCTGGGTCAGCTGGCGAAACCAAAGGCCAATTAGCCAATCCAAAGGCGCACTGGTCGAGTGCGCGATTGCGTAGCACAGACTATCAGCAAGCTATGCATTGGTAAGATCTGCGACTAATGGAATGCGCGAGTGCTACGTACGACTACGGCCTGCCATGCGTAAGATTTCCTTCCCTTGCTGCACAGTGCGGGAACATTGACTGCGTTGTACGACTGGCGACTGGCGACTGGCGACGTGTGCGACGTCGCCGTGCTTGATGTATCGGGTGTCTTCGCAGATCTGCTAAACCAACCAATCGGCAACTCCATAGCCCTGTCCCCGTTACAGAATCTCGCCTCGCGCTCGTGCTACTTATCAGAATCTGGTTATCCCTAGTATCGCAAATATCCAAATCTGCTATGAAGCCATCGTCAGCTGCTTCGATTCCTGTACTGTACTGCGCATGGCTGACGTCACACCTCGGATGACGTTATCTAGACAACGACGTGGAATGACGTCACCTCCTCCTCCCTCTTACGTGATATGAACCCTAAACTGCTCCGACGATATGCAACTCAATACAACGGCTTGACACGTAGACTACAGGGATAACCCACTCGCCGACCACCTGAAGTGCCGCAAATGGCGGAAAAGCGGCGCGATCGGCTGAGCAGCATAGACGCCGGGAATCACGGCAGACAACCAACAGATCGGGTCTAATAATACTGTTCGGCATTAACCGACGGATAAGAGTGATCATCCCTTGTTCCTTCCCTGTGATCAACCGACCGGCCGGCAGGAGCGACTCACCCGCCGACCACCTGCTGTGCCGTCGGCATCGCTGCGGCGGCGGCCGCGCCGTGAGTCACGGGAGCGCGCGACGCGGCGACGACGCCGACTTCATAGATCGTTCGCAGGAACCTCAGTCCCTCGCGTCGCGCACCGGGGCACGCCATATCGAAGCGGGAAGATAAGCGGGGAGGGAGATCGGGTCGTTAGAACACGCAAGGAGGATGACGTGGTGTTAGGACGGGTGGGATGAGGCGAACGGGAAAGGCGGCGATGCGACAGGCGGAAATGGTGGTGAGACCTGGGCGCGGGGTAAGTTTGCCTCTCTACTCGGCGATATGTGTGTTACTGCGCGAATGCTGCGACTGCATTGGTCGCGCATGGGGCGTCGGAGTGGTGCAGGGAGGGGGAAAGTGGGGGAGGGAGCGCGAGGCGAGGGGAGCGGGAGTGGGGAGATAATAGCGAATACAAATTTGGCAAGTGCCGAGGTTTTAACGAAGAAATTCGGATATTCCGCAAAAAGAACACTATGCACTGTCCTACTATTTCTAATCCCATTTCTTTGCAAAATAATGAATAAATTCCTAAACAGAAACCTCTCTCAAGTGTTTTTCCATCAGCTGCACAAGTCCCGTTGGATTGTCCACATGCACCCAATGCCCGGCTCCCTTCAATACATGCAAATGTGCTCTGCATCCCTTTTTCCCACCCTCTCCACCCCCACTGCTCAGCGAATCAGTACGCTCCCCTTCACACTTCGCTGACTCAGCAACAGAGGCCTCCAGGTCAGCAAGGCACTTGGCTTTCCACACGCCACTCCTCTCCCCTTTCACAAAATGCACCTGTGTGCAACCACGTCCCGCCTGCTTCTCCGAAATTACCTCTCTCTCCTCCTGCCCTTGTTGATGCTGCGCCTGAGTCTGCATTGCTTGGTGCCAAGGCTGCTGCACCGCTCCCCACTTAGCACCCTCTACCGCTCCTGGCTTCACAAACTTGGGTCTTAAATCCCTCTCCACTCCGACCTTCCCTTGCTTCTCCAGCTCTTGTGATTGCAACGGATGTGACTGCAACAGCGGTGCTTGTAACGGGAGCTGTTGCTCCTCGTGTGGCCCATCGCACAGGTTTTTCACAAAGGGTAGCAGATCCGTTTGCCTGTCACACCACACCACACCACACCATGCCATGCCATACCATGCCATGTCGTGCCATGAAAATCCCACAAAGCATGCCATCAAAAGGGCCTTTCGATGAACCTTCTATTTTTCATTGTTGTTCTTATTTTCCAACGAGGCATGCTTGTTACGAGATTGCTATGCTGTTTGCTATTCTGTTTGCCTCTTGCTCTTCCCCCCCTCCCTCTCTTCCAACATCCTTCACTGCTTCTGGCTCCCATCCCCCCCTCTTGCCCTGTCACACATGCACACACGCATGGGAAAAAAATGGGCAGACGCACATGGCCCCCCTCACACATACACACGTGCGTACCCCCAAACAAACACATCCTTACACACACACACACATGCCCCCCCCTCCCTCCCATCCTCACACTCCCACCCCCCCACACACTCCCACACACAGCGCCATCCAGGTTAAACACTCAGTCAATTTCCCCAGTCACGTCAGCCCCTGAAGCAACCCTGCTCACTCCATCCTTGCATCACACTTCAAACCACACACACTCACGCACGCCCTCTCAAGCTCACCTGTAGCTGTTTCAGAGAGACACAGCGCCATCCAGGTTGAATACCCAATTCATTTCTCCATTGACACTAGCGCCTGAAGCACCCTCGCTAAATCCCACCTTCCTTCACCTCCTTCGCACTCACTCTCCCACACACACACACCCTCTCAAGCTCACCTGTAGCTGTTGTAGAGTGAAACAGCGCCATCCAGGTTGAACACCCAATCCATTTCTCCATTCACGCCAGCCCCGGGAGCAGCCGAACCACCTGAACCACCCGAACCACTTGAACCAGCCGAACCACTTGAACCAGCTACGGGTCTGAGGCTCGTGGCAAGCCACTCTGCCAAGCCTGAGGAGAAGCCTCGGCGTTGAGTCAGCTCCTGGAGGAGCCACCTGCGGTTCGGGAGATGCATAGGCTTGATGATGCATGTCGGCATGACGTGTGACTGCATGATGCATGATGATGCATGTCGGCATGACGTGTGACTGCATGATGCATGATGATGCATGTCGGCATGACGTGTGACTGCATGATGCATGATGATGCATGTCGGCATGATGCATTATCTTTAAAATGTGGCAGATTGCGTTTGCACGCATGATGGGATTTAGCATGAGTTGGGCCAAACCAGTCAAACAAACCCTTATAGAAACCGTTATCGCTTGGGAAAAAGAGGGCCAGGCTATTGAGCCAACAGCGAAACCACCCATGGGGCAAAGTCAGTCAAAACAAACCCGATTGAGAGACATATTTGAGGGGTACCGTTTGGAGGGGATGGGGCGAGGCAGCTCCTGCAGAGTGGCAATCACTCGCTCCACGTCCCTTCTCTCCGCATCCTCCCCCAACGTGCAGTCGGATATGCGGCCCGGCACTGAGTCCAGCACCCACAGCTGGAGGGGGAAGAAACGAAAGGAAGAACATTTATGTGAGAGAGAGCATGACGTTTCTATCCAAACATCCCCCAACCTGCAGTCTGATATGGGGCCTGGCACCCGGTCCAACACCCACAGCTGGGGAGACAGAAGGGACAATGAAAGGAAGAAGCCAGGAAGACTTACATTAGGGATTGCAGCCGGCATGAGCAGTGAAAGCATGAGCAGTGAAAGCATGAGCAGTGAAAGCATGAGCAGTGAAAGCATGATCATTCCTTCCTCCCTCACAACCTCACGCCCTCACTTTCTAACTTCTTAGTTGCTGCAGCAACAGAATTGGAAGTTCCTGTCACCACCTTTGCTCTCTCGCCCTCCTTCCCTCAGTCCCTCACCTCCTTCATCCCCTAACCTACTCTCCCACTGAAATCATCCCACCTGCTGCGGACGAGAGGGAAGTGGACGAGAGGGAAGTGGACGAGAGGGGAGTGGACGAGAGGGGAGTGGACGAGAGGGGAGTGGACGAGAGGGGAGTGGACGAGAGGGGAGTGGACGAGAGGGGAGTGGACGAGAAGGGAGTGGACGAGAGGGGAGTGGACGAGAGGGGAGTGGACGAGAGGGGAGTGGACGAGAGGGGAGTGGACGAGAGGGAAGGTTGTCCACTTCTCTCTCGTCCACTCCCCTCTCATCCACTTCCCCTCTCGTCCACTTCCCTCTCGTCCAACTCCCTCTCGTCCACTTCTCATCCCTCCTCCACTCACTCACTACTACCAGGTGCCTAAATCCTACCTGCTGCGGCAGCATCACTGGCAGCTCCCCCGCGCGAGCCCTCCTCACATACTCCAGCGCGATCTTCCCGCCCATGGAATGACCGATCACCACGTCAGCTCTCCCTCCTGCCACGTCAGCGACGAGGCGCGCCAGGTCAGCAGCCGCGTTGCTCATGTCATCCGGCTGAAGGAACTGCCGGGCGGCGGATTGCGCGTGGTGCCGAAGATCCACCAGCAGAAAACGCCAAGAAAGCCCACTTGCTGAATTGTCACCTACGAGAGAATTGCCGGCATTAACCAGCCGGTTTCCCAGAAGTTTCGCAGGGCTACGCCAATTGCGACCGGATCCCAGTAGGCCGTGAACGATGACAGCTGTCGCGGTCCTATTGGAGCTCGCGCTCTTGACATCTTCGGATGAACCGTTAGGGCGTATAACGAGTTCTTCGTAAGCGAGGATGGGTTGGGAAGAGTCAAATGCCAGGAAGCCTGCCTGGGTGGTAGCTTGGCTTGGGATTGCCAACCCGAATGAACGGCTAGATCCTCCTGCTGTTGCTGGAAAAGGAAATTTCTGTTCCAGTAATTCGAAAACTGGAAGGACTCGGTGCTGCGTGGAATGATTTCGCGTTTTCGTGGCTCGCCTGGCAAATCCGACGAACGAATTCATTGAAGAAGATTCGGTAAGAAGCTTCGCCGTGAAGTCTACGGGTGAGAAATACGGAAGCGGCGAACCGGAAACTAATGCGAAGGTGATCTCATGTAACCGCTTACAAAAATTCTGTAGCGGAGAGGTATAGAGATGATGGTACCGAGAGGAGCAGGGAAACGCGGCAGGATCGTGTAAGCGATGTTGAAGATTTTGTTCCCTCCTTCGTATCCTGCCTTCGTCCCTCCCTATCGGCGCTCTTCGTCAAGCCTCGAACCTGTTCCAGCTCTCAAAACAGAGAATAATGAGTGAAACGGTCTAGAACACTATGTCTAGGACCTCTGAAGGTATCAAACAGATCATACTCGGTAAAAGCGCGACTCAGCTCAAACTACCGCTAACGAAATGTGGATGGAAATTCGCCTGATGTACAACAACACCACTCCACCACCACTTGTTCACAAATGGGAGCTGAGCTGGATTGTAGGGGAGTTGACGACATCAGGGCTGAAAAATGCCCGCCCAACCACCTGAATGCCCGTAGAGAGCCGTCGATGGCTGCTAGTGAATTTGTCTGCGCCGTCGATATGGTACGTATGGTGTCCAATAGAAAAACAGAGCCTCTCTATCGAGCCTATCAGCACGAACCTTGACTGGCTTTGTGTTTGTCCCGTGACAGCCGAATGGGGTGCAGCCCATCACACGACACCACACCACACCCTTACCCAGCATCAAAACCATCCATGGCATGAGAGGAGATGTTCAAGCAATCATGTTCATTACGTACATCACCATGCGTCGATTTCGGCATGATGTAGGTTTCCTGGTCTGGTTATGCGGTGGTTCGTAACTAGATTCCAGTCGCTACTAGGTACGGTCGGGCTGTGACATGAGAAATTCATCTTCAAATATTTTCCTACGTCTCGTGTAGCAGTTGTGCAACAAACATGTGAAGATCGGTCAGCCCGGAAATGTCGTGAGGCATGAAACTACCCAATCAGAGCTTTTTATCAAATTCCAGCCAATCACAGGAAGGCTTAGCCTCAACATCATACATAGGTACGGCAGTCTCAAACCTCCCCGAACCATTCTTCCAAGCCAAGTCGCACCCTGACATACCATGCCCACATCGCATTTGCTTTCTCCCGAGCCGCACACCCTGCGAGAATGACAAATGAGCTCACACCACCAAACCAAATGTATTCGTTCGTCCAGGGGCTCGGAGGAATTCGCCCTTGGGAATGTCTCATTTGCCATTCGCCTCGTCTCGCCTCGCATTCCCCTTACCATCACCATTCTCTCTCCTTCCTCCATTTGCACTTGGTTTTCCACCTTTCTCAGTTTCACCAAGCACTCGCCTGCCAAATTCCTGCGCCCATGACGCATTTAGCAGGCTAGCCCTTTCCCTTTCACCAGTGCTTGCTTTGAAACCCTTGCTTTCTTCAGCCTAAAACGTGTTCACAGTTGCGGTTCAGGACGTTCTTCTGCGCTGCCATTCCAAATCCTCTCTCTCCGTCACGATAAACTCTTCATCACGTTCTAGCTCTCAAAGTTACTCAGGTTTCAAGCTTAGAGCAAGAAGTTATTGTCTTAGGGGGCAGCGAAAGAGCGATTCTCGCCGAGGCTCGTGCTTTTGCTGTTCCTTTTTAAGAGAAAATCCTTGTGCTTCTCGAATTCCTACGGAAGTCGTTTCAAACAAGCAGTACTGGTGCCTCGGCTACCCGTCGGTCACCTTATATTTCCAGGACTACGGCCGAAGTTTCCCGTATTTCGATTATCCTAGTATGCCATACTCCATTCTGAGGACTCCCAAGTGCCATTTGAAGGACTCCAGCTCACTTTCATCTCACCCTGCGGACTTGCATGCGGCATAAAAGGCACCGCTCCGACCTCTGAGTTCCGTTTCGCACGTTCGCACAGTGGTTCACCTTTGAGCGGCGGAGAGTTTCACGCCTTTCCACGCCTGAAATCTAGCAGTTTAACATCAGGCGACCAGTAGCCATGATTGGCGCCACGTGCAGCAGCGACGCGATGATATCTGACAACCCCTCGCTCGCCGTCACGAGCCTTTCTGCCGGCTCGAGCGGCGGGTCCAAGGAGCTGATGACGCTCGTGACAGTCCCCTCGGCGTCTCATATCACTGCTGCTACAGCCTGCGGCGATGCTACAGCCGACGGTTACTACTATACAGCTGGACATGCTACAGCTGCTGGCACAACCACTGCCGTCGGTGGTATGGTTGAACCCGCATCCGCGTTCGAGGAACCGCCGGTCTCGCGTCAGCGGAGGGAAACGGAGGAGCTGTTGTTGGCCGTCAACTCGAGCGTGCTGCTGCGGATTCTCTCTGACGTCAGCCTTTCTGCGGAGGACCTCGCGCGCCTCGAGGTAACGCAGCACGTGCGAGCAGAACCCGAGAACGAGATATAGTTTCAACGCGCGACGTCCTTTTATGGAGCAGGCGCCTCGAAGCTGTCGTTGGCTGCAATTTTTGTCGATTTTAAAGTCTCCGTGGCTCGTAAACGCTTCCTCGTTTTACTGTGATGGTTGTGTCTCTAATCCACGCGCGTGCACATCGTCTGCAAGATTTTCACTTTTTGATTTGTGCGCCGGCTCAACACCAACACCTCGAAATTTGCCGTGGTTAACTATTCGTCTCAGCACGCACGCGCCTGTTTCCCGAAATACCGGCGCAGGGGAAGGAATGGGTCACCGTTTGCTCAACCCAAGCCAGCAGCCGGAAAGGCGGCGCGAATACCTCTGATGCGGACGAGAATATCACGTTCTCTGTCTTCCGTCGTCTGCCCCGTGTCGCCGCTCCCCCGTACCTCTTCTCCAGCGCCTTCTTCCCCCCACCACCTTCTCTCCGCTCTCGCTTCCTTCCCCGTGCCTCCCCCTCGCATGCTCCGCCAGCTCGTGTGCGGGTTCTTCCGCCGGCCCGCGCATCTGACTCCGCATCCGCAGCGCCTCTCATTGACGGAAGCGGCGGCGCACGACCCAACAGTTCTCCTTGCGCTTCCGCATGCCGTCTCCCCACCGTGCCTTCTCTCCCCTCTGCTTCCCCCCCCCCCCCCTCCCCCCCCCCCCGCGCTTCTTTCCACCCACCCGCGCTCCAACAGCTCGTGTGCGGGTTCTTCCGCCGCCCCGCGCATCTGACCCCGCACCCGCGCCTCTCGCTGGCGGAAGTGGCGGCGCACGACCGCTGCCAGCAGCACTCCCTGCGCTTCCGCATGCTGCCGCCCGCGCAGCAGCGCCTGCTCTGGGCGCGCTGCGGACGTTCGTGGAAGCTTCTGCTGCGCTTCCTCATCACCAGCGACAGCTGCATCAGGTAACAGGGTAACAGGGTTACTCCGGTAGCAATCTGGTAACAGGGTTACTCCGGTTGCAATCTGGGACATCCGGTAACATCTGGTAGCATGAGGTAACAGTGCAACATCAGGTAAAGTCAGGGTAACACTTGGTGAAATCGGGTAAGATCTGGTAACATCTGGTAACACATGGTAACGTTAGGTAACGCCGTCGCATAACCGCGTTCGTTTTGCTGTTGCTCGATTTTGCCTTTGCAAGTTGTTTCTCTGCTGTAACTCTGCCTTTTGCTTCTCTCCGGCTAACTGTTGAATTTACCTTTTGTCTGCCAGGCACGGGCAGCCACAGGTGGCAGCAGGATGTGCGCACAGCGTCGCGGTGGGGTGCGGTGGAGAGGTGTGACTCACACTTGTTTCTGTTCCTTCCACATCCCCTGCCCTTTCCCCGTCTCTGCTTCCACCAGGCACGGCCAGCCACAGGTGGCGGCGGGGTGTGCGCACAGTGTCGCGGTGGGGCGCGGTGGAGAGGTGTGGACGTTCGGGCATGGTTCGGCAGGGCAGCTGGGGAGACCCCTGGCTTCTGCTAGCAGTGCTGCTGCTGCTGCTGCTGCTGCTGGTGCGGGTGCTGGCGGTTTCGGTGCTGCTGGTGCTGGTGGTGCTGCTGCTGGTGGCGGTTATGCCAGTTTTGCCGCTGCCGCTGCTGCTGCTGCCGTTGGTGGTTTTGCTGGGCTTGCAAACGATGTGACAACCACTCTGGCCACCACTGCAACGGGGGCTGTGACCGTGACTTTAAGGAGCGGGATTGAAAGGGGGGTGGCGGGGAGCGGTGATGCGTCCGCGGAACCTTCCTGGAAGCCACAGATTGTTAGGTGAGCGCTGTCACATGCGTACATGGTTCTGTGCGGTGCGTGCAGGTAGAGTGTGAGGTAGTGAGGTAGGTTGCGATTTACAAAACGGTTAACCATAACCAATATAACATCGAGTGTAGTGTGTGACACGATATGAGGTCATGTAATAAGTAAAACATTAGGGATCAACTGTAATGCATCGTAATGTGACATCATTGTAACTCTAAGAATGGCACATTGTATGTGTGCAGTGCCTTGCATGCGAGGGAGTGGTACCGCACTCAAACTGTTGTCATATTTACCAACTTTCCCCCTCTATTACACGCAGATCCCTGTTAGGAGTGTGCGCGGTGCAGGCTGCAGCAAGGAAGGCGCGGACCATGCTAGTGACAGACTCAGGCTCGATGTATCACTACCCCATGCTCCCTACCCCCCTACTCCTCCCCTTCTCCATGCTCTCTCCTTCTCCTCTCATATGCATGTCCCTGCTAGGAGTGCGCGTGGTGCAGGCGGCAGCAAGCAGGGCGAGGGCCGTGCTAGTCTCAGACACAGTCTTGGAGTATCATGGCTCCATGCTCTCTATTCCCCCCTTCCTTTCCTCCCCCATGCTCTCTATTCCCCCCTTCCTTTCCTCCCCCATGCTCTCTATTCCCCCCTTCCTTTCCTCCCCCATGCTCTCTATTCCCCCCTTCCTTTCCTCCCCCATGCTCTCTATTCCCCCCTTCCTTTCCTCCCCCATGCTCTCTATTCCCCCCTTCCTTTCCTCCCCCATGCTCTCTATTCCCCCCTTCCTTTCCTCCCCCATGCTCTCTATTCCCCCCTTCCTTTCCTCCCCCATGCTCTCTATTCCCCCCTTCCTTTCCTCCCCCATGCTCTCTATTCCCCCCTTCCTTTCCTCCCCCATGCTCTCTATTCCCCCCTTCCTTTCCTCCCCCATGCTCTCTATTCCCCCCTTCCTTTCCTCCCCCATGCTCTCTATTCCCCCCTTCCTTTCCTCCCCCATGCTCTCTATTCCCCCCTTCCTTTCCTCCCCCATGCTCTCTATTCCCCCCTTCCTTTCCTCCCCCATGCTCTCTATTCCCCCCTTCCTTTCCTCCCCCATGCTCTCTATTCCCCCCTTCCTTTCCTCCCCCATGCTCTCTATTCCCCCCTTCCTTTCCTCCCCCATGCTCTCTATTCCCCCCTTCCTTTCCTCCCCCATGCTCTCTATTCCCCCCTTCCTTTCCTCCCCCATGCTCTCTATTCCCCCCTTCCTTTCCTCCCCCATGCTCTCTATTCCCCCCTTCCTTTCCTCCCCCATGCTCTCTATTCCCCCCTTCCTTTCCTCCCCCATGCTCTCTATTCCCCCCTTCCTTTCCTCCCCCATGCTCTCTATTCCCCCCTTCCTTTCCTCCCCCATGCTCTCTATTCCCCCCTTCCTTTCCTCCCCCATGCTCTCTATTCCCCCCTTCCTTTCCTCCCCCATGCTCTCTATTCCCCCCTTCCTTTCCTCCCCCATGCTCTCTATTCCCCCCTTCCTTTCCTCCCCCATGCTCTCTATTCCCCCCTTCCTTTCCTCCCCCATGCTCTCTATTCCCCCCTTCCTTTCCTCCCCCATGCTCTCCACTTCCTCTCCTCTCATTCTCAGGTCGCTGCTAGGGGTGCGCGTGGTGCAGGCAGCAGCAGGCAGGGCGAGGACAATGCTAGTCTCAGACACAGGCTCGGTGTATCACTTCCACATTCCCTCTCTACCTCCCCCCTCCCTCTCTTTTCTTGGCTGCCTCTGTCTTTGCATCCCCCAGGTCGCTCCTAGGAGTGCGAGTGGTGCAAGCAGCAGCAGGCAGGGCGAGGACCATGCTAGTCACAGACACAGGCTCGGTGTATCATCAACTTTTCATGCTTTTACTTTCCCCCCTTTCCTTTCCTGGTTGGTGTATCTGCCCTCCCACCCACAGGTCGCTCCTAGGGGTGCGCGTGGTGCAGGCAGCAGCAGGTAGGGCGAGGACAATGCTAGTCACAGACACAGGCTCGGTGTATCACTTCGGCAGGGACTGCTTCGGCGACCAGGAATACTCCCTCACCTCCCCCGAGCCTGTCACCGAGCCTCGGCTCGTGGAGTCGCTTCGGCAGATTCAAGTCGTCCAGGTGAGGTGCCTTAAACAGTTACGCTCGTTATTATGACCCACTCTCTACACACTTTGCCATGCTCTGGTCCTTGAAATTCTCGAAGCTTCAAGCTTGATTGTGCCGTACAACTCATTCACACCGCTTCACATCGCTTTGCATCTGTACCTCCCTCATTCGCAGCCCTCTATTTGCACCCACCCCTTCCCCCTCTGCAGGTCGCCCTCGGGAATTTCTTCACAGCAGTGCTTTCAGCGGAAGGCCGCGTCTTCACTCTCTCTTGGGGTGGCCGGGGGGACGGCAGACGCACCACCCTTGCTGCCGCTGCTGCCGCTGTTGCTGCTGCTGCCGCCGCTCCTCCCCCGGCTGGTGGTGCTGCTTCCACTGATTCTGATGCTGATGGTGGTACTAATACAACGCAGATGCTCAATACTGCCACTGAAGCAGGCAGTGAGTCCCGAGGCGAGAGGCTCGGGCACGCCACCGATCCTGCGGACACCGTGCCTCGGCAGCTCGCCGGACCTGGGATGAGTGCTGTGCTTGGGCTGGGGGGAGGGGGGAGGGGAGGGGGTTGTGCGGGGAGGAAGGGGAGATTGGGGGGAAAGGCGGGAAGAAAGGTGGGAATGAAAGGAAAGGGATTGGAGGGTTGTTGTGGAGTCACAAGGTGCAATGGTGTGGGACTAGATGTTGCAGGTAGTGGTGGTGCTGGTGCTGGTAGTGCTGGCTGTGGCGGCTGCAACTGTATTGAAACGCGTAGGGAGACGGATAAAATGGGGGATGAAGGGGAAGAGGAGGAAGAAGAAGTGGAAGAGGAGGAGGAGGAGGGTGGGATAGTGTCGCTTCCAGTGGTGCAGATAGCAGGAGGACACTGCTACCTGCTGGGATTGACTTGTGCCACGGAGCCTCATGGCAGGTGAGATAAGTGAAAAGCTCAGTAGTGTGGTGTGGTGTGGTGTGGTGTGGTGTTGTGTGGTGTGGTGAGAAAAGTGGTGCAGATAGCAGGGGGGCACTGCTACCTGCTGGGACTGACATGTGCCAAGGAGCCTCATGGCAGGTGAGCCCAGTGATACGCCCAGTGGTGAGGTGTGGTGTGGTGTGGTGTGTTGTGGTGTGGTGTGGTGTGGTGTGGTGTGGTTTGATGTGGTGTGGTGGGAAAAGTGGTGCAGATAGCAGGGGGACACTGTTACTTACGGCACGTGTGCCCCGTGATATGACCAGTGGTGTGGTGAGCTGTGGACAGATGGTATTGGCCATGGTACAGAACGGTGCAGATAGCAAGCAAGAGAGGCACTGCCACTTGCTAGGGTTGACTTATTACACTACACTACGATGGTAAGCTGTGGCTTTTCGTTGAAAAGTTAGGCTATGTCACACACCTGTTTCCTTCCTCCGCTCTCTTCCCCCTTCACTCCTCAGGTCTGTCTGGCCCTTAGGCTGTGGTCTGGGCGGCAAGCTAGGCCACGACACACTAGTGTGACCCCCCAATCCCAATCCCCTATCTCCGCTTTTCCACCCATCCCTTACACCCTCTCTCCACTCCTCAGGTCGGTCTGGTCTATTGGCTGTGGTCTGGGCGGCAAGCTAGGCCACGACACACGAGTGTCCTTATCCCTGCGCCCTTCTGCAACCCCCACCGTTTTGTTTTCCTCTCCTCTCCCCCCAGGTCTGTCTGGTCCATAGGCTGTGGGCTGGGTGGCAAGCTAGGCCACGGCACACGAGTGTCCTTATCCCTGCGCCCTTCTGCAACCCCCACCTTTTTGTTTTCCTCTCCTCTCTCCTCAGGTCTGTCTGGTCCATAGGCTGTGGGCTGGGTGGCAAGCTGGGCCACGGCACAAAGTACGATGAACGCCGGCCGAAAGAGATCGCGCACTTTAAAGCCCTAGAGTTCGCCCCCACAGCCGTTGCTGCGGGCGCGTGGCACGCTGCTGCTGTTGCTGCTGATGGGAGAGTCGCCACGTGGGGGTGGGGCAGGCATGGGTGTCTAGGACATGGGAAGGACCAGTGTGAAACGCTGCCCAGGGTTATTGAAAGCTTGTGTAAAAAGGAGGAGGAGGATATGAACAGTGGGGTGAATGGGGGTGGTGGTGTTGGCGCTGGTGCTACTGATGCTGCTGGTTCTGGTGGTGCTGCCTCTGCTTCTGCTTCTGCTGCTTCTCCCTCTGCTGCTGCTGCTTCTCCCTCTGCTTCTGCTGCTTCTCCGTCTGCTGCTGCTGCTTCTACATCCGCTGCTGCTGTTTCTCCATCTGGATCAGAGGCAGCTGCCAGCAGGGATGAACCGCACGGGTCACGTGGCAAGCTCCGTCCAGCCGTTAAAGCCTGCCACGTGGCAGCAGGGGATTACACGACGTTTGTGGTGGGGGAGGGCGGTGAGGTGTGGTCGTTTGGGAGCGCGGAGAGCGCGTGTCTGGGGCATGGCGGCGGGTGGGAGAGGGAGGAGGAGGAGGAAGGGGAGGAGATCGACGATGCTGATCTGCATGACATTGTGGTGAGTAGTTTGTGTAGGTTCATGGGTCATATTGTCGAGCGTGGTTTATGCAAAAGAGGACAGTGAGGTGTGGTCGTTTGGGAGCGCGGAGAGCGTGTGCTTGGGGCTTGGCGGCGGGTGGGAGAGGGAGGAGGAGGAGGAAGAGGAGGATATTGATATCGTGGTGAGTAGTTTTTTTACCCCACACCATGCTGCCGTCATCTCACCCCACTCCACATTGCCCTCCTCAATCAACGCCCTCCCACTCCCCCCACACCCCACTCTTCCCCCCACCCCCCACCAGCTGCGGCAGCATCGGAGGCGCAATCGGGATGTGATGCAGCCCAGGCGAGTCTCTCTGCTGGAGGAGCGAGCTGCCCACCCCCCTGCTCCTCTACCTCCTCCTACTCCTTCTGCCTCTCCTGCTGCTGTGGATGCTTCTGCTGTTGCTGCAATCCCGCCTACCGCCAACCCACTTGCTCCTCCTGCTGCTGCCCCTGGCTCACCCGCTGCGCTGCTAGGCGGGGGACCTGCGAGTGCAAGGGGCGGTGTGAGAGGGCTGTTCACGTGGGGAAGTCTACCTGCTGCTGCCACTGGGGGTCGAGGCAGCGACTATGCAATGGCTCCTGCTCCTGCTGTTGCTGCTGCTGCTGCTGCTACTGCGGCTGCTGGTGCTACTGCCACTACTGCTGCCTCTGCCACTGCTGCTGCTACTGCTGCTGATGGCTCTGGTCCTGCTGGTGACGTCATTCCTGTAACACCGCTCTTGTCTGTGGTTACCAGTGGCGCTGGCAACAGCAGTGGCAGTGGGAGTGGAGGCAGTGACAGTGGGAGTGGTAGCGATGGGAGTGGGAGTGGCAGTGGTGATGCTATGGCTGTGAGCTTGAGTGACTGGATGAGCAGTATTGTCAGCAGCAACGTTGCCAGCAGCAGCAGCTCTGGCCTTAGTAGCCCCAGCGGCAACAGCAGCAGCAACACCAACACCAACATCAGCAACTGCATTGGAAACGGCATGAGGAGCACAGAAAACGCTACAGGCAGCAGCAGCAGCAGGAGGGGTACGGTGGTGCAGATAAGTACGTCGAATGCCGGCCACTTTGACGCGCACATGCTGGCACTGACCACTGATGGCAGGGTGCTGGCGTGTGGGGGCGGGAGCAAGGGGCAGTTGGGGGCGCCCCCTGCTGCAGGGGATACCTCCTTCCCCCAGTTTGTGAAGGGGTTGCTTCTGTGAGTGTCTTGGGCTGGATGTGGGGCGTTGACTAGCGTTGACCAGCGTTGACCACCGGTGTTGACCAGTGATGGAAGGGTGCTGGCATGTGGGGGAGGGAGTTGGGGCAGCTGGGGCCGCCCCCTGTTGCAGGGGATACCTCTTTCCCTCAGTTCGTGAAGGGGCTCCTTCTGTGAGTGTCATTGCCTGGATGAGCGGCGTTGACCAGAGTTGACCAGGAACGGCAGGGTGTTGGCTTGTGGGGGAGGGAGTAAGGGGCAGTTGGAGGCGCCCCTCTTTCCCTCAGTTCGTGAAGGGGCTGCTTCTGTTAATAGATTGTGCTGGATGAGTGGCGTTGACCTGTTGACCAGCATTCAGCTTTGGGCCACAGGCTTCGGGCGGAGCCCCTCTGAAGAGATGGTGTGGGGCTGCAGGAAGATGGGTGGCGGCATGGAGGTTGGACGGCAGGGAGAATGTGATACAGGGTACAGAGTGGTGGTCAACATTCTAGAAGGTGATGGTGACATTGGTTGGCGGGGAGGATGGGCAGCAGGCGAGGGTGGTTGGTTGTCAGAGGGTGAGAGTATGGGGCGGTGGGTGGTGGTGGTAAACAGGATGGGAGAGGTAAAGGTACGTAACGTTTTGTATAGTTTGTGAGTTTGTACAGGAAGCACAGGGGTGGATGGATGTGAAGATTTGAAGGCTCAAGAGCAAGAAGCTCTTGGGTGAGACTGGTGCTTCATTGTCTCAAGTGTAGCGTGTAATGTTTTTGGAGTGATTGCACATGGACAAATTAGTTTAGCTGATCTAAAGGGGTGCCAATTTGTGGAACGTTGGAGGGTGAAAGTTGGTGGTGGCACAGGGTTGTTGGAAGAGATTTGTCAGCATGAGAAGACCTTGGGTAGTTGGAACTTAGCAGGGGTAGGTATATTTTGTAAATATGTATTTGGTGGTAAATGTTTTTCTGTGGGTTAACAGACAGGCCCAACTTGTGCCTACTCAGTCACTTTTTTTCATCCAATGGCCGTTATGCAATGGAACCTTTGATGCTGGTTAGCATATAACAATATTAATAGCAACGTTTTGCTATTTGTAATAAAAGCACGTTCTATTGCATAACGTACTCGATTTGGGCTACGGATATGCAGTGTAGGTGATGAAGCCAAAATGGTTTTCGGACTCCGCTCGGGGAGATCGAGCCGCATTTTTCAGGCTTCGAGGCAGGTCGCGAAGGTACTTCCGAATGCGGTTAAAAACGGTTTTATACGATTTGGAGCGTTCTGTTTATATTTACAATGGAAAACGTGTTTTCCACTCCTCACCACCAGCCAAATTGAACACCTTCCACGAAATCGAGCCGCGAGATTATTGGACATTGGCATTGCGGGGGGGAATACTTGTTGCGTCCCTGCAGGGAAGAAAAGACGGGAAAATAATCCGTCCAGACACGTCCCCAACACTTCAAGTGTTTGAGCGCCCTGCTCACAGGTATAAATGACTACTATCAGTGCTACTTTATCAACATTCCTTCCTCCCTCAGTCGTCACCCATCCTGTTCGCACCTGTTTTGAGTCCCGTTTCCGATCACTCCACGTCTGCATTTAACATTGCTCATAAATTATCTCGTTTGATCCCAAAGAGCAACTTCGCTAGCATCTCCCCTTATATTTTATTCCGCCAGAAACAACAAGCTCTCCATCAGCCAGTCGAGATGGTACAACCCACGGGAAAATTCTTCCCGTTGCTCGTTTTCCTCTCCCTCGTCTGCATCTCACCGCTCCCTCTCTCATCCGCTGGTGCGCCGCGCATCGCGCGCACGCCCCGCGCACACGAAGAGCACCGCCGTCAGCGCCAGCTGGACGAAATCGTCGGCCGTGGCGCGCGCCCGCGTGTGCACACGTCAGAAGACTCAAGCGCTCCAATCACATACGGAGGAGGGCCCGTGATGACCGGAAACCCGGCCATCAAGGTGTACATTATTTACTACGGCAGCTGGCCGGCAGGATCGGGGCAGAAAATAATCGAGAATTTTATCCGGTCGCTGAGCGCGGATTCGCAGCGGCAGGGGGGTCCCGCGGATCCCAAGGTGAAGCGCTGGTGGGCGATCAGCGCGGCGTACACGCAGGATGAGGAGGATGGCACCAAGAAGAACGTCAGCAGCAAGGTGCGGGTCTTTTTCACGATGCCCTTCCTTAACTTTGCCACAAACCCCCTCGCATAAACCACCTCGTTTCTCTCTTTAGCAGCTTAATGAAATGCAAAAAAAATATTGGTTTTATTTCATTCCAGGTGCGCCTCGCCAGGACTGTCTATGACGACTACTCGGCAGGAACGGATTTTGGCAACGACACGGTTTGGGAAGGTACGCGCACAGTAGAACCATTTTACAGCCTTTTCCAGCATGATGATATATTTCTGCCGCTGATCAACTATGCACTGGCGTAAGCAAGCCAGGATACGTTTCTGTCAGAATCTAAACTATTCAAACCCTTCTTTGTGGCAGTTATTTCCAACAAGATTGGTGCTGGAAGGCCACTTCCGTACGATGCAAATGGCATCTACCTGCTCCTTTCTAGCAAGGATGTCACCGTCCCAGGTTTCTGTATTGACTATATGGGATGGCATAGCATGGGCTACATTGACTCGGATTCAAAGCCGGTTGTGTTCGCGTTCGTGGGGCATCACGGGCAGTGCAAAGAAGAATGGATTCCCAAACCGTCTCCCAACGGCAACCCTGCAATCGATTTCACGCTTTCAACAATTGCTCATGAAATCGCGGAAGCAGCAACCGATCCGGATGTTGATTCCGGATGGGGCGATGAGAACGGTGAGAATGCGGACAAGTGCTACATGGATGTTGGACAGACGAAGACGGGCAGGGACAGCAGCGGCGGAACGTACAAGTACAATCTCGTTGGGATGAAGAACATGAGGTTTTTGATTCAGAGTAACTGGGACTGGCAGAAGAACATGTGCGTGACTCAGAGGAAGTACCAGTAGGAGAATGATTTACGTGTGATGCTTTATAGATTCCTTTCCCGACTCTTCATGGAGTGTAGAGAACAATATGAATCCAATTTGCTGCATGGATGATGTACAGTGGAATTTAAAGCCACAGGTCTTCTTACTTATGCATCATCTTTCTATCGACCAGCAGCATACACATTTCGTTAGTCTGTCACATCGAACACACCATCCTCCCTCCTCCATGAATTGACAACTCAGCCACGATAGGCGGGCTTAAGGATGCAGCAATTTATCAAGAAAACCTTTAGAAATCCAAGCAAATCAAAGCCTTGCCAATCCAAGCCAATCAAAGCCAACCTAAGCCAAGCTAAGCCAAGGCATGGCAATCCAAGGGAAGGCAAGGCAAGGCAAGCCAAGCCCAGCAAAGCCTACATAACTTTTTTTATCCAAGTCAAGCCAAGGCGTCCTAGGACGAGCATATATAAGCCAAGCCTATAAAAGCCAATCCAAGCCAAGCCATTCCAAGCTAAGCCATTCCAGCCACTCCAGACCAAGTCAGGCCAAGACAAGCACAAATAAATCCATGCCAAACCAGGGAAAGCAAGGCCAATCCAGGCGAAGGGACACCAAACCATGCCAGTAATAGCCTAGTTTAGCCTAGTCAATCCATGACAGGGCAAGGAGAGGCAAACAAGGCCAAGCCTAGCACAAGCAAAACCAAGCCAAATCAGGGAAAGCAAGGCCGATCCAGGCCAAGGGACACCAAACCATTTACAAAGGCTATACCCTAGTTGAACCTAGTCAGTCAAATTGTAGAGAGGGTGTTTTTGAGACGTGTGTTTTTGAGACGTCTCAAAAACACCCTCTCTACACGTGGCTATTCCATAGCCAAGAATAGCCTAGTAAACCCAAGAATAGCCTAGTCAAGCCAAGTATAGCCTAGTCAATTCAAGTATAGCCTAGTCAATCCAAATATAGCCTAGTCTAGCCAAATGTAGCCTCTTAAATCCAAGTATAGCCTAGTCAAGCCAAGTATAGCCTAGTCAAGGCAAGTATAGCCTAGTCAATCCAAGTATAGCCTAGTCAATCCAAGTATAGCCTAGTCAATCCAAGTCTAGCCTAGTCAATCCAAATATGGCCTAGTCAATCCAAATATGGCCTAGTCAATCCAAGTATAGCCTAGTCAATCCAAGTATAGCCTAGTCAATCCAAGTATAGCCTAGTCAATTCAAGTATAGCCTAGTCAATTCAAGTATAGCCTAGTCAATTCAAGTATAGCCTAGTCAATTCAAGTATAGCCTAGTCAATTCAAGTATAGCCTAGTCAATTCAAGTATAGCCTAGTCAATTCAAGTATAGCCTAGTCAATTCAAGTATAGCCTAGTCAATTCAAGTATAGCCTAGTCAATCCAAGTATAGCCTAGTCAATCCAAATATGGCCTAGTCAATCCAAGTATAGCCTAGTCAATCCAAGTATAGCCTAGTCAATCCAAGTATAGCCTAGTCAATCCAAATATGGCCTACTCAATCCAAGTATAGCCTAGTCAATCCAAGTATAGCCTAGTCAATCCAAGTATAGCCTAGTCAATCCATATATGGCCTAGTCAATCCAAGTATAGCCTAGTCAATCCAAGTATAGCCTAGTCAATCCAAGTATAGCCCAGTCAAACCAAATATAGCCTAGTCAAACCAAGTATAGCCTAGTCAATCGAAGTATAGCCTAGTCAATCCAAATATAGCCTAGTCTAGCCAAATGTAGCCTAGTCAAGCCAAGTATAGCCTAGTCAAAGCAAGTATAGCCTAGTCAAACCAAGTATAGCCTAGTCAAACCAAGTCTAGCCTAGTCAATCCAAGTATAGCCTAGTCAATCCAAGTATAGCCTAGTCAATCCAAGTATAGCCTAGTAAAGTCAAGTATAGCCTAGTCAAACCAAGTATAGCCTAGTCAAACCAAGTCTAGCCTAGTCAATCCAAGTATAGCATAGTCAATCCAAATATGGCATAGTCAATCCAAGTATAGCCTAGTCAATCCAAGTATAGCCTAGTCAATCCAAGTATAGCCTAGTCAATCCAAATATAGCCTAGTCTAGCCAAATGTAGCCTATTAAATCCAAGTATAGCCTAGTCAATCCAAGTATAGCCTAGTCAATCCAAGTATAGCCTAGTCAATCCAAGTATAGCCTAGTCAATCCAAGTATAGCCTAGTTAGTCCTAGTATAGCCTAGTCAATCCAAGTATAGCCTAGTCAATCCAAGTATAGCCTAGTCAATCCAAGTATAGCCTAGTCAATCCAAGTATAGCCTAGTCAATCCAAGTATAGCCTAGTTTATTCAAGTATAGCCTAGTCAATCCAAGTATAGCCTAGTCAATTCAAGTATAGCCTAGTCAATTCAAGTATAGCCTAGTCAATTCAAGTATAGCCTAGTCAATTCAAGTATAGCCTAGTCAATTCAAGTATAGCCTAGTCAATTCAAGTATAGCCTAGTCAATTCAAGTATAGCCTAGTCAATTCAAGTATAGCCTCGCCAAGCCAGGCCAAGCCAAGACAAGAAAAACCAAGCCAACACTGGATCAGTCAGACCATTCGACGCCAAGCCATGATCAATCAAGTCATCCAAGTCAGGTGAAGCGAAGCTAGGCAATGCCAAGCCAAGTTAAGACATGTTGGTCCAAGCTTGGCCTGTTTAAGAAAAGCTAAACCAAGCCTGTCCAAGCCAAGCCAAGCCATGCAGAGACAAGACATGCCAAGACAAGGCAGCCAAGCCAAGCCAAGCCAAAGGAAGCCATGCCAGACCATATACACCCAGTCTGGGCTAGCAAAGCCAAGCCATCCAAGAGAGCCAAACAAAGCCAGATCAGACCAAGCCCCTCTAGCAAGGGAAGACCAGGCCAGGACAAGCCAAAGCAAAGAGATACCATTACAACCTAGGAAAAAACAAGCCAAGCAAAGCCAGACCAAGCCAAGCCAAGCCACGCCAAGCCAGATCAAGCCAAGCTAGGCCAGATCAAGGTTTGTTTGCCGGGACATGGATTCCGACCATGGGATTATAAGAAAAGATGTATACCCGTCATTAAATTACAGTCAAGGTGCCTCTATCTAATGGAATCATGTATATTGGTTAGCATATACCAATTAAGAGCAAAGCTTTTGTACTTGTATGCATAGCAAGTTGTTTTGCATAGTATACTCGTTTCTGTATCGGTGTAGCTGATACAGCCACAATGTTTTGCAGTCGGGGATATTTTGGGTTCAGGGCGGGGTCACGGGAGTACGTTTGAATGCGCTTGAAAAAGGTCATGTACGATCTAGAGCGGTCTGTAATTGGAAACGTGGTTTTCAGTCGCGCCGTCATCCATATCGAACACCTCCACCAAATCGAGCCGCGAAATTATTGGACATGCGCATTCAAGCCGGGAAGTGTTTGCTCGGCTTACCTGCCGAAAATCATGAAAGAAGATGGAAGAACCGCCGTGCTCAGAGGCATATACAGTGCTTCCACCTCACATACAGTGCCGAAAATCATGAAAGATGGAAGAACCGCCGTACTGTACGCGTGTCCGTGCTTCCTTACAACCAACATTTCCACCTCACTCAGTCGCACAACTCATTCCATCCAGTTCACACTTGCTTTGGATCCTGTGTCTTATCATTCCACCTCCACAGCTAGCAGTATTTACAAAATCATACCGCCGGAGGTTGATCCCAACAGCGATTCGAATGCCATCTCACAGCCGAATGAAGCGACGGATTAGCAAGATTAGATTCGTGATTCTGGCGCATATCTGCCGCAGATAGCGCGGCGCTAGCATTCCCCCCGTTATTTTTCCGATTTGAAGAACCTCAGGTTCTCCCCCAGCCAGTCGCAATGGCGAAACCCCCTGGCACCTTCTCCTTGCTGCTCGTTGTACTCTCCCTCGTCTGCATCTCGCCGCTCCCCATCGCATCCGCCGGTGCGCCTATGCGCATCGCGCGCACGCCCTTGGCGCACGAAGTATTCCGCCGTCAGCGCCAGCTGACCGACACCGTTGACCGCGGCTCGCGCCCGCCTCTGCACATGTTCAATTCCAGAATGTTTTTTTCCGAGAGAGAAAAGCGTGAGAGCAAAACGGGCGCTGACACTTCAAACCCTCCGATCAAATACCGAGGCGGACCCGTGATGACCGGAAACCCGTCCATAAACGTGTACATCATTTACTACGGCAGCTGGCCGGCGGGTTCGGGGCAGAAAATAATCGAGAACTTTATTCGATCGTTGAGCGCGGATTCAAAACGGCAGGGGGGTCCCGCGGATCCCAAGGTGAAGCGCTGGTGGGCGATCAGCGCGGCGTACACGCAGGAAGGGGAGAATGGCGCGAAGAGGAACGTCAGCAAGAAGGTGCGACTTTTCATGCCAGTTACCGTCTTGGTAAACGATGGGGTTGTACCGCAGGTTGAAACAAGTGGCTCGAAGGGAGGAGGGTTGAAACGAATGAGTAGGGCGTGATTGAGTGATCGGTACATGCGTTGAAACATGCGATCGATTTTATAAGGCATGCGTAGTAATCGAATCATGGGTGACGGGATCATGTCAAGCTGCTTAAAAGTAGCGCATCGGCGATCAGGTCGTTTCCAGCGTGGTGCAATTCCTCTCTGGTTCCATGTCATTCCAGGTGCGCCTCGCCAAAACTGTCTATGACGACTACTCGGCGGGAACGGATTTTGGCCAAGACACGGTTATGGAAGGTACGCATCACGACTGAAACAATTTGCCTCTTCCAGCGTTCCATGTCTCCCCGCGTACTATCATAAATAAAGTAGCTGCACGATCTATGCGCCAGTGCAAGAGAGTCAAGGTACGAACAACTTTGGCTCATCGCCCTGTCATTGTCTTAACCATTCAAAGCCCTTCTGTCGCAGTTATTTCGAGCAAGATGGGAGCTGGGAAGCCGTTTCCGTACGACGCGAATGGCATCTATCTGCTTCTTACCAGCAAGGATGTAAACGTTCCGGGTTTCTGTACCGAATCTCTTGGATGGCACAGCATGAACTCCTTCGAGTCAAAACCGGTTGTTTTATCGTTCGTGGGGCATCCCGGGCAGTGTCCAGCAGAATGGCAGCGAAATCCGTCGCCGAACGGTAACCCTGCCATAGATTTCATGCTTTCCAGCATCGCTCACGAAATCGCAGAAGCAGCAACAGACCCGGATTGCGTGACGGGATGGATGGACGACACAGATGCAGAGAATGCGGACAAGTGCTCTTCAGATTTTGGTAAGACGAAAAAGGGTCAGGACAGCCGCGGCGGAACGTACGAGTACAATCTCGTTGGGTTGAAGAACATGAGATTTCTGGTCCAGAGCAACTGGGACAGGCAGAAGAACAGGTGTGTGACGCAGAGGAAGTACCAGTAGAGGGGTGGATCCATGATATGAGCGATGCGTGCAAACGCACCAGAGCCAAAGCTATGTCAAGTCTAGTAAGTATAAGCTAAGCCAAGCTAGCCAAGATGGGCCAGGCCAAATAGAGTCAAAACCAGGGCAGGCCAACCCAATCCAATCCAAGCTAAGCCACGCCAAACTATGCCACCACACCAAACCCATTCAGGCCAAGCGAAGCCAAACCAAGTCAAGCCAGCTATTTCAAGAACGCCAAGCCTAGCTGAGCCAAGCCAAGCCAGCTATGCCAAGCCCAGCCAGAGCAGGTCAAGCCAAGCAATCCTAGATGGGAAAACCAAGCCAATCCGAGCCTAGCCAAGCCTACATAGGCTCTTCATAAGCCAGTTGCCCATTTCTCGGGTTTTATCTTCCAGCCTTGGCTTGGTGTCCATACATGTGTATGCAGCAGCATTTTTGGGGGTGTGGGAAGAATGATGTATGGAAAAACGTGGTAAGGCAGTGAGCGCAAAGGGGAGGTTGGACTCAATATACCGTAAGTATCATCGGTGATGCTGCTTCAAGTGATCGGCGTCGCATGGAGCTTATTACAATGAAGCGCTTCCCCGGAAGAGAGGTAGCGGTATATAATGATCAGAAATGCAACAGTCGTTAGCGTGAAGTGTAGCAATGGGTGGTTGCTCGTAGATGCGATGAATACAAAAAAAAAAATATTTTTTTTTTCATTCTTATTATTGCACTTTTTCTGGTAACTTTTTCACATGGAGATGGCATCTACTCGATGGAAACGCTGAAACTGATCGACATATAACAACATAAGAGCAACAGAATTTTGTTGTGTAGAGGTTATTCTATTGCATAACGTACTCGTTTCTGTATCTGAGAAGTATAGTGTAGCTGATGGACTCATAATCGAGCCGCGAATTTTGGGGTTATAAATCCAAATCCGATCGAGCCGCAAAATTATTGCGCTTGGAAACTGATTGCTGAGGACGTGGAACATTGAGTCTGAATAGACGCCCCAGGGTCAGGTTCAGTCCCAAAATGAAGGGTAACCCGAAATTCCCATCAAAATATGGAAACATGTGGAAACACAAGACTCGCATTGAGCCTCTAGCTCGAGCGCGAGGCTCTGCGCGAGCGGCAGGTGCGAAAACTTCTCTTCGCTAGTGTCGCCCTTAATTCGCAAAACAGAAACTAATGATATCGCACATCCAAAACAACTCTTCTCCACGAGCTCCAGACTTTTGCTGCGACAAGTAATGATGTATCCAGGTTTGAATTTCACTTTATCCGGAATTTGCTCGGCAAGCACTCTTTGCCGCGCTGTCTACAAACCAACACAGGCTCGAGCAGCGCTCGATTCAGTCTCAATCCCGTTTTTCGATGCTTAATGTTACTCGATCCGAAGGCTAGGCTCAAACCTACAAACATTTCACAGATGGACCACGACCTCAGTTTCAGAGAGGAAGGAGGCAATAATCGTGGCGTTCGGACTGATGTCGATGTTGCCAACAGCTGCAGCGGCGTGCTGAGGTATGTAAGTCTCGTTGGCACTTCCTACCAACGCTGCTTCCTCACTCGATCGCAGATTCCTCCCGGCCTGTTCGCACCTATTCTGCATCCGTTCCTGGCAAGCTAACAGCTAGTACAGATACTATCTAGGTCGGTCTCTCGTGATCCGAATGCCATCTGATGTCTAAATTACGCCACGCACTAGCAATCTAGCCCCGAGAACTCCAGCGCTTATCAGCAATAACAGCTCTCCGTTCCCTTTTCTCGTTTTCAAGAATCCACCATTCGCAATGGCAAAACTCACCCGCAACTTCTCCCTGCTGCTCGTCATTCTCTCTTTCGTCTGCATCTTGTTGCTCCCCCTCGCATCCGCCGGTGCGCCTAAGCGCATCGCGCGCACGCCTCTGGCACACGAAAAGTACCGCCGCCAGCGCCAGCTGTCCGACATCGTCGATCGCGGCTCGCGCCCGCCTCTGCACTTGTTCGAAGCGCCTTCCGACAAGGAAAAGCGCGAAGAGGACACAAAGAGCGATAGTAATTCAAGCGCGCCAATCATATACCGAGGCGGGCCCGTGATGACGGGAAACACGACTATAAACGTGTACATCATCTATTACGGCAGCTGGCCGGCAGGATCAGGGCAGAATATAATCGAGATATCAAGTCACTGAGCGCGGACTCGAGCCGGCAGGGGAGTCCCGCAGATCCCAAGGTGAAGCGCTGGTGGGCGATCAGTCATCGCGGAAAAGGAAAATGTCGAATTTGGGGGTCCGAAGGTTTTTTTACGAAAAGCCTGCGTCTGTGTTGCGCGAAGCGTCCAAAAAACAACGCACGCGAAACGCGACATTCCGTACACCAGTACCGGATGTTTTCACGGAAACAAAACCGTCACCATTCCCGTCAACAGTTTCGCGTCAATCGGTTTTGCGCGTTCGAGAGAGTTTGCAAGCGGTAATGAAGAGTAACAAATGACTGTGGGATGTAACCACACAATTTACGAAACAAACCGACCCCACGAATCTTCACGAAATCCAGCGAGGTTGCAGAACTGGATACATTGTTTTCGTTTTTTTCTCAGATCTGAACTCCAACCACCCAAACAAAGCCACGGACGCTAGATGGTTCTTCAGGGGTGTGACGTGTGAGCCCAAATATCATTTATAACCAATCACTGTCAAACAACACATGCCATCTTGAACACGTCAGCACGCCCAGCCTATCCAAACCAAATCAAACGCCCACCTCATACAGTTGTTCCGTCCACCCCGTTGCAGACCACGCAGATTCCCAGCATTCACGCACTTATTATCACCTACGCCCACAGAACACGCATTTCGGACTGCAAGTCTCTTCAACTTCTGCACACTCTTTTCGTAATCTCCGCACTCCTCGTCCAACCCTTCTTAACTCCGAGTTCCTTCAAGCCCACAGCCAGACTGTGTGAGAACATCGAGACTATGTTGCCTTGCGCGAACATAGTATCGTTAATTCTATTTTTTTTTTTCAATCGTCCATACGCATGTCTGTCCGTTTTTCACATCCCTCCCCTTTTCAGGCGGCAGCTCCGGCCAACTATTGACGTCGCGCTGCTGGGGTACATGAGAGTCGCGCAAAGGAAGGCCATTGTTGCGCAACACGCCAGGTACGTTTACAGTTCTGATCTTGCACGTGAAGCTGTCTTTATTTTATTTTATTGTGCAGTTTCTATTTGTTTGTGTACACGTTTTTCCTAGTGCGACATATAACTGTATATGTCTTGCTCGCCGTTTCGCCGTTTCCAGTTACCATGTCGCTTCGGTTTAACGCATTGCTCCTCTGTGCAGCCCCATTTCACGTTAACTTCTCGTATGCCTCGTTTCCAGCTCGTTCCTTTATCACGCTTATTCTGGACAGCTAAGTCTGCTGCAATCATGGTGTTTAGTCCCGCTGCGATTGACTGTCCTAAGGGTATGTATTCTTGTGTCAAGCAAAATTTGCTATTACTAACCCATCTGAAGCAATGTCAGCGCGATACGTAACAGCACGCTGTGTTTGCATGTGTTGCAGAGCGTGCCTGGTTTTGCAGGTTTACCGTGAACCATTTGTGCAGTATTTTTATATTTCAGCAGGGTTGCATACTCCAGTCGTAAGAACTCCATAGGTGAGCATATAGTTTTGCTTGTTTATGAGGTTTCTATTTCCTTCGTTCTTCGAGGTTACATTCGTTTTCTGCCTGGCAGAGTGTGCAGGGCTTCTTAGCTATGGATTATGCGTAGTGTATTATGGGTACATTGTACGTTCTTATACTGGTATAATTTGTATGCCCTGTCAGATGAACTTGTTACAGTAAAATTATTTATTTTTTTACCAAAAACGCACACCAATATAGGAGATTCGTCAACCGGAACCATGAAATCGCCAGCCAATGAAATTCGAAACCGCGCACCCCATTTCGTGCCCGATTGGTCCACGTGGCACGATTAAGAGCGTTGATATTGTCAGGATCCAGTGGTTGTAGGTAGCTTACAGGAACTGCCACGTCAACATGTTTCAGTTTCATCTGGCGTACATCGTATGCCACGTGGCGTTGTCGTGACACTTTCGCATGGGTTGCCCAAGAGTGACGTTTTCCACCTCCATAGTTGCATTACCGTATACCTCACAACTGCACCGAAGTGTACAGTTTGTGTTGGGAATGTGACGGGAAAGTCACTTCGCAAGTTACTGAGGCTACCACTGTTGTCGAGTCAAACTTTTTTCTTGCGCGGGAAATGCAACTGGAAAGTTACGAAACAGTAACTTTTAGGTTTTTTTTCGCACTTCCCTTTTCCGCGATGGTACGGCGTACACGCAGGAGGTGAATGGCGTGAAGAAGAACGTCTGCAGCAAGGTTCGTCACTGCATGGCATCATGGGATGGTTCTACTGTAGCAGGTGAACGATGGGATTGTTCCATCTCATGGGTTGTAAACGGACGAGCCAAGTCAGGTGGCCACCCGGTGATGTTGGAAATTTGAAAAGCGAGATGATTCGTGGCACAGCTGCTTGGCAGCTCCTAGCACAGCTCCGTAACGTGACGCCTCCTCATTTTCTCTTTCAGGTTGATGCCGCCACATTGCAAATTCAGCTTGATTCCATTTCCATTGGCAGGTGCGTCTTGCTGGGATTTTCTACGACAATTACTCATCGGAACAAGATTTTGGCAATGACACGGTTTGGGAAGGTATGCAGCACAACGGAACCGTTTTCCCCCTTCCATCATATGCTATTGAGCACGATAAATGCACCACTGTAAGAAAGGGATTCAAACCATGTTGCTGTCATCCTAACCATTTGACTTCCACTTCCTCCCCTGTCGCAGTCGTTTATTACTCGATTGGCAAAGGGAATCCGTTTCCCTACGACGCAAATGGCATCTACCTAGTTCTTTCCAGCCCGGATGTTACCGTCCCCGGACATTGTAACACTTCTCTCGGATGGCACACCATGGACGACTATAGCGAGTCAAAACCGCATCGCGAAAATGGGAAGTGCGAAAAGCAGCTCTGAATACACTCTCCCGCAACTATCCCGATATTTTTTGCCCGACACTTTCAAGTCAAGGTTTTAGAACTGCATACCGAACGTCACTTGCGAAGGAACTGTTCCGTCATTCTTCCGTCACTAACTGTACACATTGGTGCAACTGACTTGGTATACATTAAATCAACTTTCCCGTCAGTTTTGAGCAACCTCTGCGAAAGTGTCAGGACAACGCCACGTGGCGTACGACGTACTGTAGATGAAACTCAAACATGCTGACGTGGATTTATCGTACTCTAGCGACAGCCGTCGGATCTGAATAACATCGACGGACGTGAGCAATCATTTTGGACCAGTCAGAGAGCGGTCCTTGTGTGCGAATCGCGCTGCTATTGGTCGACATTTTCCTATTTAGCGACAGCTACGGTATTCGTTTCCGTTTTTTAGTGTACATAATTGAGCACTAGAAGCCTTTCTATTTAAACGTAAAACGGACGCATACAAAATAAACCAGTGCCACTAATCCTAGACCATTGCTAACAAACATAGCTAACCTAGCAAGTAACAGGACCTCACGTGCTGCAGCTGCTTCTGGAGATTGCCTGCAAGAAACACAGTATGGTTAATGTTGCTAAACGTGCAATGCCAGTATGCCTGTCCACCCACCAGCCGAACAAACATAATGCTAGTCTGGTTGTCCATAAGCCTGCAATGACAGGTATGCCCAGCAAATCATGCGGAAACACATTGGTGTTACGCATTCTGTAAAAAAATAACCAGTGAGGTTAGTGAGCAAATATTCTGATACACACTAACTACACATACTTAGCCATAGCACAGGAAGTAGCGGCTGCCATAGCTCATGACGACTGAGACGCCGTTGCGACAGTCTTGGTCGCAACCATAATAAGGGTTTACGACAGTCCTGAAACACACCAAATAAAAAAACGGTACAAAACACGAAACGCAGCTGCTGACATTGGAGACAGGGCGTTACTAGGAAGTGAAGATATTTCAGAACGGCGAACCAGACGCGTGTGCCAATACATCTCCTAGACAAAAACGTATACCTCACCAGCGAAATGTATACCTACATTATCTATAAAGTTGCCGACCAAGCGTTTTCGCGACGCTAAGTGCACCCGTGTCCTCCGCGGTAAGGTTGAAAGGCTTCGATCTGCCATGGGAAATGGGCGGCTGCGGTACTAATCAAAACTATTAGCGGAGAACTTCGCGAAGATGGTTCATAAGCGCATATCCGAACATGGAACGTGACAATAACATGACAAAATATTAGAGATTCAGAAACCACAAAGATAATGTCGAAGTAACTAGGGCGAAAGATAGAACAGAGAAGAGGGTTTGTACTAGCAGCATGCAAGGTACATATAGGAAACCCTAATTTGGGTTGTACTCGCTATAGAGTACCCCACTGCAGGCTAGACAATTACAACATTCTGACACACCCCCATAGCCAAAGTGGGGTGTAATCAGCACAAATAACCAGTCATAGATCAAGTCCACAAATGCAAGTAAAGCTAGAGGCAGTCACAGAGGGCAAGTGAGGAGGAGGAGAGACTGTGAGGGGCGATCTGCTGCAGGCGATGGGCGAAGCTGCAGACACAACGGGCAACAGGAGCGGAATGCACAGTGGCTACCGAGCGCACGAGGGCACCGGACTACGGGAGTATCTGGCTCCGCGGCTACGACGAGCACACACAGGAGCAACTGACCCACAGGCGACTGGCGAAGCAGGCTCGCTGGGCTACCGAAACGCGCGAGGGCATCCGGACTACTGGCGCTGCTGGCGTCACGACGGCTACCTCCACGCAACCTCCCCCGACCGTCCCACGCCCCTCTCACACACCCCCTGCTGACACCCTAGCTCCACTTCCACGACACCCCCCTTAAACCCTAAACCTCGGCTCCCACACATCCACCCCCCTCAGCGGCAGCTGCAGCAGTGGGAGACGGAGGAGGAGGAGGAGCAGGGGACGGCGCACACACACGGCACCCCCATAGCTGCCACCCCCACACTCCTCACCCCCGAAACCCTAAAACGGGTGGGATAGGGGCAGGAGCGCGGGGGATGGTGAGGGGGGATGGCGCGCGACCCCCAGGGCGCCAGAACGGACGGGCTGGGCGGGTGGAGGGGGGTGGCGCGCGCTGCTCCCCAGGGCGCCGCGGCGGACGGGCGGGGGGGACGCGCGCGCAACTCCCCAGGGCGCCGCGACGGCCTGGCGGGGCGCACGCGGACTCCTGAGGGCGCCGCGACGAACTGGCGGGGCGAGCGCGGGCTCCCCAGGACGTCGCGACGAACGGGCGGGGCGTTCGCGGGCTCCCCAGTGCGTCGCGACGGACGGGCGGGGCGCTCGCGGGCTCCCCAGTGCGTCGCGACGGACGGGCGGGGCGCTCGCGGGCTCCCCAGGGCGTCGCGACGGACGGGCGGGGCGCTCGCGGGCTCCCCAGGGCGTCGCGACGTGCAAGGTGGGGGCCGCGCGTGCTCCCCAGGGCGTCACGACGGACGGGCGGGGCGCGCGCGGGCTCCCCCACGGCAGGAAACCGCCGCGCGCTCGGGGCGTGCGGCGGGATGAAAATGTGAAGGTCGCGCGCCACGGGGCGCGCGACACAGAGTAGGGCAGCGGAAGCAGCAGTGGGGCCCACAGGCCAGGAGCGTGATCGCTCTGTTACCATGTCGAAGTAACTAGGGCGAAAGATAGAACAGAGAAGAGGGTTTGTACTAGCAGCATGCAAGGTACATATAGGAAACCCTAATTTGGGTTGTACTCGCTATAGAGTACCCCACTGCAGGCTAGACAATTGCAACATTCTGACAGATAACAGTGCAGAGAATAGTAGTAAACACTTACAGTTCGCCTAAGCGACACGACAGAGAGAACGTAGTCTCTAAGATCCACACTTCCCTTAGTCGACTTAAAGAATATCTGCGAAAATGTCAACACCAGAGAGGAGAGGGAGATGGTCTGTAATTTCATAATGAGGACTTAGTAGGTACAGAAGCAAGGGAAGGATTCCCTCTGGATGAGCCTGTCACATCTGAACTTAGCTGCTAGTCGAAGGAAACAGGAGCGAGCGTCTGGTGAACAATGAACAAGAAATAAGCCTAGGAAGGACTGTGAGGTAGGTTGTGGGTATTAGCACAGGTGTACAGGGAAATCATGGGTGGTTGATTCTGGATGGGTTTGGTTGGGTGTGATGACGTGGACATATCGAAAGGTGCGGATTGATTGACTACTCACAGCACATCAATGATTGGTTTATATTGATTTTTGGCACACACGTCACACCTCTGAAGAAACTAGCCAGCGTTTGTGGGTTGGGTTGGGTTGGGTGGGAACCCTGGGTTCAGATTTGGGAAAAAAACGAAAACGAGGTATCCACTTGTGCAACCTCGCTGGTCTTCGTGGGGTCTTTCTGTTTCGTGAATGTTGTTGTTACCCTGGTCATTGTCAATGTTAATCCGCCGAACCGCTTTCAAACTTTCTTGAACGTGCGAAACCGAGTTCAGCGAAAATGTTGACGGAAAAGCAACTTTGAGTTGACATTTTCCCGCAG